GTCACGCGCCCCCAGATAGTGGGGCTGCGGGTGGCCAGGGCACGGCGCACACGCGGCCTGTCCTTGGCCTCGTGCAAGGCTCTGGGGTGCGTTGGACAACGGGAATGGGCTTCCCTGGGTTGGGTCGTGGTCGGCAGTGTTGTTTCGACACTCGTGAACAAGGGTTCGTTGATGGTCATCGTTGAGGTTCAGTTCAGCGCGACACAGGGCGAAAACGCCGGGACATCGTCCCGCAGGATCGCGTCGCCCGCGGTAGAGACCTGCCATGGCATGGCGCCGCGTTGGGCCCCCGGAAAAGGGAGCAAAAGAGTCGCAGGCGCAGAATCGAGAGCTGAGTGGCCCCCTTCGACGGCCCGTGGAGCGGGCGTGTCCAGGGGCCGGCTGCTGCGATGTCCAAACGTGGCATCGTGGAGAGAGGGGTGGGTAGAGAGACTGCAGACGGGGCGGGATCAGGGATTGCTCTGAAACGTGAGCTGTGCCGATGGCGTCTTCCGTCGGGCACACGTGGCGTCCGTGCCGTCGGACGGCGTGCCCGTCCAGTGCTGCGGCATCGCTGCTTTCGGGGCGGCGCGACGAAGGAGCGCGAACAATATCTTCACGTCCCCGTGCGCGCCGGTCGATCAGGCTGTGTGACAGGTATAGGTATGTACTGAGAGGGGGGAGAAGGCTGGAGGGGGGATGGGGTGGGGATGGGGTGGGGTGGATACACCCGCAAGAAGGGGTTGCTGGTTTCCTGCGTGGATCGATGCCTGGGGGCAGCGCCTTGATACTGAGAGGGGGAGGAGGCTGGAGGGGGGGAGATGGGGTGGATACACCCGCAAGAAAGAGTTTCCGTATTCCTGCGTGGGACGGTGCCCGGGGCGGCGCCTTTGCACAAGGGGAACACGAATGCGTGTGGCGAGCAACAAGACAGGCGGCGCGTGAGGCGCGCCGTGGGAACGACGGGGGCTGAGGCCTGAAGTTGGTGCGGCGGAGCGCTGCGACACGTGCCTGCGCACGGGGCCGCCGGATGGGGCGGCCGCGGCTAGGCAACGACGCCGCAGCTCTCTCGCCTGCTGCGAACAGGCCTCCTGGATGGGGCGCTACGCTACTGCAAGGGGTACGATGGGCACAGGGGCTCGCCGGAGGCGCCAGGCTGGCCGGGGCGGGCCGCGCCGGGCGACCTCTGCGAGCTTCTCCATGCTGGATGACGGGGCGCGGTGGTTGGGGTCAGACATATACCGTGCGGGGCACGGGGCGCGTTGGGGGCTTGACGCGCGGACAAGACCCCCGCGCTGCCGCGCGCGCCGTTCGGGGACGCGCGGGCCGTCGCGGGGGGGAGCGGTGCGGCGAGCCGATGCGCAGGGGGCCATGCTGCGGCGCCGGGGGCGCGTGGTGTGGGATGGGTGGGGGTGGGGGGGGTTCGGGGGGTCTTGTGGTTGCCTTCCCGCGGTGGTTGCGAAAAAAGACCTAATACAAGTTGGTTGACCGGGCTGCAGTACTACCGCCAGTGGTCGGGGGCTGGCTAGGTGATTCGCGACAGGCCGCGGAGGGGCGCGCCGCGGCCCGTGTTGCCCATGAAAATCAGAGGGGGGTTCCCCCTGCGTCGGGAGAGCTGCGATCTGATCTGAGGTCTGATCCGCGCGCGTGATGCGCTGCGGCGTGTCTACAGGGGCCTGTTGTGTCCTTGGCCACTCAAAAGTTGAGATTTCAGAAACTCCGATAAACGGAGGCTTCGCGCCGGGCGGGGAGGTGCGCCCGGGGCGCGCAAGGCTCGCGGCGAACGTGTACGTGCAGCGCTCGCGAAGGGCCGTCCGGTCGCCGCAGGCGCGTGCAGCTGGCCAGGGCCGGCGCGCGGAGGTGGGGGGGAGTCTCCTCACTCCATGTCCGCGTCCTCCGCCGGCGGCTCCGCGGGGGCGTCGTCGTCGTGCTCGGTCGGGGGCGGAGGCGGCGGGCGGGCCCGCTTGGCGGGCGGGGCGGCCGCGGGTTCGCTCGGGTCGGCGGCCGTGGAGGTGCGCTTGGCGCCGGCATGCAGGGGCCGCGCCGGCGACTCGTTGTCGTTGCCGGCGTTGAGCGTCGGGGTCGGGGGCGCGCCGGCGCCCGTGGCGGGGTACGGCAGCGGGCCGGTGCCTCCGCTGGCGGGGCAGGTGCCCGCTTGCGGCGCGGGGGGGGCGGTGCCCGCGGGGGGGAACTCCGGGCCTGCTGACGTGTCGCCGAGCTGGCCGATGCAGCTGCTGTCCGTCTCCATGCGGCCGGTCGTCGACGGAATGCCGTACCCGTGCTTGCCCGCGGTGGGCGGCGCGGTGGCGGCGGCGTCCGGCAGCAGCCCCTCGAGGCTGGGCGAGCACAGCGCGTGCGGCGCGGGCTGGCACCCGGCCTCGGAGTCCGACCCGAGGTCGCCCTCCTCGATCGCGGGCGTCACGCGGGACCGCCGCTTGTGCGTGTGCGTGTGCGCGCGGTGGGGGTGTTTGTGGGGGTGTTTCACCCGGAGGTGGAAGGCCAGCAGCGGCTCCTCGCCGGTCGAGCCGCCGCCGCCGCCGCCGTCCTTCCCGCTGCCCCCGCCGCTCCCGCCCTCGCCGACGCCGGCGCCGTCGCCCTCGGACGCGTCCGCGCCCTCCGCCGCCGCCGCCGCCTTGGCGGCCTTGGCCGCCGCCTTCACCGCGCGCAGCGCCCGGGCCGTTCCGCGGCGCGTGCGGCGGTGGTGCGTCGGCATCGCCTGCTGCGGCATCGGCGCCAGCTCGAGCGGCGAGACCGACGTCGGCGACGCGGTGGAGTCGGAGTTCTGTGCCGCGTCGTGAAAGCGCTCCTGCTGGCCCGACATCTGCCCGCGCTCCATGTCGGCGCCGTCCTCGCCGGGCGCGGACCCGGAGCCGTTGCCGTTGTTCTGCATGTTGGAGCCCTCCTTGCCCGCGGAGTAGCCCTCGCCCGTGCCGCCGGCGCCGCCCGACACCTTGCGGTCGCCGCTGCCGTCCTGCGACGTGCCGTTGGTGCCGGTGGCCGCCGCGGCGTCGCGCGCGTCGGCGCTGTCCAGCGCCGCGTCCGCGCCCTCGCGGCCCTCCGTGCCCGCGGTCTTCGCGGACGCCTTGATGGCGTTGTCTTCGACGGTCCCCCCCTTGACGCCTGAGTCAGGCGGGGCCGGACGGCTGCGCTTCGCGGCGCGGCCCGACACGTCCGACGGCCGCTTCGTCATCCGCTTCGGCGCGGCCTCGCGCGCCACGGAGTCGCGCATCGGCGAGTAGCCGTGCGGGGGGGCGTCCAGAGACATCCCCTGGCCGCCCGCGACCGCGCCGCCCGCCTGGGCCTTCCCGACGGCCTGCGCGTGCGCGGCGACGGCGGCCGCGGCCGCGCGTCGGTGCGCCTTGCGCGCCAGGCTGCCGCCAGTGCGCAGCTTGCCGCTCCCGGCAATGGGGAGCGCTCCGGAGCCCTCGGGCTCCCATCCGCCCGCGGCCTGCTCCTTGCCCTCGGCCTCGCGGTCCCCGCTGCCGAGCATGTCCGCGTCGTCCGCGTCGCCGCGCTGCGGGGCGTTGCCGGGGGCCTGCGCGTCGCCGCGCACGGGGTTGCCGTCCGCGTCAGCCTGCGCCACCATCGCGGCGTACCGCCCGACCTGCCCGTCGATCGCGGGCACGCCCGCGCCGTCCTTGAACCACGGGTTGAACGCGGCGTACACCTGCAGCTGCCGCAGCGGCAGCTGCAGGCTCCCCGTCGGGCCGGGCTCAAAGTGCGCGTCGTACGCCCCCTGCCCGGACCCGCGGTCGCCGCCGGAGACGTGCTGCATGCCGGAGCCCTGCTCCCCGCCGGTCGCGGGGCCGGACCCGTCGCCCGCGGCGGGCTGCAGGATGCCTCCCGCCGCCATGTGGTGCAGCAGAGCCATGCCCTGCTGCTGGCGGCCGGGGAGAGCAGCCTCGCTCGCGGGCGGGATGGACTGCGCGGTGGCGCGGAAGGGGCTCGGGGCCGGGCCTCCGAGCGCGCCGAGCGTCGGTGCGCTGCCGGCGAAGGGCTGTCCGCCCGCCGCCTTGGCGGTGTTGCGCGAAAACCCGTTCGCCGACGCGTCGTGGCCGCCGGAGCCGTTCCCGCCGGAGCCGTTCCCGCCGGAGCCGTTGCCTCCGGACCCGTGCGCGCCGCCCGAGCCGTCGCCACCGCTGCGGTCACCGCCGGAGCCGTCACCCCCGCTGCGGTCGCCGCCGGAGCCGTCGCCGCCGCTGCGGTCGCCGCCCGAGCCGTCGCCGCCGCCGCTGCGGTCGCCGCCGGACCCGTTCCCGCCGGACCCGGCGCCGCCGGAGCCGTTCCCGCCTCCGCTGCCGAGCCCGCCCGACCCGTTGCCGCCAGAGCCGTTGCCCCCGGAGCCGTTCCCGAACGCAGTCTTGTTCGAGGAGCCGTAGCCCGCGCCGGAGCCGCTGCCGTGCCCCGGCATGTGCGGGCCCGCGGGGGGCGTCCACACTGCCGGCGCGACGCCGACGGCGCCGTGCTGGCCCGCCGGCATGCCTGCGTTGGACGCGTGTCCGCCGCTGCCGCCGAGCCCGTTCGTGGTGTTCCTGCCGCCGCTGCCGTCGCCGTTGCTGCCCCGGCCCGTTCCGGCCGGCAGGGGCGCCGCCGCCGTCGCCGGCTGCGTGCCCTGCTGCTGCCGCTGCGCCGCCGCCGCCGCCGCGACCGTCGCCGCGTCCTGCGCGGGCGCCGCGCCAGCGGGGCCCGAGTGCGAGCTGCCGTTGCCGTTCGAGCCCTTCGCGCCGCCCTGCTCCGAGCCGTTGCCGGAGCCGGCGCCGTTCTTACCCGCGACAGGCCCCCGGGGGATGTCTCCGCCGGGGGCGTGCGCCATCCCCGCGATCGGCGTCTGCACGGTGCCGGAGCCGCGCCCCGTGCCCGTGTTCGTCGGCGGGGTGCTCTTCGGGGCGTCCGCGGGCGGGGACGCCTCGGCGCCCCCCGACCCGCCGCCGCCGCCCGAGCCGCCGCCGCCGGACCCGCCGCCGGACGCGATCATCGGAACGAAGTCCATCGAGATCATGCCGACGTCCAGCATGAGCCGCGTCAGGTGGTGCTGCCGCGCCACGATGCGGTGGAGCTCCCACAGCTGCTGAGTCAGCTCCTCTTGTTGCAGGAGGACGCGGCGGCGCAGGGACAGCCCGGCCTCGCCCGGGGCGCCCGCGGCCGCGGCGACGCTCGCGGCGACGCTCTGGAGGAGGCGCGCCGGGTTGTGCTGCAGCGCCTCGAGCTGCAAGGCCCCCGTGGGGTGTGCCAGGAGTCCCCGAGGTGGCCGGGAGCCGCCGGCTGCCGCCGCCCGCGCCCGACCTGCTTCCAGCCGACGTGGCGGTGGTGGTGGTGCCCGTGGTGGTGGAGGTGGTGCCCGCCGGCGAGCCCGCAGCCTGCGCGGCCTGTCCGCCCGCCATGGCGGGCGCGCCGCCAGCCCCGAGGGCGCGGTGCTGCGGCACCGCGGGGCGCGCGCCCTGTCCTGCGTTGCCCTGCTTCTGCCGCAGCGCCGCGCGGCCCTGCACCGTCGGCCCGCCCGTCGCGGCAGTCGGCGTCTGGTGACCCCCCCGGGGGCCCTGCGGGGTACTCTGCGTCCCCGTGCGCGTCCCCGTGTTGGGCCCGCCGTGCGACGTCCCGCCGATCGCGGCCTGGTTGCTCGGCTGCACGGCGATCCTGTCGCCCGCCGCCCACGGGCCCTGCACGCTCGGCTGCTGCCCCGCCCCCGGCCGGCCCTGCCCCTGTTGCCCGACCGCATTCGCCGCCTGCTGCGCGGTCTCGTGCGCCAGCAACTGCGGCGCGCGCTGCGACACGAACATGATGAACGCCCGCAGCTGCCGCGCGAGGCCCTCCGGGCTCTGCTGCTGCGCCACCGGGCCCGGCACGCCAGGGAGCGGCGTGCCCTGCAGCTGCAGCTCCCGCGCGAACGCCAGCGCGGCCGCGAGCTGCACGGGGCTGAACGGCCCGAACCCGGTCGCCGCAGGCCCCGGCGTGCTCCCCGCGACCCCCCCGGCGGTGGTGGGCCCTGTGCCGGTCCCCGTGCCCGTGCCCGTGCCGGGTGTCGCCGAACGCGGAAGCGCGGACGCGGCGAGCGGCCAAGCCTGCCGCGCGAGGCCCCGCAGCGCGGCGATCGCCTGCTGCTGCTGCGGCGGCGCGCTGCCCGGGCCGCCGGAGCCGCCCGAGCCCGGCGGGGTGGGGGTGTCGCCGGGACTCCCCGCCTGCCGGTTGTCCATCGACGCCAGCAGGTTGAGCGCGATCGAGGTGCCGCGGAGCAGGTTGAACAGCACCGCGGCCTGCTGCGGCGTCACCTGGCACTCCGCGTTGAGCACCGCGCTCAGCGCCTGCGCCGCGTTCGCCGCCTCGCTCCCGCCCGCCCCCGCGCCCTGCGGCGCCCCCGCGCCCGACTGCAGCTGCGCGGCCGCCGCGGCAGTCGCGGCCGCCGCCGCCAGCGCCTGCTCGTGGTACGGCGGGCCCCGCCCCGGGTACGTCTGGGCCGATGTCGGGCTACGCAGGTGCGCCTGCCCCAGAGACGCTCCCGGCGTCGCAGTCTTGGCCTGCGGCGCGGGCGCGTGGTGCTGCGCGTGCTGCACCTGCGCGGTGTGCGCGGGCTGCTTCGGCCCGCCCTGCGCGATGGCGTGCACGTTCGCGTGCCCGTGCCCAACGTCGCTCCCGAGCGGCGTCGACGCCGCGCGCCGCGGGACCGCGCCCGGCAGCGACGGCGCGGCGGGCCCGCCCTTGAGCGCCCCGTCGCCGCGCTGCGGCGGCTCCAAAAATCCCGCGGAGCCGAGGCCCGCGCCGGCGCCGCCCTGGACGGCCTGCCGCCCCGCCGCCAGCCGCGGACCCTGCTGCGACCGGTCGTTCACCGACGTGGGGCCCGTCCGGCCCGACATGAGCCGCTCCCCGACGAGCGGCTGGACGGTGCCGGTGCCCCCGCCCGTGGTGTTGCGGTTGGCTTCGGTCTGCGGCGCGGGAGGCGGTGGGGGGTGCGTGGGCGCGGGCAGTTACGGGCGGCGGGCGCGCGAGGCGCGCTGGGGGAGCGAGCGGGGCCCGCGCGGGGCCGCGCGGGTGCGTGGAGGGCGCGGGCGCGGGCGACGCACCGCGTTGAGGCTCTGCAGCGTCTGTGGCAGCCGCGCTGCATCGAGCTTGGCTCCCGGCGGAGGGTGCCGGTCCTGAGCGTCAGGGTTGGCGACTGCCGCCGCGGTCCGGCCCTGCGGTTGAGGAAAAGGAACGGACGGCTGTGGGGCGCGGGGGCGGCGCGGGGGCGGCGCGGGGCGGGCGCAGGGCCGCTCTGGTGCGGAGACCGAAACCGTTTCTCTTTCGGTGGGCCCGCGTGGGCGGGGACGGTTCGCGGGGCGCGGATCGCGGCGCCTTTATTGCGATGTCGGTGCGGCGAGGACGCGCGGAGGGCGCCGAGCGGGCGCGGGCGAGCGGCGTGCGGAAAGCGGACACAGCGCACGGCCCATATCTGTCGAGCGCGAAAAAAAAGGCGGCGCAACGGCGGGCCCGCGGGCTCTTTCATTGCGCGGGGGTCGCGCGGAGGACCGCGGCACGGCCCGCGGAGCCCCCGCGGCGGCGTGCGGACGTGCACTAGTGCCCAGGCCCAACGAGAGGCAGCCGCCCGGGCCTCCGCGAGGCAAACGAGCACGCGCGGTCGCCCAATATCGCCAATGCACCAGCTCGCGGCGCGGGCAGGCGCGGTGGTCCAGCGCGGGGGACGCCACCGCGAGGTATCTTGCGGGGACAGCGAGCGCGGCGCTCGGGCGGCCAGCGCCCGCAGGGCGCCCGCGGGCGGCGAGAAGTGCGCGACCGCATGAGCGTCTCGTCCGCGCGGGCGGGCGCAGCGCACCTTGGGCGACCCGGCCGGAGCCATCTCCTGCTCGTTTCCTCCACTCATGGCTACGAAAAACTACGCATCGACGCAGGCGTGCGCTGCGATGCTCAAATAAAGCAATCGTGCCGGCTTCACTCGGGGCCGAGCGAACGCCAGCAGCGTGCCGGGACGCGCTGTCGGTTGACGTGCTACAAGCGGCGACGAAAGCAGCCGGCCCCGCTGCCTCAGGCTCGCTTGCCGGCACTCGATCTTGGGTAGATAGAGAGAACTTCAAAATGCGTCAGTACAAACGCACGCAAGATGCCGCGCGCCGCCCCCGCGCCGGCCCCTCGAGGTCCGGACTCGCCGACAGTTGGCACACATTCAGGCCCCCGCTGGTAAAGCGCCGCGGCGCGCCGGCGCGTCCCGACGCGCGCGCGCGCAAGGACCGGCCACGGGGAGGCCGCGCCGCCATCGGTAGGGCGGCCGCAGACGCCGCGCGCGACGCGGCGGGCCCGGCCAGGTGGAGACCCTACATCTTAGGTAGCCCCGTAGCGCCGCGTGCGACGAGAAATTCGCCGTGCAAGCGCCCCTCTGCGTCGCAATCATCTACAAGCGTCCTGCACGCGCGCCGACGCGTGCGTGTTCTCCCGCGTTGTCGCGCATTGCGCCCCGATGTGAATATTGATACTTCGGACATCGCAAGTCGCTGCGCCGGCGGCGGAGGCGCGCGCGCGCGCGTGCGTTGAACCACGAGCGGGCAATCGCGCGCGGCGCCGCCGCGGCGGACTCCGGCGCAGCGCGCGCGCGGGCGGGCTAGATCGCTGGGCGTGTCTTGGCGACACCGGCCGGCCGCGCGCGGAGGGGCGCCGCGGCCGTGCGGAGGCCCGCGCGTCGCCGCGGCAGCAGGGGCTAAGGTCGGGCTAGGGCGGGACGGCCGTTCGGGGCGCACCGGCCTCCGCGTCGCGCCAACGGCGCGCCTGCAGCGACGCAGGCGTGTGCGGGAGTCGCCGCGAGGCCGCGGACCGGCTCCGGCGCGCGGCCGGGACCGCTGCAGCGACAGCGCGGGAGCGGCGGCCGCGCTTCTCCGCGCGGCGCGCAACGCCGGCCCTTCGCGGCCGGCGCCGCGGTGCGGTCGGACTGCCGCGCGGTCACGCAAGGGGTGCTTTGCGGCCCGTAGCGGGCGCGTGCGGGGGTCTTGGGCGGCGCGGCGCGGTGGAGGCGGTCAGAAGAGGCGCCGAGACGCGAGTGACGAGGCGTTTGGAGGGTTGCGGCGAGAGTTCGGGGGCGTTTCGTGACAGGCAGCGCAGCGGGAGGAAGGGCGCGGGTCCAGGATGCCGGCGACGTGTCCGGCCCCGCGGGGCATGCTGAAGGCGAGCACGAACCGCGTGCGAGCCTCGGCTGCCCTCGCGACGCACTCGATGTGGACGGACATCATCGGGCAGTCGGAACTGGCAGACTACCAAGGGGCCAACGACCAGGTCGAGAAGGCCATCAACGCGCCGGACAAGTGAGTCCCGGGCTCCTTCGGGCTGCTTCCTGTTTGCGTGGCGGACGGGAAGTGCTGCGGGCGCCCGGGAGCGCCTCGTGGGGCGAGCTGTGAGCGTGCGCGGCGAGAGGGCTCACGGCGGCGCCGTGCGGCGCGGCTGACACGCAGGTTCGCGGGCAAGAAGAAGCATGAGGCGAGGAAGGCGGCCGCGGCGGAGCTGCTGGAGAAGACGGGGGCGTTTGGCACCGGAATGTCGCTCGACGACATCCTGGCCACAGCCAAGGCGAAGGGCGCGGTCGGACAGGGCGTGCGTGGGGCGTGCAAGAAGTGCGGACAGGTGCGGGCGGCCCACGACGAGCTCCTGACCGCGAACCACGCGCACGGCGTCGCGGGAGGTCGGTACGACGGGCGCCAGCCTCCCGGCAGTCTCCCACGCGCGCGTGTGCGGCCCTGGCGCCTGCGCGCGCGTCTGAGACCGGCGCCGCCGAGAGAATGGCGTCACGGCTGCTCGGAACTCCGCCTGGGCTGCTGTTGACGGTGTGTCGAGGCAGCGAGGCCACGGGGGCACCAACACGCCTCATGACGACCTCCTGGGCCGCGCACGCGCCGCCTGCCGCCCGACCGCGCAGCGCAGGGGCGTCTACGCGCAAAGCGATCGGTCTGCGCACATTCCGGACCCCCTTCGCCGCTGACTCAGGCGGCACGCGCGCGTTGTTCTACTGCGTGAGCTGCAGGTGGGACACCTCACCAAGGACTGCAAGAACTTCCTGTCCGACTGGTTCAAGGAGGAGCAGGAGGCGCGGGCGGCGGCGGAGCTCGAGGCGGAGCGCAAGGCCAAGGGCCTCGACGGTGTGCTGGAGGTAGGCTGCTGATTCCTGCGACCCCCTAATTGCACAACAACGACGATTGCTGCGGCTGTCCGGCGCGGCGGCGAGCGCGGCCAGCGGCACGGGGAGCCTCCGACGTCGATGCGCGAGGCGCGGGAGGCGCGTTCGAGGGCGGGAGGTGGCGTTTCAGTCGGGGTTTCGTGTCTTGAAATGTTTTGTTGCTGACGAGTGCTTGGCGGACCCGGTGGCTTCCCGCAGGGTCTCCAGAAGGCGAACGGTGGCCCGGCGCGTTCGGACAGCTTCAGCGACCTCAGCCTGTCGTCGTCGGACGACGACAGCGACAGCAGCCGCGACCGGCGGCGCCGGCATCGCAGCCGGAGCCGGAGCCGCAAGAGCGACCGGAAGGACCGGAAGCGCAGCCGGAGCGAGAAGAAGTCGAAGAAGAGCCGGAAGGACCGCGAGCGGAGCCACAAGCGCAGCCGCAGCGACAAGGAGCGCCGGCACAAGTCTTCGAAACGTCGCAGGTCGCGCTCCGCGTCGCCGGAGCGGCGCCGGGACCGCGACGACAAGCGCAGGGACCGCGAGAGGAAGGACCGGCGGCGGTCGCGGTCCCCGCGGCGCGACCGGTAGCGGTGTGAGAGTCAGACTGAATCCTGACTCATGCGAAGTATATGTATCAATACTGGGGCTGCGGCGCTTGGGCGGGCGGCGCCGCTGCGCGGCGGCAGAACCCGCGGGCGGACCGGCGTGGCGCGTGCGTCGCCTGATGCGCATTCGGTGCACAGAGGCGAGGTGGTCACCTCGCTTTCTTGTGCACAGGACCCGCGTCGGCGCAGCTAGGGCGCGTGCTGTGGCGCGGCGGGTCGCTGGGCGCGGTCGCGTATCGAGGAGGCGGCAGGGCGAGTGCAGCGCGGCGGCGATGTCGGCGCCCGCGGACCCGCCAGCGCCGTCCGTTTACCCGCCAATGCGCGGCGTGCTGGAGCGGTACGGGCCGCTGCCGCCGCACGGCGTGTTCGTGACAGGGACGCACAAGCGGCACGTGGTGATGGTCGGGGGGCTCGGGGACGGGATGCTCGCGTGCAGGTGCGCGCACGGGGGCCTGGCGGGGTGCAAGGGGGCGCGCTGGGCCGCGACCTGCGCGGTTGCGCCGCTGGTGACTGCGCTTAGGATGAGATTGCAGTATGTAGAAGGCGCTGGGCCGCTTTTCGTGGCTGATCGTCGCGTGGGTGGCCGTGGGTGGTGCCAGGGCTGCTAGATCGTTGGGCGTCTCCGTTGCACAGCCCGGTCTCCTCGCTGGCCCGCCGCCGGACGTGCATTGCCGTGCAAGCTGTCAGGAGACCTCACGCTGGCGTTCGGAGACGTTCGTTGCAGCTACGTCCCGCCGCTGGCCAAGAAGCTGGACGCGATGGGCTGGAGCCTCGCGCAGGTCCAGATGTCGTCCTCCTTCACCATGTTCGGCGGCTCCTCCCTCGACAAGGACGCTCACGAACTGAACCTCCTCTGCAGGTGCGCCCCCGCCCGACCAGGCAAGCACACTCCCCCCCGGCCACGTCCCCCTTGCGAGCTCTCACGCCGCCACCTCGCACCCGCGCGCGCAGGCACCTCAAGGCGAAGCACGGCTCGCGGGCCGTGGTCATCGTCGGGCACTCGACGGGCTGCCAGGACGCCGTGCGTTACGTCAAGCGGCACCGCGGCGACCCCGAGGCTCCTCCTATTGCCGGCGTCGTGCTCCAGGCGCCCGTGAGCGACCGCGAGACGTTCGAGACGCTGCCGGACTCGGACAAGCTCGTCTTCGTAGGTGCGCGCTTCGCGCCTCGCGCGCGGCCGCAGCGCGGCCGGTCACGGAGCCCATGGCACGTCCGTTCGAAACATCACTTGAGATTTCGTGTCTGTTCCCTCATCGTTCCGTTTCGTCTTGTCTGGCGCCGTGGACGCAGCGAACGAGATGCTGGCGTCCGGCCAGGGCGAGGAGTTCATTCCGCAGGCGCAGCTCACCGCGATCGGCGGCGAACTGTTCCCGCCCGGCACCCCAATCACGGCGCGACGCTTTTTGGACCTGTACGACCGCGGCGGCGACGACGACATGTTCTCCTCCGATCTCACGTGAGCGCGCCGGGCCTGTCCGTCCGCCAGCGACTGCGCAGCACTGGAAGGTGTGCGTTCGCGCGAGTTGGCGAAACTCGACTGCTTTTTTCTTTTCTCGGTGCGTGCAGGGACGCGGAGCTGCGGAAGCTGCTCGGGCACATGCTGGGCGTCCCGACGCTCGTGCTGCAGGGCTCGAACGACGAGTACGTCCCCGACCACGTCGACGTGGGGGTGTTGACCACCCGTCTGACTGCGGCGATGGGCTCGAGCGCGCAGGCGCGGATCGTCGAGGGCGGCACGCACGGGCTGTGGGGGAAGGAGGCGGAGGCTGTCGACGCCATCGCGGAGTTCGTCGCCGGCGTGCGGGGCGGCGCGGGGCCCGTAGCCCAGATGGCGCGACGGGGGTTGGGCTTCGTAGCGCGGAGAGCGGTGCCGTGGGCCGCGGCGGCGGCCGCCGGGCTGGCAGCTGGGAAGATGTTGTGAGGTCAAGTTCGAGGCGGGGAGCGTGGCTGGCCGGTGGAGGGGTGTCGGGAGGTATGAACCAAAGAGCAACCGGGGTGCAGCGTCGTGTCGCGTCAAGTGTGCCGTAGCTACGCGTGCGTGGATATTTGGGCGCTATTCTTCTAGCCGTGAGGTCGATACTCTTGCCATTTCACGCGCCCCGCACTGAGGTTGGCGTCTCTGCCTGCAACCGCTCGATTTCCCGTCGCAATGCGCGCCCTAGCCGGGAAATTCCATGGCCCAGTAGCATGTCAACGATGTCATCGTCTCTCAAGGCCACCGGCCATGGGGTCTTCAGCGCGGTGGAGGCGGAGGTGCGGAAAAGGGCCTGGGGCCGGCCCCAGCGACGCGCGCGAGGGCCAGAGCACGCGCAACGGCGCGGCGACTCCGGGCTCGCTCGAGAGCGACGAGGAGTTCAGTGTGTCGCTGCAAGTCCGCGACTACGAGCTCGACCAGTTCGGCGTCGTCAACAACCAGGTACTGCGGTGCTGCCCCCCTGGGCGCCCGGGCCCGTGACGGCCGACACCACGCCCTGCCGATCGAGGGCATCCGCGCCAGCGCCCGCGCACCGCGAACCGCGCCCGCGTGCCCGGCGGGTCGGCGGCGGCACTCCGCCTTGGTTGCTTGGCATCGCCGCAGACCCTCACGCACCCACAACTGCCCAGCGGCGCCCCGCGGGCCAGCCCCGGGCGGTCGGCTTCTCACGCGCGGCCGCTCTGTGCCGACGGCGCCCGCGCGGCGCCCCTGCGCGCAGGTGTACGCGGGGTACGCCCAGCACGCGCGTCACGTGATGATGGCGACGCTGGGGTTCTCGTGCGACGAGGTGGCGCGGCGCGGCGAGGCGCTCGCGATCACGGAGATGGAGATGAAGTTCACCGGCGCCCTGCGCTCCGAGGACACCGTGCGCATCGCCGTCAAAATCACAAAGGTGCGCGGGGGAGTGAACCGTGCTGTCTGACCGCGCAGGAGTCAGACACTGCTTGTATCACACGACCCGCTTGCGTGCGACGACACCATCCACTTCGCGCGCTGCGGGGCCGCAGTGCAGCGATGCCGACCGCGCAGCGGGTCCGGCAGGCCTGCACACTGCTCACAGCCTCCCTGGCGCCCTTCGCTGTGCAGCTCACGCCCGCGCGGTGCACGTTCCGCCACCGGCAGTACCGCGCGGCCCGGCCAGACATGGTGCAGCGAGGGGACGAGACATATAAAACGGAGGTCATCGTCAACGAGTCGTTCGCGACTGTCGTGGCGCTCAACAGCGCGTACCGGCCCGTGCGTATCGACGCCGACCTCTTTGCCAGCCTGCGCGGCAGCGCTTCGTGAGATCGATGCCTCGGCGCGCGAGGCGCCGCTGACACTCCCCCGTGGCTGGGGGGAGTTGCCGTGTTTTGACCCCCCGTCGATTCCTTCGGATCGCCGCGCGACGTCGGTCGCCGTGGCCACGTGGATCGATCGCGTTTGAGACGTCGCGGCGAGCCACCAGCCGCTGTTTGGCTGCTCATGCGAAGTTACACTCGGCCGCACGGACCAGGAGGTGTATAAGCGAGGCGATGGCCTAGTAGCAGCCCCGAGCAGCGCCGCAGGACCAGCTCTGTTCTGGCCTCGTGTGATCCGCTCGCCGCATCTTCGGCGACGCACTCTGTCCGCTCGCAGTGGTCAAAGACGCAGGGGGGAGTATTCATGCGGTACAACAGGTGGACGTGCGCAGGCGGCACCGCTGGCGGGCGTCACCGCCGCCTGAGCGCCGCTAAGACGTCCGACCGCAGCCCGGTCTCCTGCACCGTGAACACGTCCTCGGCGTGCTCGCTGTGCGGGTTGTTCTCCTTCTCCTGCCGCTGAGAGTACTCGTGCTGTACAACCTGCGCTAGCACGATGTGACGCGTCAACTCAGCAGCGCCGGTGGGCCGGACCGTCGCACGCTGCGCCCTGGGACCGCAGCGGCCTGCGACGGCCGAGAGGCGCGTCAGTGCGGCGCTGTTGTCGGGAGTGTGGACAACTGCGCGGCGAGGGCGCCGTGCGGCGACGGGACGTGCGCGCGCACCTCGAGGACGTTGCGCAGCGGGACGGTCGCTGGTTCGACCGACTTTTGCGGCACCCACACCCCGGGCTCCTCCTCGTCCTCCACTAGCGGATCCGCCTCAATCTCTTCTTCTCCGACCCACGTCACCCTGCGGGCCGTAGGCGCGCTTTCCCGCGTGGGACACGGTACATACAGCGCGACGCTTCATCGAGGTGGGTCGCGCAGCGGCGGAGGAGCGGGTTCCAGCACGTCATCGTGCGGCAAATGTGTAGCGCACCGTCCTAGCCGCACGCTGGATGGCTCGTCGTCGTCGCCCGCGCGGTACGCGACGACGTCCCACTCGATGACCTCGGTCGTGCCCTCGGCGGCGCTCGCCGCTACCCTGCTACGCGCGCTGAGCTCCGTTTTCCGGTCCACTACAGGGCGTCCCGACCATCCGCGCTGCTGCGTTCGAAGGGCGCGACGCCGGATCCCGGGACGCACTGTAGTGACGGGGGACGGGGGGCTGAGTTTCGTGCCCGCAGTGCGCACAGCCGCTGCCATGGACGCGCTCTCTCTCTCAGTTGGCAGCTGCGTCGTCGCCGAAGCCTCCTTGCGCGGTGACGTGGGCGAATGCCCCCGCGTGTCGGTCTACGTCCCACCTCGACTACGTGTGGCAAGCAGGTGGCGCTGACTAGGCGCTCGCGGCCACGATGAAGCCGTGGGGGAGGGAAGCCTGGGGCCCAGTGGGTTGTCCATCGTTGACTGTCCGGACCAATCGCGTTTTGCTCGACTGCCGTGTGACGTCACCAGGGGGGTGGCAGGACGCCCCTGTCCGCCCCGGTACGCCGCTGCCGCAGGCCCTTGGCGGCGCCGTGCGCTCCGCCACGGCCAGACGCGCGACGTGGGACGCACGCATAAGAGCGGGGCATCGGTCGCGAACGCCAGCGACGGGAACACACCTCACGTCTGTGTTGGCGTCGCTCAGAGCGCCAGGAGGCCGTGTCACGGCGTTTCACGGCGCTTCGCCGCACGCTGGCTCCGAGAACGCACCAGAACGGGCAGCGCGCAGCGCGTGTCTCGCTCGCACGATGCGCGTAGCGAGCACGCACAACCGCCTGGCCAGGGTGCCGCGCGCAGGCCTCTGCAAGCGCCCTAGGAGCAGGCCGGTGCGGTGCCACGGCGCCCGGGACGACGAGGAGCGCGGCTACCGCGTAGTTGCCCCCGATGCGGCGTCGATCCGAGGGAGACGCATGAGTCGTTGCAGGCAACGCAATGGTGGGTTCCCGGCCCCCCGGACTCGCGTGACACTCGAACTTGTCCGCGACGGTCGCTTCGGGCGACCTGGAGCATGCGCTTTGCCCTGGCGCGTGGCTCCGTGCTTCGCGTGCCCGGCGCGCGGCGAGGGTGACGCGTGTTCGGTTACGCCAGGCGCCCTCACAGCTGGGCCCGGCCGGCGTGCCTCGGCCGCCTACCTTGCGTTTCCGCTGCCCCGCTGCGCAAGCTGATGTCGGGACGTGCCAAGAACACACGCTCGTCGCGCTGGTTACCGCGCCCACGCGCCGCACGCTCACGCACCTCCCCACAGGTAGCACGGCCAGCCCGGGCGCGGCGCGGCGGCCGGACTACGACGGTTGGAACAGCAGGGACGCGACGCTGGAGGTCATCGGCGGCGCGCACCACCTCACGCCGCGCCGGCCCGGCCCGCAGTCGGACTGGGGCGGCGCACACGCGGAGGGGTATGACGTTGGCGACACATGCGCGATGCCTGCGCGCCGCCGCAGCCCGAGTCCGGCGAAAGCGCGCTACGAGCCGCCTCGGGTGCCCACGAGCGGCCACGCGGCGGAAGCCTCGCTCGGCCTGACTCGGTCTGACGGGAGCAGCGACTCGTCGGACCCCGAGTCGGGCCCGGCCCCGAGCCGCAGCCTGGGGGAGTGCGGGATGGACGGGTCCATCGACGGGGAGCTGGACCTCGAGATGGACTCGAGCAGCGCGTCCACGGTCAGCACGGGCGACGCCGGCGGCGGCGCCATCGACGTGGAGACGCTTATGTCGCATTTGAACTCAACCAAGGTAGGAATATCGCACGGCACGAGCCACGGGGGCTCCGGCGAGGACCACCACCACAACCAGGCGCTGCACCACAAGGCGGACGCGTCGCACGGGAAGCACAAGCACAAGCACGGGCGCAGCGCGCTGGCGTCGCTGGCGCCGTCGGCGCAGCGCTCGCACCGCGAGGACGACGTGCTGTACGAGTACATGGTGACGGGGGCGCCGTCGCGGCCGAAAGCGGGCCCGCTGTCGGCGGGGAAGAAGGCCGGCGAGCGGGCGACGCCGGTGGTGGCGGGTGGGTGGGCGCTGGGCGCGGCGTGGCAGCAGGCGAAGCAGGCGGGCGAGCGGCTGCTGTATTTGTACTACAACTGGCGGAAAGGCACGCAGTCGGACCTGCTCGTGGTGGCCACGATGAACATCGGGATCCTGTCGTTCTTCGCGGCGATCAAGGTGTGTGTGTGTGTGCTGGCTGACAGACTGACTCAGCGCTCGAGACTGACGGCAACGTGCATGCGACCGGGACGCGTGGCGCCTCGCACGGACGCGCCATGCACGCACGGCTTGCTCCGAACGTTGCTTGCATTTCATTCTCTTTACTTATTTATCTATATATCAATGTTTTTATGTCTCGTGCGCAGTCGTTCGTCGACAGCGTCGGAGAAGCACCTGTGGGCGCCGAGGCTCCGTCCCCCGCTGCGGAGGCGGCCGCGGCCGGGATCCGCGGCGTCGCCGGCGCCGTCGCGCACCAGCTGTCCGCCATGTACGACGTCCTAATTCTCACCATCTTCACCGAACCGCCCGACGGCCCCATCACGCCAGCACAGAAGCTGTACACAAGTGCGCACGCCCCCCGCTGACCCAGCAGACTGCATGAAGCCTGTTCTCAGTTCCGCGCCCGCCGATTCGCACGCTGGGGCGCGTTCTGCTGCTCTGCGTCGGCGAGCGGCGCGCACGTGCCCGCCCGCGTCGCTCACTCGCGCCGCCGCCCGCCGGTCCACGCCCGCGCAGTCGCCGTCGGCTTCGTGGGCATGGCGACCTTCGCGCTGGTCCTGGCGCTGATCGAGCAGGCGGTGATGGAGAACTGGGAGCGCAACGTCGGCGACGGGTCCTGCGTGTACGAAAAGGGTCACACGCTCGTGCTCGGGTCCCTCGAGTCGCAGATCGACATCGCCATGCTCTACAAGGCGCGCCCGAAGCCTGTCTGACTGCGTGCCTCCGCCTCGCGTTGCCAGGAAGCACGCAGCGTTGAATGCTCGCCCGAATCGTGCCCGGTCGCGCTCACCACGACGCGCGCCCGGTTCCCGCTCTCTCCCGCAGCTGCTCGTGGAGCTCTGCCTGGCGTACCGCGCCACCGGCGGCCGCCCAATCGTCGTGTTGTCGCACAAACCTAAGCTTGAGATCGAGCAGCAATTCGACTCGATCCTGCCACAGGCCAGCCGGTTCGGAAGCACGCTGGTGTTCCGCCAGGGCAACCCGCTGATCACGGGCGACTTGCACCGCGTCGCGGCGCAGGGCGCGGGCTGCATCGTCGTTCTAGGGGACTCCTCGCGCAGCGCCCTCGAGAGCGACTCCATGGTGCGCCGCCCCGCCTCCTGTGCCGCAACGACGCGCCCGGGCACTCTCGCACCGATGCCGGCTTGCGTGCCCGGCCGACGGAGCCGCGCGAGCAGACACACGAGGATGGCTTTCTGTGTTGTTGGCTCGACGGGGCGGTACCGCCTCACGCCCGATCAGTAGCACTGCCGGCTCCGCAGGTGCTGCGGACGGCCATCCTGCTCGACGAGATGCAGCCGATGGAGACGGAGGGGGCCGCGGACGGATCGCCGCGGTCGCACTGCCACATCGTGTGCAACGTCATCTCCAGCGCCACTTCCGACCTCATGAAGCGCTCCTGCACGCCACGCATCCTCCCCTTCCCCGCCCACAAGTGCGAAACACCCCCCCGCCTCCCGCCAACACCACCCCGCTCCCTCACACCCCGCTCTCTCTCTCGCCCGACGCGCGCGCCGCACCGACCCCGCGCCCCCGCCCCGCCCGCGCAGATTCAACGCACGCCGCATCGCGCGCATGGTCCGCCAGCCCGTCGTCTCCGCGGTCTCCAAGACCATGTTCTCCTTCGCATCGCACTCCAAGGCCTACCTCCACTCCTTCCCGCACCTCGCGGGCCGCACCTTCCTGGAGCTGCCGCTCTTCTTCGACGACGGCACCGTCGTCGGCGTCCACTCCCCCGCCACGGGCGTCACCTTCCTCAACCCTGACCCCACGTACCGCCTCAAGCAAGGCGACCTCCTGCTCGTGATGCGCGCGCCGGGGCACGTCGGGAGCAAGCCGTACGCCGGCCGGGCGTTCGCCGCGGACGTGTCCGACGCCACGTGGCACTGGACGCCGCCGACCGCGGCGGAGGCGGTCAGCAGGTGCTTCCCTGACGACGGCGCCAGGGCGGCGGCCGCGGCGGGCGGCGACGCGATGGTGTCGCACCTGAGGGAGATGCGCGCCGGGAAGGGCCTGCACCAGAGCGAGTTCGGGTCCGCGGGCACGTTCGAGACGCTGCGAGAGAACCTGCAGCGGAGGGGCTACCTGGCACCTGCGCCGCCAACGCCGTCGAGCCTCGGGCCGCACGCGGTGCGGGCCGACTTCTTGAGCCCGACGCTCGGGCGCATGGGCACGCTCGGGCCCATCACGCTCCTGGTAAGCCGCGAGCCCCGCGGGAACGAACTCTGTATCTTGGCGCAACAGCGAACACTGTGTCTTGATTGTTTTTTCCGCGAAACGAGTATCAGCTGCCCGACGCGCGCCCCGCGCCCGCCCGTCCTTTTTCTCGCAGATCGCGGGCTGGTCGCGGGACCCGTTCATGATCGAGCTGATCCGAGAGCTCGAGCAGGGCCGGAACGCACTCCCCCCGGGGAGTGAGCTCATCGTGTTCAACGACCACCCCGCGAGCTCGACGATCGGCGTCATCCACCGGCACCTGGACGTGCAGAACCTCAAGGTGAGCAGCGACGACGCCGACGCGAACACCATCGCCACCGGTGCCATGGCATCAGGCCCCCTCTTCTCCACCCCTTCGGACCTGTTGCGCAGCCTCGCGCGACGAACGACGGCCGCGCACCCCTCCGTCACGCGCCGCATAGTGTTCGGACGCCGGTGACGAGCGACGCCGCGTCCGTCACGGAGCCCGACTCCCCCAAATACACCCCCCCTCCCCGTGCAGATCACGAGCGTGCGCGGCAACCCCTTGCTGGCGCGGGACTGGGCGCGGCTGATCGACGTTTCGCAGCTCGACAGCGCGGTCGTCTTCTGCGACCGCGCCTGGATGGACCCCGACCAGGACATTTCCAACGGCCTCGCGCTGCTTGAGCGCTCCCACATGTTGCGGCTGGACGCCCTGGTGATGATGGTGCAGCTGCACCTGCGGCGGCTCCTGGAGGACGCTCAGCGCCCGGACATCAACATTCTATGCGAGAAGCTCGCGTTCGAGGGCCTCACGCGGTTCGAGGACCCGCGCCGGCTGCCGATGGGGATTACGTTCAACGCCGCTGCGTACAGCGCGAAGCTGCTGAGTCAGGCCGCGTTCGACCCGGCGATGCTCGGGCCCGTGATGAAGATGGGCACCAGCGACGAGGTGCGCCGCGTGCGCGTCCGCTGCATGCGGAGTATGAAACCGCAACTCGTCAATCGCTACTTGCAACATAGAACAAGAATTAGAAGGAGTAGACGACGGTGTTCTCATAATGATGGCGCGCGCAGGTCGAGGTGCTGGACGCGGCGATGTTCTGCGAGCGCGGCGAGGCGATCACGTACTGGGAGCTCATGCTGCGGTGTCGCAAGATGACGCAGACTCTCCTGGGGTACTTCGAGCTGCCGCGGCACGCCGCGGACCCCGTGGACCTCTTCATGAACCCCGTCGGTGACCAGACGCGCTCGACGCCGCGCGTCTGGAACGACGGCGAGGGCCAGGTGAAGCTGGTCGTGCTGTGCAAGCGCGCCGATAGTGTGGTGGCGGCCGTCGCGGAGCGGCGCGCGCAGAAGGAGGCGGCGATCATGAGCGACCTGATCGGGGAGGACGAGGCCGCGGCTGCGGCTGCGGCCATCGAGGAGGAGGCGCGGCAGGCTGGCAGGGAGGCGGTGGCTAAGATGACGGATGCTGCGGTGACCGAAGGCGGGCTGAACGACGCGGGACGCACGAAGGCGTTCGATGCGGCGGCGGAGGAGGTGCCGCACTACCACGCCGTGGGCGTGGACGGGCGCGTCGGCCTCGACCCCGTGCGCGTCAAAACGGGCGAGGATGTTTGAGGAGAGTTTCTGTTTACTCCCCCCTGGAGCTGGGGGGTGTGTTTTTGCACGGGCTGGGCGGGCGTGGCGCTCGCGGCCGGACACCGGACCTGACCTCGTTTTGTGAGACGTCTCGCCAGAGCCCAGGTGGTAACGGCGCAGTACCCATGCTGTCTGTGCTACCGGGGGTGCGGTTTCGTGGGGGTTGCGTGGCTGCCGACGACGTTGCGTCGCCGAAGAAGCATTCCTCGCCCTGTCCGAGCGATCCAGCCGATTGGTTCGTGAGCTGAGAAAGCAAAACGTCGTTCAAAAATGAAACAATTGCTCTTGTCTGTCCAGGCGCTCGCCTGCGCGTCAGCTGACACGTCCGCCGCACTCAACTTCATCACATCGCGGATCCACGGAACCAGGACGTAACGGAATCTCCGCTGGAACCGCCCGGAGCGGCCGGCACCCCGCACCCTGTGCCTGCTCGCATATTATACCACCCCCTGCCGTTCAACCACACCTCCGGCTCCGGCTTCAATGCTTGGAGCGCGAGCACAGCCGCCACCTTCGGCCCGCAGCACTTCGCCCGACACCCCCCCCCCTAGAACACCGCGAACGCCTGCACAAACCCCACCGCCATCCCCAACACCCCCCCCACAAGGATGAGCTTGATCTCGTCCTGCTGGAACGCCGGATGCAGCACGCCCTCGAACTCGTTGCTCGGCAGCTTCGCCAGCGCCTCCCGCATCGTCCTCTCAACGTCCATCGCGGTCTCCATGTACTCGTACGCATACACCACATTCTCCGGCATGCTCTCGAGGACCGCCTCGGCGACCGCGGCGCGGATGCGCTCGAAGCGCTCGTTGCCGAGCACGACCAGCGCGAGCGGCTTCGCGCCCGCGAGCGCGACCTGGTCGATGTATTTGTATACGACGCCGGCGACGAGTTTGTCGAGCTCGGGCTTGAGGCGGCCGCCGAGGATCTCGCCCCAGATGCGGTCGGCCTTGAAGAAGAAGCTCGCGGACGCGTCGGCCATCTCGACGGAGACCTCCTGCTGCCGCTGTAGGAAGGCGCCGTGGATGGTGATGCCGCAGAACTTCTTCGGGTGAAGGGGGCGGAAGATGAGGAGCAGCGCGAGGTAGTTCGTGGCGTAGCCCACCGCGAAGCCGAAGAGCGGGAGAATCCACCTGCGAGAGGGTGCGACCGAGCGGGGGGGTAATATTTAATTTTTTATTTTTACAACTGAAGATCTTTTCAGGTACCAAAGCCTTGTGGCTGACCCGAAGAATGCAATACCTCACCTCAACACATTAAGAAAAGGTAGAACAATCGAGGGCCGGCGATGGTGTGGGCGAGGCGTGGTGTGGGAGGGCGGGGGCGCACCAGTCCTGCGCATACCAGTAGACGACGGCCTGGAGGATGCCGAAGAGGAAGCCGAAGTAGAGGCCGGAGCGTTCGATGATGCGCAGCTCGTGGCTGCCCACGCGCTGGAAGATGTTGACCATGACGCCCTTGTTGGCCTCGGCCATGGTGACGACGAGGTGGTTCATGTCGAAAACCTCGAGGATGCGGTCCTGCAGCGCCTCCATGAACATGCGGATGAGGATCTCGTTGTCCTCGGACGCGACGTCGTAAATCTCCTCCTTCACGTCCGCGTCCAGCGCGTGCCACAGCGCGGGGAACTCCTGCGACGCGAACGACGGCGTGAATGAATGTAACGGCGATCGACCGACTGCGCGCGATCAGCGGGTGCGGCGAGCGCGTCGCGCGCGATCGATGGAACCAGGGCCAGGAACGGCGAGCGAGCGCGCGCGTCCCCGCGGCCTGTGCGTCGCCCACCTGGAGCGCGACCTTTTCGACCGCGGCCTGCGTGGACTTGGCGATGCCCGGGTGCATCAGCTTGGCCATTTGCGCAGGGTCCATCTTGGAGAACACCTCCTTGATGTCGATCAGCTCGGTCGTCATGAGCTCGCACAGCTTCCCCGCCATGATCCCCGCCTTGGCCGGAATAATCCCCTGCGTCGCAGCGGCGCGCGCCGGCCGTTCGCGCCCCGCCCACACGCAGCGGAGCTCCACGACACCATGTATGCAGAAACGAGGGCTGCAGCCCCCGCGTGGCGCACACGCTGGCGGCTCGCAGGCGGGATGTTAGGGGAGCCCGTGCGGCGAGCGTGCGCCGCGGCACCGGCCGCGCGAGGACGCGGGCGCGCAGGCAGCTGCGTTGTTCTTCAGGGGGGTTTGTGGCCGCACCTGCCAGCCTGGGAGCCAGCCCATGGGCTGGGTCGGAATTTGAGCGAAGCTGAGGAACCGGGGCTGGTACTCGAGCGGGTAGAACGTCATCTTGAGCGCCACGACGTTGGTGAGGTACCCCACGACGGCGGCAATGGCCGGTATGATTAAGAACGAGTACCATGGAGGGTGGTCTCCGCCGTGCTCTTGCAGCCTCCGCCCTGCTCTACCCTCCGCGCCGCCGACGTCGCCCGAGAACGCGAGCACCGCCGCGAACGCCGCGAGCGCGAGTGCTGCGCTGCTGGCGAGGACCAGCCGCGGCGCGCCCGTGCTGCCTCTCCGCGCCGGCGACATCTCAGCAGCGGGATACCGACAAGGTCCACGCGCCAGAGGGGGAAAGCGGCGCCAGGAACGGGGGTGCGCGCGACGCAGCGGGCGGTCGTGCAGCACGCAGAGTGGCTACGCACAGGCTGCTGAGCGCATGGGGCGGGAGCTTTCGCCACGCAGGCCCACCTCCTGACTAGCTCGAGTGTCGTGCGCCCGGCGTCGCCGCTGCACGGCCCTTGAGCTGCCGGGGGAGCCAGGGTTCAGAACCGTTCTACTGCTCCGGGGACAGAGAGGGAAAGGGGGTCTCAGACCGTCTGCTGTGGGCGTGAGATGGCCCCCGCGCTCGGCCTGTGTGCGGCCAGACGTCGTTCCATGCCGCCGGGCTGTCCTGCTGCGGGTATCAAAGACAGCAGCGCACCGGGAGCGCGGAAACGTTGGTGTGCTAGCAGCGGGGACGTTCCACGCGCGCTGCCCTGAGTCAGCTTTGGCGGCCGTGGCTGTGTAGTGCGCCCACGACAGCGGTGAGATTGCCGCGAGCGTCTGAGGGGGCGGGAATGATCGATAGCCCCTGCGTGGGGCGCTGAACGTGCTGGTGTTGAGCGAGACGGGCGGGACGGCCGCACGGGCGCGATGGCGCGCGCCACGTCCCTCGACGACCTTCGCAAGAAGCTCGAGGACCTCTCGAAGGACCCGACCGCCGCGTTCGTGGAGGGGGAAGTCAGCAAGGTGCGACGCTACCTCCGCGGTGGCTCACAGGCCGAAACCTCCGCCGCCCGGGGCTCAAGCGCGTCAAATTTCGAGCAACGAGCTCGTCTGTGTAGCTCGTCATCGTCCCAGCCCGTCACACGCGACATATATGCAACAGAAGTACCGTGGAGCGCTCTGAAACAAACCTGCGGCGAGCCCGCCCCCTCCGCAGGTCTGCAAGCTGACGGAGCAGGTCCTGAAGGACGGCCCGAGCGTGCACCGCCACTTCTTCGAGTCCTGCTTCGCGCCGCTCGTCACATGCATCGCCGGGGGCAGCAGCAGGGGCGGCGAGGGGTGGCTTCTCGCACTCGACCACCTCCGCGACAAACACCCCCGCATCGCCGACACCGAAGCGCTCGTCAGGCACGCCCGCCGCCCCGCCTCCGCCTCCCACACCTCCTCAACTCACCCCCACACCCCCCACGCCCCCCCTCACACCTCCCAACACTCCGCCACCCCCCCGCCCGCTCCGCAGCCTCCTCCGCCCCGACGGCATGCTCCTGCGCGCCGTCGCGGAGTCCGGCCCAGAGTACCGCCGCTACCCGTTCCCGGTCGCGCAGCTCCCGCAGCGCACACAGCTCCTGCTGCGCGCCGAGGACGCCGCGTCGCGCGCGGAACTCATGCGGTGGCCGCACTACGCGGTCGGCACGCCGCCGCACGGTCCCGTTCAGGACCTCAACGTCCCGGCGCTGGAGTTCCTCCTCATGTCGCTGGCACGCGCGGCATGCGAGCCGCCGGTGGCGCACTACCACTTCGGTGCGACTCCCACGCGCCCCCTGCATGCCGCAGGCCGTGCGACTCCCATGCGCGCCCTGCACGGCGCAGGCCGCGCGACGCCGCGCTGGCTGCTCTGCCGCGCGTGTCGCCCCTGCGTCGGTGTTTTTGTGCCCCGCGGCGGCGTCAGTGTTCAAACCGTTTTTCTGTGTCGCGGAGGTCGCGTCGAAGCGCGTGTGCCGCTCCAGCGCCGCGCGCTGTGCTCGTTGCGAATCGTCGCGCTCGCTTGCGTGCAGCTCGGCGGCCTAAACACCCCCAATCACCCCCCCCCTCCCCTCCTGTGCACAGGCATTCTGCGCGCCGTGCAGCACACGGCGGGCCAGCACGGCTCCGCGGGTTTGCGGACCATCGCCGGGCGCGCGCGCGACCAGCTCGTCGACATGCTGCAACACTCCCCCGGGGCCGCGCCCCGCTTCCCGTTCGCGGCCGTCATCGGGCGGCTCCTCCACAACGCGCTCGGGCTCGGCGGCGCCAGCGCAGCCTCCAAGTCTGCCTCCGCGGCGTCGCGCCGCGCCGAGGCCGAGCTGATCATCGCGGTCCTGATGGACTTCTGGCTGACTGACGCGCTCGAAGTCCCCCCCTCAAAACCCCCCCCCGGCGCGGCGCTCTCGCTGCCGCCGTCGCGCGCCGCGGCGCCCGCGGCCGTCGCGCCGCCCCCGACCACGACAGCCGTCGCCGATGGCCTCCGGGTACTATTCCACTTGTACCTCCACATGACTGACTCATCGCCGCTGACTCAGCGGCGGAGCGGCGCGCCGGGGCGCGTCACGCCGGGCGCGGAGATCGTCGGGGAGCTGCGCATGCGCTTCTATCGGCTGCTGCGGCGGAAGCTGTGCCACGCGCAGTGGGGACGCGCATGGGCGTCGCATTCGAAATCCGGGCTGCACGAGGCGCAGCGCGCGCTGTCGCTGTGGAAGGACATCATGGTGCCGTGGAACGTGGTGTGGAACAAGGACGAGGGCGGCGTGGAGCACACGCGGCGGGGCGCGGCACGGGAGTGGGCGGCGCACCTGGGCGCCTACGCGCGCGAACACGCGTGCTTCTACTCCGTCCTGCTGCCGGCGTTCCTCGGAGGTAGGAACCACCCGCAATATCCCGCCCTGCTGCCACGCGCAGGCGCTGGTTCGACCCATGCGCGCCGGTACACGCACACCCCCGTTGCGCAGCGCTCGCTTCCCAGCTCCTGGCGTCGACGATGCGCGGTCCGCACCGCGCGCCTGCGCGCCATCGCTGCGTGAGCACCCTGCGCCGCCCCGATCCGCCCGCGCCGCAGACATGTGCACGGAGGCGAGCAACTGGCCGACAAAGGTCGCCGCTGAGTCAGCGGGCATCGTGAGCGCGATCTGCGCGTCGGACGGCCTGCTCGACGCCATCGCGGTCGCGGAGGTCGAGTACGCGCGCGCCATGGACGCCCTCGTCAACAACGGCGTCCCTGTCGGCGGGCACCTGGACCACGTCGCGGCCAATCCGCTACGGACGGAGAAATTCGGGGTTTTCGGACTCGGAATCGGGATCGAGAGCTACTGGCCGACGCCGAGGGTGCCGGACTGGGCGTCGCGGGACCGTGCGCGGGGGGCCGGCGGGCACGGCCCGCCTGTCACGGAGGTGGCGCGTCCGCGGTCGACGCTGCTGCGGCTGTTCTGCGGGGGCCTCGACAGCGGGGTTTACTCGGTGTGGGCGCTGATGACGCACCTGGCCGCGCAGGAGCACGCGAGGTCGGGCGGCGACGGCGGGTGGGAGGGGGGGTGTCGCGGATCAGCACGGGAGGGGTCCCGGAGCCCGGGGCCACGCGTGCGGGGCCGCGACGTGGACCAGCTGCAGGACGCGTGGGACAAGATGTGGGAGAGGGCGCGGCGCTGCGACGTCAAGGTTGACGAAATCAAACGGAGACTCCCCCTGGGGGGTCTCTCGGGGCACGCGGACCCGGGCTTCTCCCCGGAGACCGAGACGCCCGTGCGGAGGATCTCCTTCACGACCCCGGGCACCGTCGCGGGGCCCTCGACGCCGACCCCGGCGCCCGCGCGCCGCGCGGCCGCCGCCACCCTCGTGCCGGGCCGCGGACTGCGGCCCACGCGCCCGTACGAGCACCCCGACGCCGCAGAGTACCTCTGCCGGGACACTGCGCGCCTGGGGCGCTCCCTGGCGTCGTACGAGATCGCCTGGCTCGCACGTCTCCTGCACAGGTTGTCGTCATACCTGAACGAGGCTCTCGGGCTGGTGCAGCCCGAGACGGGGGCCCAAGGGCCGCCGCGGACGACGGGCGTGTGGGGCCTGGACGAGGTAGTGGCGTGGTGCCGTGCGGCGAACCCGCCCGTCCTGGTCGACCTGAGGTTTCTGGCAGAGGTGCCGACGTTGGTTATTGTGGCGGTCGTGGCGATGGTGGTCCGGTGGGGGCCTGCGGTGCTGCGCGCGATGGGCGGCGCGTAGGGCGGCCTGGGCGCAGTGGGGCGTGACGAACATGCAACGTGAAGTGCGTACGCGTCACCTGAGTGTCACGGCGGCCAAGAGATTGCCATGGCTAGTACTTCGCTGACCTACAAGCACCCTCGCCGCGAGGACGCTTGAGCGACCGAATGGATGAGACAGCGACGGCGGTTGAGTGCCCGCACGGACGAGCGCGAAGGGAAGCGGAGATGGCAGAGGTTCAGCACCTGAGCACGCGCATGTGGGGTGGCCGGAGGCGGGAGCCGTGCAGGCTAGTAGACGTTCCTTCTACAGAGTGCAGTGCAGCGACTCCTCTACATGTCTTCCCAGTTGGCAGTTTGCGACTAGAAAAAGAAAGAACACGAAGCCGCAGAGCTTGCATCCGCGAAACCGGGCCAACGCCCCGCACCGCGGGTCGCTGCGCTCCAGCGTGACCTCGCGACGCGCAGTGCTTGTACTTGGCTGACCTACAAGCACCCTCGCCGCGAGGACGCTTGAGCGGCCGAAACGGTACGGCAGACGTGCGCTCAGCGACGCCTCTCGCCCGCGTCCGACGAAACCCTCTCCCTCACATCCGCTCCAGCCCGAAACATCTTCCAGCCACACCAATCAACACCTGTGCACAACCGATGCACCACTCCACCTCATTGCCGCAACGGGCTGCACACCGACCCCGCATCGCTCTCGTACCCGTCCAGCAGCCCCGGCCCGGCCTCCAGCGGCTCCCACGCCGCCCCCAACCCCTCGCACACGTCCCCCAACTCCCACTCGTCCCTATCCCGCATCTGCATCAGATATGCCACCTCGCCGTACACCGCCGCCGCCGTCGACGCCTCCGGCGCGCCGCCCCCCGGCACCCACGCGCAGTTCGGCGCCAGCGACCGATCGACCCGGTCCGCGCGATGCTCCGCGCGCCGGACCGCCCGCGGAGACCACTGTGGCGACGCGCCTTGCGCCGCGCCGCGGGAGCCCTCGCTGTCGCGCCGGGCCTCCCCGCCGCGGCCGCCGTCGTGCACCCACGGCCACGCATCCCCTTCCGCGCCCTCGCCGTCGCGTCCAGCTCGCCGCTGCTCCGCGGGAGCCCCCGACAGCCCCAGCGCGCGACGCAGCTCCCGCCCGCAGGCCCGCACGGCCGCCGTGAGCGGGCCCGGGCGGCGCCCGCCGCGCCCATCTGCCCCGTGCGCGCCGTGAGCGCCCAGGCCGCGGTGTGCCGGCGCCGGAGGCTGCAGCGCGGCCGCCTGCATCTCCCGCCGAATGTCGTGCACCGGGCGCTGCGGGTCGTGGAACAGCGGCAAGCGGCACGTCGGGCAGTTGAACGCGTGCGTGCTGCTCTGCTCGAACCACCCGCGCAGGCACGACAGATGGAAGATGTGGCCGCAGGGGAGCTGTTTTGCTAACCCCAGCTCCTCGAGGCAGATTCCGCAGTCCCCTGAGTCAGGGCCGCATTGGACGTCCTCGAACGAGTGCTGGAGGTTTGTTTTCGCGGCGCGGAAGCGCCGCACGACGCGCCACATCTTCTGCAGCTCGCCCGCGATCATCCCGAGGTGGATGACGACGATGAGGAACAGCAGCGGGTGCGGGTGCCGCCAGCAGACGAACGCGAGCTGCGCCGCGACGAGGCACAGCTCCGTCGCGCACGCGACCATGTCCAGGTAGAACAGCACGGCCCCGCGGCCCTCCCACGCCCGCGCCAGCCAGCTGTCGTCGGCGTTGTCGGCGACCGCGCGAGGGGGCCGGCGGCCGCGCTGTGCGCGCGCAGCGCGCCCACGGGAGCTCGCCGCGGGCCACTTCCCGGCCCAGACCAGCGCGAGCGAGCGCGCGGCGGCTGCGGAGGCCTCCCCGGCGCAGGCCTGTACGCGTCTGACGTACCGCGCCAGCGGCACGGGATACACTTGCATCAGTCCGACGGACTGCCGCGTCAGGGCGTGGAGCTGCTCGACGATGAGGAGGACGCACTCGATGCGCTCGAGGAACCGCGCCGGCGGGGGCAGGTGGGGGAGGACTCTCGGGAGGTGTACAACCCAGTAGACGGACGACGCGAGGCCGAGGGCGAGGAGCGCGGGCGGCGCGAGGAGCGGGCCGGGGCGCGGGACGTCGGCGGCGAGCAGCGTCGAGAACCGCCCGCGTGCGAGGCCCGTCAGAACACTCACGGTGCACAGGACGCCGACCGACAGGAGTGTCTGACACAGGCGCATGAAGGTGGGCTGCGTCCACATGTCGGTGAGGCCCGTGACGAGGACGGCGCGCCGGACGATGACGTTCCTGCGCGGGGCGGTGGGCGCGAGTCAGGCGCGAGAACGAACAGGGACATGGGTGCGTTTGCAAGACGGGAATTCTCGACTGAACGTGAGCCGGTGTTGGAGGCGTGGGACCGGGGACGCACTGGAGGATCCTGTCGAGCATCGCGGTGCCCTCGGCGCTCGACAGCGTCCCGAGGAACGCCCAGCGCACTACGTTGAAGGTTGTGATCAGTGCTGCAAGTCCCGCGTTGAGCAGCACGAGCCGCCCCGCGTCCCCCGCGTCCGCGACGGCGGCGACCGCGCTCCACGTGAACACCTGCGCGCACGAAGCACCCGCGCCGCGCACGTGGCACACGCCCAGCACACACCGCGCCAGCACGCATGACAGACATGCTGCTGCGTTGCGCGACAGCGCGCGCGCTGCGAGGAACGCAGGGCGCGATCGGCGCGGGCGCGGACGATACCTTGCCGGCCGCGAGCTCGCGCCAGAGCGCGTCCCACCGCCGCACATGGCGCATGAGGTGCGGCTGGAGGGAATTCTCGAGGCGCGCGCGCTCGACGCTGACCTCGTGCGCCGCGAACGCCGTGGTGGCTCCGGCGCGCGGGGCGTCGGTCTGGCGCGTCAGAGCTTGCACTGCGGCGGGCGCTGCCCACTCTGCGCCGCCGGGCAGGCAGAGGCCGGGCTGGGTGGCCCGTGGCGGAGCCGTCGGCGGCGCTCCGTGTCCCGTCTTGAGCTGCATGGCGATCAGCAGGCCCTGCGCGCGCGCGGCGAGTCGCGGGGCGCGGCGGGGGTCGGGGACGGGCAGCGCGGCGCTGGGAGCGCAGGCGGCGAGTGCGCCGCGGGGGCGCGGAGTGATCGGCGGTCCGGCGATGCGATGCGTCGGGAGGGCGGGCCTCACCCAGCTGTCCGGGTCCTGGGCGTACGAGATGCCCGCAGCGCCGTCCAGGAGGTGCTGACACCACACGGAAGGCACAGAGATGCACCGGACGTCCAGGCCCGGGGGAGGCGCCTCCCAGGGCTTCGCGTTGGCCGTCTCGAGGTTATGCTCGCTGCGCGGGGGGCGTTCGCGGCGGGGAGCGGTCAGGGGGGCAGTTAGCGCGGCTTGAGCTGCTGCAACCGATCACGGGAGCACCGTTGCGGCGCGAGGAGGGCGCGAAGCGGGCGGACACGCAGCCGAGGGAGCCCACCTGTTCGCGAACGCGCTCTGGAACGCGCTCGGCGCGGGCGACACCCCCCAGAACGCCAGCGGCCCGGGAGGACTATGCAGGAGAGCGGGGCAGTGCGGTACGGGAAATACGCCCGCCGTGGCCGCGAGGAACCGCACGTCGGCCTCGGCCTTCTGCTGGCCGCCCACGGCGCCGTCGAGCAGGTCCACGGCGCGGATGCGGAAGAGCGCCTCGGCGTGCTGGTACACCGCCAGAGCCCGGGGCTCAATGTATAAGAAATAGAGAAGCATGGCTAGGGAGACGAGCGCGTACGCGCACTTGACGAGCCCACGGTGCCGCCAGAGGACGAGCACGTGCGCCAGGCTCGCGGGGACCGGCGCGGGGGCCGCCCTCCGCCTCGGGTGCTGCGTAGAGAGCATCTGTGTGGGCCTGGCCCGGGATCCGACCATGGCTGGCCCTCCGCCCGCGCACGCGGGATGGACGCCTGTCTAGCTCCGGGAACGGCGGGGAATCGGGGCCATTGCGCCGCTGCGACGCGCTGCTGCGAGACTAGGCGCTCTCTATGCTCTCCGCATCGTCTCAGCGCGACTCCGATGTGGTACGATACATGCAAACGTCGGGTGTGAAAGTGGCAGCGGCCCGGCGAAGCCATCGGGCCGCCACGGTCCCCCCAGCCCCCCCGTGACCACTCCTAGCACTCCTGGTGCTACTTCCAGGCCGTCCGACGGGGGATTGGGGCGCCGCGGCGGGCCGCGGCGCGCAGTGCAGGCACGGGGCTGCTGCGGTCTATCGCATTTCAGCATGAACGCGACGGGAGCGGCCGCGTAGCCCGCCGCAGAGGCCGGGGAGTGCTGCGAGTAGTGATCGGATGGTTCGCATCGTGACGTTTAATGTCAATGGGTGGACCCCGACGGCGAGGAACATAGTCCTCAAGTACGGGAGCCTCAAGGCGTTCTTCGAGGACGTCCTGGAAGCCGACGTCGTCTGCATTCAGGAGGCGAAGATCCAAAATGTGCGTTCCGCGAAACAACGGCTCGTGCGGCCCGTCCCGGACCGCATTTCCACCGCGAGCGCACGCGCCACTTCGCTCTCGATCCTGTCTCTGTCGCGGTGATCGCTCGGGCCCGTGACGCGGCGCTGCGTGCGCGCCACGCCTGTGCAGGAGAAGCTGAGCGCGGAGGTGGCCAGCGCCGACGGCTGGGAGTCCTTCTGGGCGTGCAGCGCGGTCAAGAAGGGATACAGCGGCTGCACCACCTTCTGCCGCCTCGAGTGGTCCCCGCTCGACGCCAAGCTCGACGCGCTCGGCGCGAGCATGGCCACGGACGACGACGCGCCGCGAGGACCAAACGAGAGCCCGCCCGAGCCCGCTGTCGACGGCGAGGGGCGCTGCGTAGAGACCGACCACGGCGCCTTCGTCCTCATCAACGTCTACGTCCCCAACGGCGGCGACCCCTCCGGCCCAGGCGGCCCCGAGGGCAAACCTCGCCTGCGACATAAGTTGGCGTTTCTGCGGGCGCTGGAAGCGCGGGTCAAGTCGCTGCGATCGCAGGGGCGCGACGTCGTCGTCGTGGGCGACCTCAACGTCGCGCGTTTCGGCAACGGCCGCGACGCCCACCCTGACTTCGACCTGGACAGTATATACAGCAATGCCGAGCGGCGGTGGATGGAGCGGTACGTATCGGGCGCGACCGCCGTCGGCGTGGACGCGTTCCGGCACCTGTATCCGGCGGCGTCGCGGACGTACACGGTGTGGGACGAGAAGCGGAGTTATCGGGCCATTGATAAGGGATTGCGCATCGATTACGTTTTGATATCTGGCGACGCGCTGGTCGGGGCTCTGAAGGAGTGCAGGGTGGTCGGGGACGCGAACGTGATTCCGTGGAAGTGGTCGGACCACGCCGCGGTCGTGGCGACGTTCGACGGCGTCGCGGCGCCGCATGCCGCGGGGAGTGTCCCGCCGCCGCACCCGCTGTCCTCGCGGGCGCACCCGCGGCTCAAGCAGGACGCCACGCAGCGGTCGCTGCTGTCGATGTTCAAGCCGAGGGCCGCGGGGGACGCGGCGGAGCCGGCGGCGAGCGGTGAGGCGCGGAACGGGGGGGGAGGTGTTGGGGGGGGGTCGGAGGGGCAGCAGCCGGGCAGCGAGGACGTGGCGGCGGTGGGCGCGAAGCGGCCGGCCGGCGCGAGCGCGGGCGGGGCGCCGGCGAGGAAGGCCAAGGCGCCGAAACCACTCCTGCCAGGCCAACAAGGTCTCAAGGGGTTTTTTGCAAAAGGGAAATCTTGATTGCGGATGATTTATTGAATCCGCGGACAATCAGCCCCCTTCACCGCTCGGCCCGTAGCTCTCGGTCTGCACGCCTATCTCACAGTCGGGAGATAGCGTTCCGAGTATACATATGATTTCAAGTCTTGTAATGCACTGCAGCTATCTAGAACGCGAGCGCACGAGCTCCCAATGCACGCAGAGCGCCAGACGCAGCTCTGCGCCCCCGTCACCGCATCCCGAGTCGCGCTGCGCCGCGCGTGACTGTCGCGCGGTACCACGTGGGCGTGCACACCTCCTGCAGCCCGACGGCGCCGCGACACTCCCCCGCGTCGGCGCCCGCGGCTTCCTCGCGCGCCAGCCGCCACGCGAGGTCCTCGTCGACCTCCAGCCGCGCCCTCTGCGCTCAGGAAGTGAAAAAAAACACTTGCTCTTCTAGTTCCTCGAATGAAGAAGACAGATCTCCTGTGACCCAGTTCCTTTCCGCTGCAGATGCACGACATGAAAAGCGCGCAGACAAGAGCACGCGTCTGCATCGACCAACAGGCACACCCGCCCGGCGCCAAGCGCGGACGATCAAGGCCATCTGTTGGGCGCCCACAAACGAGCAGCAGCCAAGCGCGCTCGTCCCGAGCAAACCCTGCTACCGCCGCACGCGCCCGCGCATCCAGGCACTCTACCGGCAGCAACCACGCGCACCAGCGCAGCCACGTCATACGCGGGCGCTGAGAAGACGTCGGGGGACTACACGTACCTCTCCGGCGGTCTCGCTGCGCGCGGGCACGAGCCCCATCGCCCTGCACACGCCCGCGCACCGGTGCGTCGCCGCGAACGCCCGCAGGCCGCGGTCTCCCAAGTTGCCCGCGCCGAAGCCCTGCCCGTCGCGCGAGTGCACCTGCGGGTCCGTGAAGCACGTCCCCACGCCCTGAATGTCGCACACCACGAGCTGCCGCCCGGACGCCTCGTACGTGAAGTGGCTGAACGCCTGCGCCACGCCGCCCGCCGACGACGACGCGGCATCTGAACGCAAACACACAGCCCGCGCGCCGTCGGCATCATCAGACACGCACGCGCACGAGATCAGAATCTGCACGCCGCGTCCTGCAGCGCGTTTGCGAAGTCATTCAAGCTCGAACGCTCACGACACAAGTACGCGGGCGTGCCGCGCCGCACCTCCCACGACGCTGCCGTCGTTGGTGTTGTACTTGACGTACTGCCCCCGCAGCTCCGGCTCCAGCGCGAGCACGCGCTGCGGCCGCCCGCCCACCCGCGCCGCGGCCCCCGCGCACGACACGACGCCCACTGGCAAGAACGCAACAGTGGGGAACCCCAGGGGCTGCACGCGGCGGTTGAACTCCTGCGCGAAGGCCTCCGCGACGGCCTGCGTCATGGCCTCGTCGAAGACGGCCGCGGGCGGGAGCCCGCTCCCCGGCCGGAGCGCCTTGGCGACGGAGGGTATGGTAGCGCCATCCGGGTCGAGCTCCTGGCACCTGACGCAGTCGCGCATCGCGCCGCTGCGGTGTGAGCGGGAAGGCGGAGAGGATGAAAGGCGTGGTGGGTGCTTTTGCGCGGCACGCGGCATCGCGCGCTGTGAGGAGCCGCGTGCGAAGAGCGAAGTGGCGTGCGCGTGCCTGGCGAAAGGCCTGCCGCCGTCCAGGATCCGAATGGCCACGTCGGACGCGACCCAGTCCGCGGACTCTATCGCGTACGTCAGGCGCGTTCCGCGCACCACGTCGCCGCTCATCGCTCTTCGCGACCACACACGGCGCCCCTGTGCAACTCACGCGCCCCGCTGCGGCACCACGCGCCCGCGTCGTCGGGTGCAATCCCAGACGATAGTCACGACATGGCGCGTCCTGACAAGCATCGCGTCGCGCCCGCATGCGCTCCGTTTCAGCCCGGGAGCGCGTCCATCCAGAAGGAAAGTGCAGTCAGGTATAATCCCGGCTCTTTCCGACGCGCCCAGGGCCTCACAGACGCCGCGCCGCCGTGTGCTGGCCACTCGCGCACGTAGCTCCTCGGACTCGCACTCGTGAAGCGAGACCCGGATCCGCAGCGCGCGTTCGCGGGCCCTTGCACCTCAACCTCCGACACCAGGCCGGGAACGGGATCGAGATGGCCAGGTCGCGTGGCGGTGGCGGCCGCAGCAGCTCGAGGGGCGCGTCCTCGAGCCGCGAGTTCGGCAGCATGTTCGGCTCCGGGGCCACGAAGAAGAGCGCGCCGGCCCCCGCGGGTGCGTGTCCGCAGCCTCAGACCCTGGGCGCCGAACTCGCGCCCGTCAGGCCGACCTGACCTCGCAGAACCGCCGGATCCGCCCTATCACGCTCTGAACGACCAGCCCTGCGGTGTCCCACGCCAGCATGGTAACGCGTGGCCATGAGGAGAGCCCCAACCTCGAGCTCCGAGGAACGCAGCGCCCTGGTTCGCTCTGCGCCGCCGCGCCAGGGCCTCCGCGCAGCTCCGGGGTCCCTCTCGAGCGCAACCCCGCCGCTTGCGACCCTCATGGCCCCCAACCACCACGTCAGGGCGACCACAGCTGCACTGGCGAGCCGCCACCACCACCCAGCCCTTGCACTCACCACGACCCCCTTCGCCCCCCCTGCCCGCAGCCGCGCCGCCCCCGCCGGCCATGCCCCAGCAGCAGCAGGGCGGCGGCATGATGTCCGGCCTCGGCCGCACTGTCGCGGTACGCCGCCCGACCCCCAACTGACAGCGCCGCACCACGCCATGGCCCATCCAACCTGTTCTGAGTCCGACACCTGCGCGACGCCGCCGCGGTGGCCCCGCAGGAGGGTATGGCCTGGGGCACCGGTACCGCGATGGCCCGCCGCGCCGTGGACTCGATGTTCGGCGGCGGCGGCGGCGAGCACGCGCCAGCGGAGCAGCAGCAGGCGCAGCCGCAGCCGCAGTTCGCGGCCGCGCAGCAGGCGGAGGACCCGTGCGCGTCGGCGAGCAAGGCGTTCCTGGACTGTATGAACCAGAACGGCGGCGACATGGGCGTGTGCCAGTACTGGTTTGACTCACTGCAGCAGTGCAAGCTGACGGGGCGGCCCGCGATGGCGTAGGTCGCCTGCCCGCAGCTCCGGCGCGAGGACGGCGAGAGCGTTGAAGTGTGACTCAGAGTGCCCTAGCTGCGGCCGTGCGCCAGGCGGAAACCACACGCAAGGCGTGCACGCGCAAGCTGACGGGGCGGCCCGCGATGGCGTTGGTCGCCTGCCCGCAGCTCCGGCGCGAGGACGGCGAGAGCGTTGAAGTGCGACGTAGACTGCGCTAGCTGCGACGTAGCGTGCCGTGCTTGCACTGCGACGACGACTGCAGTGGTGCAGGGAACCGTGGTGGTTGCGTTGCGTTTGGCTGCTGCAGAACTTGGGGCGCGCTGTGCGGCTGTGTGCCTGCGCCGTGAAGAGTGCGGCGCCGTGCTAGGAGCACTCGCGCGAAATGCCGCGTTGGCAGGCTGGCATGCCTGCAGGAGGGATGGGGCGAATCGCGGGCAGCAACGGCTCCACGTCTTCGCGAGCAGCGACACGCGCGCATTGTACGCGTCGGTGGATGGAGCGCGGGCGTGCAGGCCCCCGGAAGAGAGAGTGCAACACCGGTGCATCGTCGCAGGCGGTCGTGAGGCGAGCGCAGCGAACGATCACACGGGTCGCGTATCGACGAGCGAAGCTGTCTGTCGCGAGAATAGAATGCCCTGGTCCTGCGGGAGGGTGTGCGTGTGTGCGCTGCGGCAACAGTGGTTGAGCGCAGCGTTGCGGAACTCGGTTGAGGGTTCGCCTGGCTCCCTACATGGGGCCGGGCTCGGTGTCAAAAGTCAGTGCTCGCACGCCGGGGCGTGCTGAGAGGGCCTGAAACCTGTGGTGAGGCTTGCGGGTTGAGTTGAGCGTGAGGGTCTACTTTTTCAACGATAGCGGTCGAGTCAAGAAGGTGCGTCCCAATGGTCGTGCAGATAGGAGAAGCGGCTTGAGAATAGAGCAGTAGAGTGTCGATCGTAGAGTATAGTTGCGGTGGCAATAGAGGGTTTCCCTTTCTTCGTTAGTCCGTCACGTAAGTGACAGTAGAGGGGAGGATCCGAGTCCTGGAGTGCTCGAAAGGGAAATTCGTCGGCTATCTTACGCAGTTTCTCGCCGTAGGCGTCGAGCGCGCGGCCTCGCGCTGACGTCAGTCGTCCAAGTCATACCCGGCAGTGCCCAGCACTGCCGTCTCCAGCCGCTCGCGCAGCACCTCCCGCAGCGCCGCCGGCGTCGGCTCCGGGGAGAGCGCGGCCGCGGCGGCCGCCTGCAGCGCCTCCCAGTAGTTCGGCAGCTCGAGCGTGTTGCTGCACGTGTGCGCCTGCGGCAGCATACAAAGCTGCGCGGCGCGCTCGTCCTCGGAGAGCGCCACGAAGGGCAGCTCGGCGCGCAGAAGCTCCGTGCCGGGCCGCGGGAGCCGGTCCGTGCCTGCATCAGCGCGAGGGCGGGGGCTGCAGCGGTTGAGCAGCGCAGTGCGCAGCTAGCCCGGAGAGCGACCAGACAGACCGCAGCCCGCGACAGGGCGGACGGAGCGCGGCTATTTCCAGCGCGCTGCGCCGCCAACGGTCGCTGCACGCACCTGTCACGAAGGCCAGCAGCTTGCGCTTCATGGGAGGCTCCAGCGCCTCCACAACGACCCGCAGGGCCTCCAGGAGCTCCGGGCAGCCGCGCAGCTCCTCGTCCGGAGCCAGGTGGAAGTACGCGAGCACCGGAAAGTCCCCGTCCCGGTGCTGACGTGCCCCGGACACCCCCTCGCACACGTCCTCGTCGCCAACGGCGAGCTCCGCCATCAGCTCGAGGCCCACGGTGCCGCCCAGGGCCTGCACGAAGCCCTCCGACATAAGCTGCAGCCCGTCCGCGCCGCCCTTGGCCCGGGGCGCGGCGCCGCTGTCGGGCGGCACCAGCGCGTGGTGTGTCGACACGAGCGCGAACACACCCGCGGGCACGTCGCCCGGGACGCCCGCAGCTTCGGCGATTTCCGCGAACGCAACGGGGTCCGAGTGCGCGAGGTCGGCCGCCTGCCGGATCCCGTGCGCGGTCGCGGCGTCAACCGCGTTCAGGTCACGCAGCGAAGGCTCCCACTCCGGGCCTTGCCGCAGCGCCCTGCAGCCGCACGGGGTCGCGCAGGACGTGCGGTGAGCGTAGAAGGTCGCATGCGGCGAAGGAGGGGGCCGGGTGGGGGTGTTGCGGTGCCCGCAGTTCCTGTGTGAAGGGCCAGGGGGGGGGTGTCGCACCGGATGAGGACGGGGGAGATCTGCTTGCCGAGGCTGCAGCGGTTCGCGAGGCACTGCCCCATGATCCAGCCAGCCATCCACCACTCCCCGTCTGACCGCTTCGCTGGCGACCTGGACACCCAGTACGACTCTGAGCCCTGAACGTACTCCAACACCCCCCCCTCCGCGCACAGCGCCTCGCCGACCCTGCAGGACGCGCCCCGGCGCACGGATCCCGTCAGCGAGCGCAGCACCGCGCCCGGCTCGACGCAGCGCCGGTCTGGAGGCACACAAACGCAGCGTGGGCACGGCAGACACGAAAACAGGTCTTCGGGCCGCACATGCTGAAGAACTCCTTGCGCGGCCCGTGGCCCTCGCCGGCCTCGCGCACCGCGTCCGCGTCCGCCGCGGCGCCGTCCGCGCACAGCGCCGCGTCGACGAACGCCGGCAACAGCTTGCACCGCGCCAGGCCGGTGTCCCTCGCCCGCGGCCACAGGGCAGCCACGAGGTCGCGGAACGCGCTGCCGCGGCGCACCACGAGCGACGCCTTGCCTTCCTGCTGCGCCGCACCGGCCGCGAGGTAGAGCACGTCGCATTTCGCTGCGCTGCTCAGCAGCCCTGCGCAGGCAGGCATGGTCGCGCCAACGGCCTCGCAGACGCCGAACGCGTCGTCCTTGAGCCGCTGGTACGTCGCCTGGCTCGAGACGGCGACCTCCCGGCACGCGACGGCGCCGATGAGCCCCCACAGACGCGACAGCCCGGCGCTCTGAGGAGCCTCGTCGCCGAGGCCCCCCCTGAGGCTGCTCTCGAGCCTCGAAATGGCCGCCAGCGCCTTGACGATGCCGTCCTTGATGTTCAGCTTCCTCGCGCCGCCCTTGTCCTCGGCCTCGCTCATCCGGAGCGCCTGCGCCTCGACCGCGCCTCGCACGAGCTGCGCCAGCTCGGCCAGCTGTATGTCCCCCCACCCGCGCGCGCCGTCGCCCCGGGACACGGCGTCGGGGAGCTTGTGGACGAGGGGGTCCAGGAGGCGGTCCACGGCCGCGATGCACGCGGAGGCCTTGAGCAGGGCCACCTCCTGGTCTTCGGCCTGGCTGTACGTCAGGACGTCGAGGCTGTGGAGCTCCGCGAGCGTTTCGTGGATGCCTGAGCCGAGCTTGCGGAGAATGGTCCCCGGGCCGTGCGCCTGCGCGGCGCACGGGCCGAGGCCGTTGCCGCGGCGGTCGGCCTCATTGGTGGGGCTGTGGGCCGAGTTGCGGGCCGTGACGTGCGCGCTGGCGTCCGCGTTGCCCGCGGGGAAGGGCTCGGAGGCGACCTCGGCCGCTTTGGAGCCCGAACAGCCCATCCTGCCGCCCCCGCACGCCCCCCCGGCTCCCCGCTTGGCTAGTGTGCTGTCAAAACGCGCAGGGCTGCCGCACGCGGACGCCCCGCGGATGCCGTCGCCCCCGGCCGCTCCGAGAGCGAATAGCCGCGTCTCTGCGGCGGGCGCGGCGCGCGGCGCGTCCTAGACTCGGGCGGGGCGGCATTCGGCTCCGGAGGGAGGTGGAGTCCACACAACGGTATAAGAGGCGTGTGCGTCGTGGAGGGTGTTGTGCGGACCGTTGGACGCGCCGTTGGTGCGGCGGGGCTGCGCGTGCGTGCACTCGGGGGCCTTGGAAGTCGGAGCGAACGCGGGTGGCGCTGTGCGGGCCCGCGTGAGATGCGCCGGGCGTCGTCGATCGCGCTGCAGTGCAGGTTTGCGTGGCACACCCGTGGGCGGCTCGCGCAGCGGAAAGCAGGACCTAGTCGCCGCGTCGGGGGCCCGTCGGCCTCGCGCGCGAAAGAGGCAGACGCACGCAGGAGCGGCCTTGCCGCCAGCGGAAGCGACAGACGCGGAGAACGGGCGCGGACGACCGCGGCTGCGTCGTCGAAGATGCCGCCCGCGGAGAAGAGGTGAGGAACGCCGCGTCCCTGGCGTCGACGCCGCCGTATCACAGCACTCCCTCCCCTTTGCCCCTTTCCAAAGCACGTCGACACTCTACACGGCCCCCGCCGACCGTCCACGGCCCCGGATGGCCGGTACCCGGGCACACCCCGTCCCCAAGGGCCCTGCCCGTCCGCAGCCCCGGTGTGCTCCGCCTTGCAACGGACGATCATGCTTTCACGACTTGTGCTCAACCTCCAAGCACCCTTGCGGAGAGAGAGAGAGGTGGGGGCTTCAAGGACGGCATTCGGCGCCCGTGTCCCCCGCAGGCCCTTCGACCTCGTCGTGATCGGCGCGACGGGCTTCACGGGCTCGCTCATTTGCGAGCACATAGCCCGGGAGTACCCAACTACCAAAGGGCTGTTCAAGTGGGCTATCGCGGGCCGCAACCGCTCGAAACTCGAGTCGGTGAAAGCGCAGCTCGCGGACATCGACCCCGCGCTGGCGGACGGGCTCGCCGTGCTGACGTACGACCTGTCGGACCAGGCGAGCGTCGACGCCGTTGTTGGGCAGGCGCGAGTCGTCGTCAGCGCGGCGGGCCCCTTCGCGCGGATCGGCACGCCCGTCGTCGACGCCGCCGTGCGGCTCGGCACGCACTACTGCGACACAACGGGTGCGCTTGCTTCGCGCACGCGAGCCATCATCGCCGCCGCACAGGCTACTTCCCTGCCGCCGCTGCTTGCGCGCCGGCGCCCACACTCGCCGCTGCACGCAACACACTGATGATATGCGTGCCTTCACGCGCCTCCTTCCGCGCCGCCTCCTCGCGCGTGCATGTACTCGTGCCATTCACCGCGTCGGGGGGTGTTGCTACTTTTCTACTTTTTGCGCGTTTCCATTCATTCATTCGGCGCTGCCAGTCGTCAGTCTGACGGCACTGGCTGCGTCGGCGCTGCGCTGTTCCCGCAGGCGAGGCCCCGTGGATTCGCCGCATGATCCGAACGTACCAGGACGCGGCGGTGGCGGCGGGCGTGCGGCTGGTGCCGGAGTGCGGCTTCGACTGCGTGCCGCAGGACATGGGGGTGTACTTGCTCGCGGCGGAGGCGCGGCGGGCGCAGTGCACGCTGGGGCGCGTCGAGGGGGTGCTGGAGGACTTTGGCGGGGGAGTGTCGGGGGGGACTGTTGCCAGCGCGCTCGAATTCCAAAAGGAGGGGACCGCGGAGCTCCGGGAGTTCTCGCAGGACCCGCTGTACCTGGTGCGACAACATCAACCTCTTCTTGGTATTTCACACATGATATTTATTCAATATCATTCATTCGTCGAGTTTTTGCATCCCGCCGCACCGCAGCTCCCCACGAACCCGCGCACGCCTTTCTGCGACGCTCGCAGGTCCCTGAAGCCGCCCACAGCGACGTCGCGGCGCGCATGCGTCGCCGCCTCCCCGCCGAGGCGCTCCTCTGGACCGGCCGCTTCCCCCTGTCGCGCCTCTGGACGGCCCCGTTCATCATGGCCACGGTCACCGCGCGCACGATCTACCGCTCGCACGTCCTCGGCAACGAAGCGTACGGCGCGCGCTTCAGCTACGCGGAGGCCCAGGCCGTTGGCGGCCGCGTCGGCGCCTTCCTGGGCTCCGTGGCCTTCGCGGTGATCGGCGCCATGGTCACGATCCCGCTCCTCGCGCCGCTCACGCGGTTCCTGGCCCCGAAACCCGGCTCCGGCCCCTCGCTCGAGCAGCAGCTCGCCGGGAGAATGAAGTACACCTTCACCGGGGAGCTCGTTGGGGGGGAGGGCGCGGCGCGCGCGAGGGGGCCGGCGGAGGCGCCCGTGCTGGCCAGGGCGAGTCTCGTGGACTCGGGGCGGGACCCCGGGTACCGTTCGACGGCTCGGATGGCGCTGGAGTGTGCGCTGTGCATGGTGCTGGAAGGGACGCGGTTGGACGCGCAGGCGGCGGAGGCCGGGGCGCCGCGGGGGGGGTTCCTGACGCCTGCGAGCGCGTTCGGGGACGTGCTTCTGGGCCGGATGGCGGCGGCGGGGTACAAGTGGCGGTCGGAGGGCCCCGCGGGGGTCTCGGAGGTGACGGCGGGCATTGGTGTTGGGCGGTAGCGAGGCGCGCCGGTGTTAGTGATTCGCGGACCTACAAGCACACTCGCCGCGCCGGTGAGGTGAGGTGAGGTGTCACATGCTTCGCGTCGTCAGCCATAAGGCTTTGGGACCTGAAAAGATCATTCGACTAGGTGGCGAGTCATGCTATCCCCCACCATTACGGTGTGAGCGTCGTCCGAGAAGGTGGGCGCTGAGAGATCGCTGGCGCTCGAGGCCGTGCTCGAGTTTTGGCTCCGGAGCGTGCCGGTTCGTCAGGTTCAATGTATTCAAATGTTTCCCTCAACACTCGACTTCCGACAGCCGATTTACACCCCCTTTAGAATGTTTACCCCCCTTACTCCACCTCCAGCAGCACCTCGTTGAGCCGCATCCACCCGGGCGAGAAAGGCGGGTGGTACTGGTACAGCATCGGCTGCGCGCCGACCTTGGCCCTGACTCCGTTCCGCGCCATGATGTCCCGAAGCTCCGCTTCTACCTGACTCATCTTCTCCTCGCGCGGCGACGCCCCCGAGAACGCGATCGACGCGACGGTCATCGGCGGCACCGTGCGCAGCTTCACGGCGTCGTCCTTGGGCGCCGGCAGCGTCTCGTGCGAGTACTTGCTGGGCATGGTGAACGACACCTTGTAGGACCCGCCCTCCATGGGCTCCGCGCGCACGGGCGCCGTCATCGCGATCTTGTCGCCGTCCTTCGCTGGCGCCTGCGGTGGACGACCGAGCAATCGAGGGAGCCTATCTTGTTGTGGATTAATTGATTGTTTGTTTGTTTGTTTCGAGGTGGCGCGGGGTGTGCGGCGGGGGAGCGCGAGGTGACGCACCGCAGTAGTCTCGAGGCGCACGGGCGTCGTCATCGCGATCTTCTCCTTGCCGTCCGCGTCAGGGGCGTGCGGGACGTTGCCGCCGAAGATGTAATTCGCGACCTTTCGGAAGCCCTGCGACAGCGCTCCCTTCATGCCCTCCTCCCTCGCCTGCAGAGCGGCGCGGCGCGTGCTGAACGTCGACCGGGGCGTCGAGGAGGAGGGCAGCAGTCGCAGTTGCGCTTGTGTGGCATGGAAGCGCGAACCGAGGCCGCGAGGCGAGGCAAAGGCGGCCTGGGCGGCCGCGGCCGGACCTTGGGGTCGTCGGCAGGGATCTCGACTTCAGCGATGATGTACGGCGCGTACTCGCGCAGTTCGGACTTGTACATTCCCTGCACCAGAAGTCTCCTCTTGTCGAGAATCTTCTTAACGTCGTACTTGGGCTTCTCGAGGTTGCGGACCGCCATCCTGCGACCGGAATATCGACGAATGCGGGCCACGGGTCGCAGCGCGACGGAGAACAGCGGGCGCTGAGGCCTCGCACGGACTCAGGCCAGGGGTCGCTTGTGTGCGTCGTTCAAGGTCCGTTTGTGGTACGAAATCGACACTCTAAAGCATCAGGATGCATGGTACGGCGGAAAAAGTGACGTCACGCGGCTAAGCGTGAAGAGAAACCCGCTGCTAAGGAACACACGGCGCACCAGATAGCGGCAGGCCACGCTGCGAAGCCGAGAGCGACCACGCCGCCCACTACGAGGCCGCCGATCATGATCTTGTCCTTCGTGCTCGGCATGGCACGCAAAGTGTGTCCGCAATGTTCGCCCTGAGTGGAAAGCAAAGCCAACGCCCCCGTTCCGGCGTTGTTCCCTCACGTTCACGCGATTCAACGATCGGCAACTGCGAACACAGCAACAACGTGGCCGAGGTCAGCATGAAGTGCGCCCCCAAGTCCTCGCAACCCCCCCGGGGTGCCAACACAGACCTGTCTGACCCCACTACCCCAGCGCCGGGCACTCCTGGACCCGCGCGCGCGCCACGCTGTGCCACAGAGAGGCCGTAGTCACACCCGCAGCCCGCCTCCAGTCTCGCCCGCACCACAACCACCAAGTCGACAGCACACAGACACGTAACGCGCGCCTCGCCCCTGAACCGAATTAGATGATCACAAGTGCTTCGGGCGCCCGACGACGGCGAGTGAGTGAGTGCACGCATGAGCGACAACCTCCTAGACCGGTCTCGAATCACAACCCCCCCCCACGGCCAACTTGCTACACAGCGCCAAGTTTGCCGTTTCCGGCCCCGTTCGCGCCCACGTCCACCCCCAACGACATCCCCGAGTCGGTTGTATCCGTTCCGACGCCCTTCAACTCCCCCGCCCCCTCGTCCACCAAGCACGCGTTCCGCCTGGACCCCCCCCCCTCCCTCGCCGCAGCAGCCCCGCACACCCCTCCCACGCCGCCCGCGTCAGCAGAATCACCAGCCCCGCCTGCAAAAACAGCTCGTACGCGCCCCCTATCTCCCCGAGGCCCTCCATCCACGGCACGCGCCTGTTAATCTCCAGTTTGTGGTATTGCGCTAGCATCCGTATCCGCGCCTGCTCCCACCCCGCGCCGAACGGCGACCCGTCGGGCTGCGTGCACGTCGTTGCGCGCGCGTCCACCGCCGCCGTGTCGCTCGCCTGCGCACGGAGGACCGACGGACGACGCGCTCGCTGGAACTCCATGGGAGCGCAGGGGGGGGTGTTGGCGGGAGGCAGTTCTAGTGCGGACGCAGAACGCGAGGCATTCCGTCGTGTCGCCGCGACAACAACGCCGCCGGCCCAGAACACGTCGGCTCGAGTGCACTTTGCTTGATGACCGGCGGCGGGAGCGCCCGCTTCGAGGAGCGCGACGGCCTGCTGCGCAGTGCCGCTGAGAGCACACGCGGGGCTCTCGCGACAGCGCCGAAGCCGCCAGCCGGCATGTCCGGGGCTGGCGGCCGCTGCAACAGCGCAACTCCAACACCACCCTTTCCCACGAAAGCAGGCCCGCTGCGAGAGAGCTGAGCTCGCGCGGTTCGCGTCTTAGCCAAGAGAGGGGTGTGCTTGCCTGGAAGGTGAACCATTCGCGGCGGAACGCCGCTGCGCCGGACGCGGTGTTGTTTGTGGTCTCTACAAGGTGGCCGAGCTCCGTCCCGGCGCGCACGGGCGTCTCGAAGAGCATCCGGCAGTCCCTGCCTCCGTGGTCGCAGTCCGGCGTCTCGGACTCGACCGTCACGCCGGCGCCGACCAGCGCCCCGCTCGCGGGCGTGTCGCCCGCGCGCCACACGACGCTGAGGCCCTCGGACGGCACGGAGCTGTACGCGACGAAGGCGTCGAAGTACGAGCCCTTCTCGAGGAAGACGCAGCCGTCGCGCTGGTCCGCGGGGACGCGCGACGCCTGCCCGAAGGAAAAGGCGTCACTGACGAAGTTGCTGAGGTAGCAGCCTCCCTCCGCGCGGCACGCGAGGCGCATCGGGTACGGGCCCGCGTTCTGCACCGCGTGTTCACGTGGGAACGTCGCGGGGTCGTCTTGTGCGGCGCCCCGCCCTGTGTGCGCCCCTTGGGACAAGTGCGCAGGTGCAGGTAGGGCGCGCAAGGCCCGAAGCACGTCCCATCGTGATGAACAGCGCGTGGAGGAGGATGTGGTGCCGAAGCGAAGTCGGGAAACGCGGTCGGAGAGCGCCTTGTAGGGGGTGGTCTGTAGCGCACCTTGCTCCATTCCACGGCCACGTCCTTCGTCTCTGGGGTGCGCGAGAGCTTCAGTGCGAGGAACACGATGTAAACGGCGCAGCCGATCCACACGAGGACGGTCACGCAGGTCGACAGCGGCGACGGAGGCTGTAGGTCCACTGCGTAAGCATCTGCGGCGAAAAACCACTCCAGCCACGCCCTCGCCCGGCACTTCTCCCGGCCGCCCCCCTCGCCCATGCTGAACCGTCCCAAAGAAGCGCCCTGGCTGCGCTAGACGGACCGGGGCCACACAGCGATGGCGCACGGCACACAGTTGCTGTGCAGCACCTCGGTGGACGGCAGGTCGCGACGACGGCGAATTTCGAGCTTCAAATGGCCTGGTATGCCTGATAATCACACGACGCGTCGACGAGGCGTCGCGGAGTGCCTCTTGCGCGCACCTGCGTCCAGCAACGCCCCTGCCTCGTGCAACATCACGACAGCATCATGTCAGGTCCTTTACCCCCCCCTTTCGGCCGCCACGCGCCTCCGCGACGCCGGCAGGACGCAGCGGAGACCCTGACCGCGCCGTAGCCGACAAGACCCGCGCCAGTGACCGTCAAGCGTTGCCGTCACACATGTTGTTTTGACGCACGCGACGAAAACGACACGAGGGACATTGCGCGAGCGTCCTCACACGAGCGCGCGGCGCGGCGCGTCCGTTTCTGCGCCGCTGGGCAGCCCTGCTCGCGACAGCGCCTGCAACTGCGAGTCGCCCACAACGGGGCGGTAGGGGAAAGAAAAACACACACATATTATGTGTCTTCATATTTGGTAGTGCAAACTAAAGCCATAGTCTTGAGTGATTGATTCATTCGGCCTACTGCGCCCTCTACAGGATTTCGAGCTTCAGGTCCGCGCAGCCGTGCTCCGCCTTGTGCCGCTCGAACAGCGCCGTCATCTCCCGCACCACCTCCTCGAGGTAGGCCCGCAACTGACGCTCCGTCGGATCCGCCACCACACCCTTGACCTCCACCGGCCTCCCCACCACCACATCCACAGCCACCCGCCCCGGCGCCGGCCAGCCCGTCGGGCTCCGCATCAGCACCGGCACGAACCCGAGCGACCGCGACACCGCCGTCACGACGCACTGCGGCACCAGCGGCGGGCCGGGGCGCACGAAGCCCATGGTTTTGGTTTGGTTGAAGGCGAATACGGGGACGACTGCGGCCCCTGTAGTGAGAGCGAGCTTCGCGAGGCCGAGCCGCCGCCGCATGTAGAGCGTCTCCTTCCCCGGGGCCATGTACAGGCACTCCTTGACACCCCCCGGGGTCAACGCGACGTTGGCACCTGCAGACGCCGCAGGGGGGGGTTCGCGGTCTCGCCGCCGCGGACCAGGCGAGACAGAACCATCCCTAGCGCGCACGCGTCTGTGGGCGGCATCGCGGCTCCGGTCGAACGGCGGAGCGGCGCGTGATGGAGGCGACATCGACGACGGCGACGGCGCTTGCGGTGTGTGGCAGTCGCGGCTCACGGCGTACCTGACCGCAGGATGCGCGTCACGGTGGGCTTGTCGACGGTCCTCGCGCCCCACCAGTACCACATCGTGCCCAGGACGGGCAGCGCGAACACCGCGGACGACACGCAGGAGTAGACAGGCTGCAGCGCGGGGGGCAGTCGGCAGCGCTGGATGCGGTTGGGCAAAAAGCACCCGGGGAGGCCGACGGGGAGGACGGAGTGCGGCTCGAGCGTCACGATGTAGCGCTTGTCGCCGCGGAATACGTCCTTGTCCTCAAAGTGCAGCCGGATAGGGAAATAGTCGACCATGAGTCGGGAGCCTTCGTCTAGGATAGGTTGCATCCACGCAGGGGCGTCTGCGGAGCGGGGGAGCGGAGATCTGTCCCGTGCGAGAGGTTCGAGGGAAAGTGGCTGCGCGGCGCTGGCTCGCCCGGGCGGGCGCGAGCGCTGCGGTTCGCCCGCTCCTCTTGAGAATGACAGGCGGGCGAGAGCTCGGCGCGGCCGGGAGGCGGCTCTGCGGGCGCGCTGGAGCCGCGAACGCCCGACAGGACGTTCAATCGCTCACGTCGTGCGCGGGCGCTCACCGTCCGTCTTGATCGGGAACGCCGCGGATAGTATATGGAGAACGAAAACGATCGTCGTCCAGATCGGGAAAGATGCACCGTAGAGCGCCTGCCACACGATCCGCACCAGGAGCGCCAAACACGCGCCGACGTTGAGGTACGCGCCGTAGAACGGATAGCTGATGCAGAACCAGTAGAAGCACGGGTAGAGTACGGGCCGCGCGACGGGCCAGAGCAGCCGGACCGGCCAGGGGTATTCGTATGTCGGCGCTTTCGCGCCTTGGGTGCGGTGTTTGCCATTCGCCTCCTGCTGCAGCGACCCGTTTCCTGTGCGGTGCGGCGCGTCGCTGCAGAGGCGACGGAGAGCGAGCGCGAGGCGTGTGCGCGGCTGGCGGGATCGCAGCGCCGCGGCACGGGCACGCGCGGGCTCTGCGTGGCGGGGGTGGTTGGGACGCGCTGCAGCAACTGGGCGCCGTTCGCGGCCCTGCTGGGGCGGATTCCGAGGCTCAGGCGCTAGAAACGACGGTGAGGAACGTTACTTGCGTCCAGTAAGGACGGGTGCGCGCGCACGGCGGGGTGCGAAGTTGCTAGGCCCACTTTGCAGGCGGCGAACGCCCGTTTCATGCAAGGAATGATTCGTTTCGGCTGCTCCTCATGCACTTCACGTCGCCATCATCAAGAATTCGTCATGTTTGAGCGATGGAACGCCGCGAGGGGCGGGCGGGGAGCGTGAGAGCTGTTCAGGGGCAAGCACCTGCAGAGCTCCCCGTTCTGCGCCATAGTTGTGCGCGAGGAGCGCGCCGAGCCGAGTCCCTCAGGTTCGAACTGCCGCCAGAGCGGATCGAGAGTACTGCGCGCGGGCGCGCGATGCAGCTCTGCGACTGCTTGTGCTCAGACTGCACACGGTATTTCCTACCTCGAAACAAAGGGCGTGTGGTACTGCTACAGTTTGCCCGACAGGTAGGCTCGTGTAGCGCGCTCCCGCGCGACCGCGCGCCCTCGAGGACGCCAGCCGCGCTCGTGGCGGGCCATTCGGACACTCCATGGCCCAGCGTCGCTTATACCTCCCCACGCGTGTCATACTGCGGCAGGGGCGATCGTTTCATTGCCCACGCTGCCCACGCAGTTGTCGCACGCGGATCTTAGGTGCGAAACGGGCGTCCGGATGGTTTCAGAGGCCAGGGAGGCGGTAGGTGCCGCAGCGTGGCGCACCGACTCGGGCCGTGCCGATGGACCAGGCCGCGAGCGTCGACGGCGTCCTGCGCGCGAGGTTCGAGGATAGCACAGCGACATGCGCGACGATCGAAGAGTGCACGGGGCGCACCTGTGGCGCGTGCACAGGGGCAGCATCCAACCGCTGGCATTCAGTGTCGCAGCGCCTGCTCTGGCACGAAGCCAAGCGCGTGCACCAGCGCATCGAAACGGCATTATCCGCCGCCGTCGAGCACGCGCGCCCGGCGGACGAGTCAACCCCCGGCGGCGCGTCTGGCCCTCGGCACATTGACGACATCACCGCGCGCCCGCTGGTCGCACTGGAAGCCGGCGCGGCGTCGATCGGATACGTCGTGGCCGCGCTCGCCTGCATTCAGGCGCGGTAAGCACAGTCCGCCCGATCCGGCGACCTCGCGCTCTCACCACACATCACGCCGCAACCCCCCCCCTCTAGAGCTCGCGTTGCCGTCGTGGTTGCCGCGCAGGTGCGCTTTCGTGCCGGTCGACAGCAGCTGGACAGCGGCACGCAAGCGCGCCGCGTACGCCACCACGTCCCCGACCCTCAGGATCCAAGTTATACCCGGCCAACAGTCCCCCGCGCCCGCCACGTCGCCGCGGAACGCGCCCCGCGACGCCGACGCCCGGGACCGCGTCCCCAGCGGCGCCACCTTCGTCGCAAACGAGGCCTTCGGCGCATCGAGGTTCGCCCTCAGAATCGAGCCCACGGCAGCAGACGGAAACACGGCGACGCGCAGCCGTGCGCCCAGCGACCTCGCGCGCACACGCAGGCCCGTGCGCGACGACGGCTCCGGTACCCTCGCGCTCGTGATGACGTCCGGCAGCTCGGGCGAGCCGCGGGCTGTCGAGCTCACTGACGCGAACGTCCTGCGACACGAGCGCTGGTGGCGAACGCTGCCGTTCGATCGAGGGACCGTGGGCTCGCACGGGCGCCCGGAGGGCGAGGAGAGCCGCGCGGGGGGCATCTCCAGCGAGATCGCCGTCTTCAAGGGACCGATAGGTACCGCCCGGAACGCTGCGCAACAGCGCACTGGTTGTGTCGTCGTGAGGGGCTGACTGGCCCACGGCCGTGCTTGTTCGCGCGCCGAATCGTGGTTCTGTGTTGATCGGTCTCTGGTCGTCGTGTCCGTGCCTCGCAGGGTTCGTCGACCACCTCGTGGAGTGTCTCCTTCCATTGCTGAGCAATACGCACATCCTTTGCGTATCCGATCGCGCCCAGCGCCCCCCGTCCGCCGCAGACCTCCTCCGCGCGCGGTCCACGCACGCCTTCAGCCGCCTCGTCGCCGTGCCGACGCTCTGGCGCCAGCTCGCCGCGCTCAGCGCGGGGGAACTGCGCGGCACTCGCGCTCCGCTCACCGCCGTCAGCAGCGGCGAGGTCCTCGACAACCGCCTCCTGCGCGCTCTCCAGCGCGCCATGGGCGTCGCGGCGGAGGCCAGAGGCCCAGACGGCGGCCTCGTGACGGACCGGCAGCACATCGTCAACTCTTACGGCTGCACGGAGCTGGCGGCAAACTGCTGCTTTGCGGACGTGACGGACTGGCCGGCGGAGGACGCGACTGGCGCTGCCCCCGTGCTCAGGCTGCGGGGACCGGTCGGCGGGGGTCGCGCGGACACCGCTGTCGCGGACGGCGCGCGCGTGGAGTGCGGAGCGCAGCCGGCGGGGGTCGAGGCGGGGACGGCGGTGTGCGTCGTGAGGTTCGCCCGCGAGGACGAGGCGCGCCTGGCGAACGAAGGGCGGGTCCTCGTGGCGGGTGCGTGTGCGGCGACGCGGTATAGCGGCTTGCAGGCGACACATGCCTCGCGCGTGGCCGTCACGGACGGGTCTGCGGCACCTGAATACGACGTGGAGTTGACGGAGAAGGTCAAGGAAGGGTACTGCTGCGTGACCGGGCCGCGAGTAGGACGTTTCGAATCGAGAGAGAACGGGTTGAATGAACATCGAGCTTTCCTGACTCCGGATTTCGCCGACGTCGTCCCGGACCCTGCCCGGGCTGGCCACGCAGTTGTGGTGCAGGGGAGGCTGGGGAAGCAGGGCGTGGTGAACGTGCGCGGCGTGCGCGTTGCACTGCGTGGCGTAGCAGCTGACGTGGAAAGACTCCCCTCCTGGCCAAGCCGGTCAGACGGGACCCCCCTGCGGGCGCTGGTGCGCGCGGTGCACGCGTGCGACCTGCAGAACGGCGCCGCCGTCGTGGCGCGCGCGCGGAACGCGCCGAGCCCGGACGGAGTCGTTGTATTTGCGGAGGGAGGGGAAGTCGAGGAACCAGGGTCTGCGTTGAACGCGTTTGGCGAAGATGACGGCGAGGGTGCGCGGGACGTCGTTGGGGAGCGCGGCGACGTCGCGATCAGGCGGTTTCCGAGCGGGATGTGTCAGCAACTCAGTCGAGAGATGGAGAAGCACAGCGCAGTCCCGAAAGAAGGATTCCCGATGGCGTGGTGCCTCATAGTCGGGCGGACGCCGGTCGGCGCGACGGGCAAGACCGACATCTGGGTGAGCGCCAGCACCGCGACTGTCGTGCGCCACGGAAACACGCGTGTCGTGCCTCCAGCACGCACGAATCTTCGACCTCTGTTTAATTAATTAATAATTTATTTATTTATTTATTTATTATTTCCTTCCAATTTGTTTGCCTTCTCGCAGGCCCTCCCTCTGCCGCCCCTCGCCTGGTGCGGGCACGTCGACCACACGGCCGGACCCGCCCCCGCCGACGATCCGCCGCCACCGCCGGACCTCACGTCTGCCTCCGGCAAATTCCAATTCGCGTTGCAGCGTGGCCGCAGCGATGCCGCGGAGCGCCTGGCGGTGGCGGCGTTTGCGCAGGTGCTGCCGCGCGGCAGCGCGGTCGTCGAGCCCACGACGGACTTCTCGGCCGCTGGCGGGGACTCTCAGGCCGCCGCGGTCGCCGGCGCGCTGCTCAGCATCCCCGCGCTTGCACTGGCGGTCTGCGGCACGCCGCGGCGGCTCGTGGCCGTGGGAAGCCGGCTCGCGATGCGCCCAGCGCGGTGGACGGAGTCCGCGGCTTGGCAGGAGGAGCACGTGAGGCTGGAGCGCGAGGGCAGGCGGACAGCACCGACGGCGCTAGCGTCGTTCGAGCCAGGCTGGCGCGCGGGCATGGCGCAGTGCGTGGACGCCGCTGGGCTGCGGTTCCCGCGAGAGGGCAGGGAGCCAGGCGTCGCTCACGCGAGGTTCGCGTTCGGGTCGCATGGGGGGGATCTATTGATGGTAGAATACGACGCGTCCTCGGGCACGTTCAGGACAGCGCTCAAGATCGACGACCTCTTCGTGGCGGGTGCGAGGATCGTTGCCCCGCCTCGTTTGCTACCGGCGACGGTCCACGGGCAGCCTGGAGGTCAGTCTGACCTGAATCAGGAAACAGGGAACGAACGCACGGGAGTCAAACGAGCCAAGATACACGGAGGGCCGCCGCGGCCCATGGCGCGCGAGGAGTTCGTCGTGGTCGCGAGCCACCTAGGTGCGCGCACGCTCGCTGACCGGGCCTCTCCGTTGCCGGCCTCTCCTCTTGAAGTGGGTGCTGTACCCGCCGGTCAGAGCTCCGTTCGCTACGCGCTTGCCCTGGCCAGTCGCGCCATGCTTGGTGCGACGTCCGGCACCGCTCTCGCGATCCGATCCGCTCGAACCAGCCCACGCAGGAGAGATTGCGGTCCTGGATGCGACAACGCAGAACGTCGTGTGGCGTACGGAGTGTCCCGACGGCCTCCGCTCGAGCTCCGCCTGCAACTGGATCAGCGGGCTCGGCGTGTGGGTCCTGCACGCGTCTGGGCGCAAGGCGACCGTCGTCAATCGCAATGCGCTGGGCCGCGTCACGAGGCGAGACGTGGAGCTGCCGGGACGGCTGTCCGCGCCGCTGGCCTTCGCGGCGGTTTCCAACACCCACAGCTGCGTCTCCGCGGCGTCGGAGCCTGCAGCGGGCTCCGGAGACGCCCCGACGAGCGCGGTTGCATACTGCGCCTTTGCGGGCACTGCGACGCCGCGCGGCGTCCCCCTCATGATCGAACTCGACACCTTCTTCGCTGGACACGACGAAGAAAGAGAGCGGCAGCGCGATTTCGTGCACAGAGCGCTCAGGGACCGCGGCCCCGGCAGCGAATCGCGCCGGGCAATCAACGAACAAGAGGTCGGGCAGTTGGACGCGGTGACACTGGGGAGCTTCAAAGCGGGCCCCGCGATGACGGCTCCGGTCCTGGCGCCCGCGCTCCTGTGTCCGGACGCCCGGCGCGACCCGCGCGTCGCCGTCTTTTTCGATGCCGCAGGCCACGCGGTTGCGATGCACGTCGCGACGTGGCGCGAGGCGTGGCGGCACGACCCGGCGTCGCTGGACGCCGGCATCGGTGATGTCTGCGACCCAGGGGTGATGTTTGCGCCGACAGTCGCGTCGGCGGGGCAGAGCTTGCCGCACGTGGTATGCGTGGGGCGCGCGGGAGGGTCGCTGACGTGCCACTGCGACGCGACGGGCCGGTGCCTCGGGTCGTATCACGCCGGCCGCGGCAAGATCACGTCGGAGGTCTGCAACGTCGGCGGCGGGGGGGGGAGTGAAAAAGGCCCCGACGTTGCGTTCAACACCGAGGCCGGGGACGTGGTCGTCGCCCGGATCCGCGAGGCCGGCGGAGGACGCGCGGTGGAGGTCCTGGGTCTCTGCTGCGTCCGGCTGCCTGCGCCGAGCTTCTCCGCCCCGTGCTTCGTGGAGCTGGCAGGGCTGCGCGTGGGAGGGGGGTCGTCTGGGCGGGCGACGCACGCGGTGGTCGTTGGGGCGCGCGACGACGGCGTTCACGGGGCGCACATAGTCGTCGACGCGCGGGATGACATAAGCCGCGAGAAGAAAGACGAAGAGAAGAACCGAAGTGTTGGAACTTGAATAGTAGTTGTTAGAAGGGGTCATTTGCCCGCCGATGAATGGCAGTGAGTGTGCTGGACGAGCTGCAGCAGCCAGAGAGGAGGGCCCGCGCGTGGCGACGTAGGCGAAGCGAAGTGGAGGCGTCGATAGCCGAAAATAGAGAGTCATGAGACGCGTGAAGATGAAAGAGCCATCGGATAGAACATCCATAACAAATCAACCACCAGCAACGCTTACACAGTCACGGCCCCCGAACATCGCCATCCCCCGCCGCACCCGCCCCACCCCGCCCCAGCACACTCCACGACACCCCCTCACACACCCCCCCCGCGCTCACTTCGACGCGGCCCCCTTGACGCCCGCGAGCATCTCCTGGAGCTCGCCCGACACGAGCATCTCGTCCACGACGTCCGCGCCGCCCACGAACTCCCCCTGGATGTACAGCTGCGGGATCGTCGGCCACGCGGAGTACTCTTTGATCGCTTCCCTCACGCCGGGGTTGTACACCTCGTCCAGGACGTTCACGACCTCGTAGTCGGCGCCGAGGTTGTTCAGCGTGAGCATCATGCGGTGCGAGAACCCGCATTGCGGCATCTCCTTCGTGCCCTTCACGAACGCGATCACGGGTGTCGCCTTGATGCACTCGTCGATCAGCTTCTCCAGCGGGACGTTGAGGTCCGCGAGGCCCTTGCCGGACGTGAGCTTGAGGTCCGGGCGCGCGGGCTTCTTCGCGCGCATCTGCGGGGGGCGAGCCGGGGGGTTGCCGCGTGGATGGAGTCGAGAAACGACGAATGTTTTGCGGGACGGAGTTGTGATTGGGCTGAAAGCGCGTGTGGGGCGCAGCGGCGTGCGTGGGCGCTGGGTGGCGCGCGTGCGGTGTCCACGCGGTGCGCGTGGACGTGTTTGGGCGGCGATCGCCCGGCGGGAGTCGCGTGGGCGGCTGGTTTTGTGGTCAAAGAGTCATTGTTTGGGTCTTTCTGGAAGCTGCCGGCCGCGCACCTGCCAGCGCTTCTCGCCCGGATTGTTGCCAGGAGGCAGGGCGCCGGCCTCGTTGAGGTGCTCCTGCATCCACGCCTTCCACGCCGCCTGGAGCGCCTCCTTGGACGCGCCAGGCAGCGGCATGGCCCTGGCCTTCACGGCCTCGGCCGGCAGCTCCTCCGCGTGGACCTTGAGCGACACGTCGATCTGCAGGGGGCCGCGGGGGAGGGGCTCCGAGATGAGCGCGCGGCTGGAGAGCGCGCGGGCGGAGTCGGCTGGTGCAGTTGGAGAGTGGCCACCGGGCGGGGTTGCGAGGCGGGAACGCGCCTTGCGGGACAGCCCGAGGTACTGCAGCTCGTCCTTGTCGTTGTAGACGCCGTAGACGCCTGACTCAGCCGGGAAGTCCCCGCTGGAGATAGCCTTAAGCTCGGCGTCGTTCAATGGCACCATCTCGATCTCTCCCTCGGCCCTGCGCACAAACCAGAGGCATGCATGCCATATTTGACTCCTGCGGACGTCCTCGCGGGCTCTGAGGCACGCAGCGCCGCGGAGCGCGACGTAACGGCGGGTGTTGCCCTCTCTGGCAGATGACGGACGCCCGGGCGCGCTCGGTGCGGGAAATGTGCGCGGAACGGGGCTGCTCACGCAGCGAGCACGTGTGTATGAGGGGGCTCGGGGTGTGCTGACCTCGCAATGATGGCTGCGCGGCGTGCAGCGGCCGCGGGCGGGCGCAGCCCCGTGTGCCGAGGGGGCGCTCGCCGCGCGGCGTGCTGCCGCGTGGCGCGGGTCTGGGCGCGTTGCGAAGGCCTGGCGACGCTGGGCGCCGTCAGCGCGAGCGTCTGCGTGACGGAGGCCATGGCGACCGTCCCGGCGCGGGTCTGTTGCTCTCCAAAGTTTGGGGGAAAACGGCGGCCGAGGAAGCTCCGACTACCGGCGACGAGCGGCGAAGTGTACGGTGTACAACGTCACCGGCCGCCTCGTCGTCCCGATCTCTGCTGGAGCCGCCTAGTCAGGCCGCGGTGTGCGACTGAAGTCAGGGCCTTCTACCTCGCCGGGCTGCTCGGCAGTGGCCGGCCGTGGCCCGTTTGGTCGTCACTTGCGGCGAAAATCGGCCTCGCTTCCGCCTCGCGCGCATCAAATAGGGATTCGCCGGCGCACCACACCACCACGCGCACTGTACTACGTTGCGTGGCTCTCTAGCGACGCCACAAGCCTGAATCGCGACCCGATCGCATCGAAGCACGTGGCTCAAGATCCACAATAGCATTGCCTCGAGTTCTAGCGACCAGTCAGACAGGGTCCCTCACGCGGTGCCTCGGGATCAGCGGTTGACACACCTTTGGGTCTTCCTTCTCGCGCGTTCTGGAGTAACACTGCAAGATATGACAGTCCCTCGGTAGAACACATATCAGAGATCTCGGGCATGGATACACCGTTGCGAGAGCGCGCCCAGGCGGTGGTGGAGCGCCTCCAGCCCAAGGCCAACTCCCGGCGCCGTAGCGGCGCGCAGACGCCGGCGGAGCCCGCCTCCCCGGTCGACGAGAACGCCCTGATCGAGCTCAAGAACATCGCCCGGACAAACCCGCAAGAAGCGCAGGCACACCCCCAAAACACCCCCCCCTACACAAACGCACACTTTCCCCCTTCCCGCGCCGGCGCCGCGACCGCACCGCCCGCCCGCACTGCCCGCAGGTGTGCTACGCGCTCCTCATGGACGCCCTGGGCCGGCGGAGCGTCGGGATGCGCAGGGCGGCGCTCTTCGCGCTGTCAGAGCTCGTGCGCCGGTCGCGCTCCGTCCGGGCCCTTGCAGCCGAGCGCATGACCGACATTGTGCGCGTGGCGGTGACGGAGACCTCGACGCTGCTGGTCGGACCGGAGGTGAGCCGCCCTTTCCGATCGAGAGCTCTCCGGTTCGCCCTGAGTCGCGAATCCACGACTTGCGTTGCAACGCCGGTGTTGGTCGGGCGGTGCGCAGGCGGCGCGGCGGCAGCTGCGCGCCGAGGGCGTCGCGGCGGTGCTGGCGTGGGCGGAGCGACACGGCGAGCAGCACCGCGAGTTCGTGATCGCGGCGCGCCATCTGCGGGCCAAGGGCGAGGACGTCGCGCGGCCGGACCCGGAACAGCAGCGGGCGCGACAGTTCGAGGAGGCGCGGCGGGGCAGGTGCGAGTGCGATGAGATGGGACGTGCGGAACATGCTGGCCGCGGCCCGGGAGGCCCGGCTGCGCCGACCTGGGGTCAGAGAGCGTGATGTTCGAATTATGAAGCACTGTTTCTGATTTTATTGACGTCTGTTCGTTTCTGTTTGCGAGCCTGCGTGGTGCCCGCAGGCTGCGGAGGGAGCTGGACAACGCGGTGATGATCGCGGAGACGTTCGAGGACCGCACTGCCGCGGCCGAGGCCAGGGCGGCGGCGCTGTGGGACGCCGCACGCGCGCTGGCGCCGCCGCCGCCGCCCGCGCAACACGAAGGTGCCGGCTCCCGAGGCCAGTCGCCGGCATCGTCCGGCAGCAGCTCCGACGAGGACGAGCCGCGTGCGTCGCGCCGGGACGCGCCGTCACGGGACGCTGGCGGTGCGTGCGGAGCGGCACACTTGGCGGCGGCGCTGCGGGCCGTGCCGGAAGCGCGCGTGCGCGAGCTGCGGCGCGACGTGCGGATCCTGGCGGCGTCGCTCGAGGACCAGCTGATCGCGCAGACGGAGAGGTGCGCGGCTCGCCGGGTCCGTCGACAGCACGCACGTTGCACCTGGGATTGAATGTGCCCCCCCCTTGATTAATTGATTGAGATTCGAGGTTTGTTCGTGCGGTGTGGTGCGCGCAGTTGGCTGGGGCTAGTGCAGCGGCTCGGGAGCGAGTGGCTGCAGGGCGAGGGCGCCAGGCAGCAGTTGGACCTGGGCGAGCGGGCGCTAGACTGGAAACTTCGACTGCTGGCGACGCGCGAGTCCGTGGGGGAGCTGCGCGACGCCCTAGGGGATGCTTTGGAGGCGGAGGGGCTGCGGGGACGGGAGGCGCGGCCCGAGGTGGCGGCGGGCCTCCAGAGCCCTGAGCGCGCAGTAGAGGTGGTCGATGGACTCGAGTTCGAGGATGCTTGATTGATTTTCAACATCGAGACAGAGAATACACCTCCATTCGAGAGCTGAGCGGAGCGCGCGGCCATCAGCGCCATCTTCATATCTGTTACATCGTGTAGCATTGCAAGATCATACCTCAGGGAACAACACCGTGCGAAAGCAATCACCCTCAACCAGGAATCCTCAATCCCCATCCGCCGCTCCTACATCGACCCCGTGCGCCGGATCCCCCCCGCCCTCCTGCACCGCCCGCACACCCCCCCCTCGCCCCCCGCGCCCGCAGCGCGGCGCCCGGCCTCCGCCAGCGCGGCCTGGAACGACCACTGCAGCTGCGAGCGCATGTTCTGGACCCGCTCCAGCAGCGCGCGGTTCTCGCGCTCCAGGCGGTCGAACTCGTCCTGGCGCTTCTGCCGCGACCGCTTCGCGCTCTCGCGGTTGCGGGCCTTGCGCGCCTGGGCCTTGTCGGCGTAGTGCTCCGGCGCGGCGGGCGGCGGGGGGCGCGAGGCGTGGCGCGGGCCGTACGGGTCGCCGTGGCCCGCCATCTCGGGGCCTGCGCGGAACCGCGAAGCGTTCAAAACGATCCTGTTTTCCGTATCTGAGCGTGAACCGAGCGGCCCTATCACGCGCGATCCCAGGCATGCATCGTAACTTCGAGCACGTAATCAACAACAGCATCAACAGCAGGGCGATGCGCATCCGATGGGTGGAACGCACCGCAATACATCCCCGGACCGTAACCGTGGCCAAGGCCGCCCTGGCCCCCAGCCCCGACCACCGCGGCGGGGCCGAGGTACCCGCCGCTGTACATCATCGCGCCGTCGGCGGCGCCGACGTACTCGGGCGCCCACGTCGCCGCAGCCTGGCCGTGCACGTCCATGCCCGGGGGCCAGCCGTGGGGCGCGTGCGCGGCCTCGGGCTCGGCGTCGTAGCGCGGGCGTTTTTTCCTGGGGTGCGACGCGGCGCGGTCGTCCCCGCGGCCCTGCGGCGCGCTGCCGTCGTGGTGGTGGGGAACGCATGGGATAGGGAACGATGCCATCGAAGGGAGGTTGGCGTCGTTGGGGAGCTCCGGCGCGTCGGGCGCGATGTTGTCGTCGGCCGCTTTGAACGCGCCCGCGCCGCCGTGGGCCACGAGCGGCGCGTGGCTCCCGGAGAGTGGCACGTTGTTCGAGTGCGTTTCTACATCGACGACGTTGACGCGTGTGGCCTGCGGGGCGCTGTTTTGCACGGAGACGCGGGGAATGGATTCGAAGATTCCGTCCTTGTCGTTGTACTGGTCGCACGTGGTCAGGTTCGCGCGGTCTGGCGACCCGGTCGTGTGCACCGTCGTCCTCGGCGTAGCGTCGTTGTCGGCGGTCGTGGCCGGAGCCGGGGGCTGATCGGCGTTGAAAGATGGCAGACCCTCGAGCGAGGGCAGCGCGGTGAGGTCCAGGGAGCCCATACGGAGCAGCTCCTCGGTCGACACCCCAGCGAGCAATCCGCCACCGGAGATCATCCCTTGAAGGATCTCCGCCTCGCTCATGGACGTCATCGGTCCTGTCTGCGACGAAGGTGCGGGTTGTAACGGATCAAACGCGTCGTGGGCGCCGCGGGGACGGGTTGAGTGCTGCTGTCGATGTTCGGCTCGGATCGCACGCAGCACGCCCTCGGCCGCCGTCGACGGCTGCCGCACAGTTCAACCTTGCTTCAGACTATGCGTCGGCAGCCGTGACGGCGGCCGAGGGCGGCAAACGCGCATAACCACGCGTTGTTCGACCAGACACGCGGCCCTCACCTCTCGCGTCGTCGTGCTTGAGGGGATGCAGTCGCCGACCTCACCGTCACACGAGATGATGAGCCTCGCCAGGGGGGCAAAACCTCGCGGCAAACGACCACCTCCTGGGGCTACAGCCGACCTCGTATTCGACCCTCGTTTTCGTGCGAATTCGGCGGCCGGCGGGACTCGAACCCCCTGGAAGGCTCTCAGAAACGTTCCACGTTTATTTCTACCAAAGCGAGTACGCGGCCCGCGACGACCGCAACGCCAACCTCGGGCGCGGCCCAACCACCACAGTTCAGGCCCCCCTGTCTCAGTACGAGCGTCGTCGCACGCTCCCTTGAGCCCCCGCCGCGGCGCCGCCCCAGCCACACTCTACCCTCACGCTCCGAGACCCCGTTGCATCCTCCCGCGTAGCGTCACACTGCGTGTTTGCCCGTGAATCGCCCACTTCGCAGCACCGATGCCGCGGCAAAGTGGAGACGGCGTTGCCGCGCGCACCCGCGACGCCTCGCGGGCTTCGTGCCCGGATCCGCTCCCGTCGTGGCCCGCCTGCAAGCGCCCGCGCAGCGCCCCGCGCGTCGCCGCGCGTGCGGCCACGGAACAGGCAGAGCCGCGCGCAGCCTCGGGAGCTCCGACGCCGGCGCCACGCGGCGCCCCGGCGCGCTCCGCGTGCACGGCGAGCGCGGCGTACGATGGATCGGCGAGCTCGGCGCAGGTGGTCCCGGTGGTCGACGCGGGCTCGGTCGGGCGGTGGTTTTCGGTGGCTACGGAGGTGCTGGGGAAGGAGAGCGCGGCGTTGCGGGAGCTGGTGGAGCGGAGGGCGTGGCTGGACGAGCGCAGGAGGGCGCGGAAGGTGCGCCGGACGCGGTGTGCGGCGTGCGGGTCGGGGCGGAGACGACGAGGGTCCGATGCAGTTGAAAAGACATCGAGAATCGCCGATTGCGGGCCCGGAACTTGCCTCCCGCGTTGTGTTTCGTGGGATCATCGTGGGCGTGTGCGGCCTGTGCGGCGCAGGCGTCGTTCCGGAGGGCGCGGGAGGAGCTGGCTGCGCTGGTGCAGTGCAGTCGAGACTTGGAAGTGCAACTGCAGTCGGCAACCACCGAACAGGGAATGCTGCAGGAGATGGTCAAGAGCGTGCGCGAGCGGCACGGGCGGAAGCGGACCGCGGACGGCCTGCGGCGGAGCCCGCACCAGGCGTGAGGGGGGGCGTCTTCGTGTCGGGATGGCGGAGGGTGTTTTGCGCGGTGGGGGGACGGCGGGGTAGAACGAGGGCTCGGATTGGCCGCGGCGTGGTAGTTTGGGACGCAATACACTTGGGCGGACGACAAGACAAGCGTGCAGAGTCTCACTGGCGGCGTGTGAGCGGGGGGAAGGGTGTTGTACCAAGTCTGCCATAGGGGGCTGAGGCCGCCTTGAACCCAGATCCGGTGCTGGCAGTAGGCGGTTCAGATACGCAGTAGCGTGGCGGGGAGTTCGACGGCGGTGTTTGTTGCGGGGGCTGCTCGCGGGGCGGCATCGTGGGGCAGCGCGGGCGCAGGGACGGCGCGCAGGGCGCGCAGGGCGCGCGGGAGGGTTCAGAATAGCTAGGATGTACGTGTCCGCGGAGTAACACGCACAGACATGTCGGACCTGGAGGATAACTGGGAGCTGCAGGCACGTAGAGCGATCCTGCGTCGAAGACGCGCACGCACATCCGCCCGCCGCCCCCGCGGCTCCACACCGCGCCGATACATCCACCGCGCCGCCTCGCACGCGACCCACTGCATCTGAGCGCGCTCCGCAGCGACACCGTTCCGCGGATCGGCGCGTCATGCAGTGCACACAAGGCCTCAGTGCTCTAGGCACGTGGCAGCGAGCCCGACGTCGCGAGAGCCGGCGCCGCCACGCACGCGCAGGTCGACGAGGCCGTCGCGCTCCAGGCCATCATGGCCGAGGGCTCCGTCCACGTCGAGCGGCCCGACGGCACTGCTGTCAGCGTCGACGACCTCCCCGGGGGACCTCCCGTCGCGGGCCTCGCGATGATCCTCCGCGTGAACGTCAGCGCCCCCGACGGCGTCAGGATCAAGGCCGTCGCCGACGACGACGATGCCGGCCCCAGCGACGCCCCGACGTTCCGCGGAGACGTGGCCACGGCAGGGCTCGCGTTCAGCGTCAGGTGCGATTTGGGGGGGGAGTCAGCGACGGAAGAGCGAGAGCTCCCCGATGAGCGCGTTGCAAGGCCCTCATGATTCGTGCACGGGAGGAATATCTTGTTTACGTCTTTGTTGTTCAACGTTTGTGGGTTGGTTGATTATTGATAGGTTCGATGCGTGTGTCGGCGCCCGTTGCAGGTACCTGCCGCCGGTGGAGCTGACGGTGACGTTCACGGAGGGGTACCCGGGCGCCGCGATGCCGGAGGCGTGCGTGGACGCGCCGTGGCTGCGGGAGGGGGGGACTGCGGCGCTGCTGTCAGGTCTGACAGGCGTGTGGGAGGAGCAGGGCGGGCCGGGCGCGCCCGTCGTGTGGGCGTGGGTGACGTGGCTCGAGGAGGAGGCGCTGCGGGTCGCTTGCGGGGAGGGGGGGGTCTTGGAACACCCCATGTCAGGCATCGAGTACTTGGTCAGGTACGACCAGGCGCAGAGGGCGCGGGCGTTCCGGGAGGGCATGCACGACTGCCCGATCTGCATGGAGGAGAAGCCAGGTGCGACGACAGACGTGCCGGGCCCGACAAAGCAGCAATTGCGCGACGCAATGGATTCGCGAATCGTCTCTTGATACGTTTTCGTGACTTGCGCGACCGTGCGGGGTGTGGCGCGCAGGCACGCAGCAATACAAGCTGCCGGGGTGCGACCACTTCCTGTGCCGCGCGTGTCTGTCGGACATGTGCGCCACCCACGTCAGGGAGGGGAGTCTCGTGCAGCTGCAGTGCCCGCAGCCCGACTGCAGGCGGCCCATCGCGCACCACGTGCTCCAGGTCCGACCCGCCGCAACCCAACATGCATCGTCCTCCTCCTCCAGCGCCTCCCTCGTCGCGTCGCGCACGCACAGCGTCCGCACACGTCAACGTGGTCCAGGCGCAGAACAGGAGACACGAAATCTCGATTGCCGCGCAGGACGTCCTCCCCGAGGACCTCTTCGAGCGCTGGGAGTCCCTCACGCTCGCGCGCTGCCTCGACGCGATGCAAGACGTCGTCTACTGCCCGCGCTGCAACGCCCCCTGCATCGAGGAGGGCGCCGCAACACCTGCACCCCCCCCTGACTCCGCCGAGGCCCAGGCCCCCGCCCCCTCCTCCCGCGGCACCGCGCTCCCGCTCGCGCAGTGCGCCGAGTGCATGTTTGCGTTTTGCACCCTATGCATGTCGACGTACCACCCGGGCTCGGGCTGCGTGGGCGTGGAGCAGCGGCTGGCCGAGCTGGCGAAGCGCAGCCAGGCGCACTGCGCGAACAGCGCGGCGAAGCTCGAGGAGGAGCGCCGGCGGCTGCAGATGATGGAGGAGCTCAAGTCTGAAAAGATGATTCGGGAGAAGGGAAAACAGTGTCCCACGTGCGGCATCGCGGTGTGGAAGTCGGAGGGGTGCAACAAGATGGCGTGCGTGTCGTGCGGGACGACGTTCTGCTGGCTGTGCGGTGCGCGCCCTGCCTCGCGGCCTGGTTCGCACGTGTGTGTCGTGCCATTCCACACATGTGTTGTGGTCGCATCCTGGAGCGATGCGTCGATGCGTTTCCGCACGGCGATCGATGATTCGGGCGGAGATTATTCTGAACTTCGCTTGCATGGCGACCGGCTGAGCGCGCGGGCGCGGTTCGGCGCGTGACGACGCAGGCAAGGCGATCGAGTCGTACAGCCACTTCAACCCCGACCTCAACCCCCAGTCGCCGTGCGCGGGCAACCTATTCGACCTCGACGAGATCCAGCGGGCCTTCAACGACTGGGAGGTCGACCAGGGCTACGTCCTCGTGGGCCTGCTCGAGGACGAGCACCAGGCGCACGAGCGGCGGCGGCGGCGGGCGCGCGCGGAGGGGCTGAGGGCGGTGCGGGCGGGCGAGGGGCGGCCGTGCGTGACGTGCGGGCAGCCGGTGCCGCGCGTGGCGCGGAACAACCACATGCGATGCGCGAACTGCGCAACGGCGTTCTGCTTCCTCTGCGGGGAGGTGCTGCGGGGAAAGGGCGCGGGGGGGCGGCACTTTGGGCCCGCGCACAAGCAGCACGGGCCGTGACGCGCGGGCGGGGAACGAGTGGGCGCGTGATGCAAGTCGGACGAGCGGGGCGGCCTGTGCTGATTCATCGCGTCACGCGACGTCACGCGTCCTGCTTGGGTGTAACAGCCGTCCGTTACGCAGCAAGCTGGGGTTCGCCGGGCCCGTCTTGGCCAGCCCCAAGCCGAGGCGGCCGCGCAGCGGCAAAACACGGCGGATCACCCGCACGCGAGGCGAAAACGATAGAAGAGGACAGCGGAGATGTCTTGCGTGCTCGTGGCGCCGCGTTGTGGCCCCACCGTCGCAGCCAGCCCACCAGCTCCACGACCGACCGCTGTCTCGTCTCGTCGTCTGCGAGCGTTTCCGGCGACGACCCCGCCACGACGCAGCGTCACATGCGCGCAGCAACACGCGCGGGCCTCCCTGCGCGCTCCCGAGCGACCGCGCCGCGCTGCGGGTCACTGCGGGACGAGCCCGAACTGGTACAGCGTCTCCACGATGCCGCCCGCGCACCGCCGCTGGCACATGTGGATCTTTCGCCCCCCTTGTTCGCGCTCGCAAAAGTGCCGCAGCTCCTCGTGCGCGTTGCTGACCATGCACCCGAACACGCCGTCCACCTCGAACAGCTCGACGTCATTCCCGCTGTCCCCGCACACGACCGTGCCCTGGCTCGGTTTGCCCTGGTCCTGACCCATCTTCTCGAGCAGCCATGCCAGCGCCTGGCCCTTGCCGGCGCGGTCGGGGAGGATGTCCACGTCGAGGCCGCCGGAATAAATCACCTTGGCCGGAAGACCCGCGTCGCGCAGGCGCGCCTGCAGCGCCGAGGTCTTGGCGCGGCCCTCCTCCCTCGGACACTCGAGGTGGAACGAGATCTTGTGCGGGCGCTGCTCGGAGTCGCGCTGCGGCTTGAGCTCCGAGAACTCGCCTGGAAATAACGCAAAAAAGGCGGACGCGGCTCAGCGCGGCGGGGCGGGGGAGGACGCGGCGAGAAGCGTCGGTGGTGGGGCTTTGAGGTGCAGTGGAGTGCGCTGGGCGCGTACGTGCGATCGCGCAGGCCTTCTCGCGGTCCCAGCCCTCGTCGAGGTGCGCGATCCACTCCGGGTCGAGCGACGGGTTGCGCGCTTCGTCGAACCTGCGGAAGGAATCGACGGAGCTTGGCGTTTGATATGTTGCGGTGAACGCAGAAGGCATGGTTGCCGAGCATCACGCGTCCCCGCGCGGCCGCGGCCCCCCGCGCCCCGCACGCCGCCTCCACACCTCGGCAAGACGCCGCGGCGCCAGCCAGCCCGCAGCAAGAGACCGCACGCAGCTCGCGACGCACGCAGGAGCGCTTGCGCGCCGCCAGAGCGGTTTCTCGCGCCGCCAAGCGCGACACGCGGACGCACCGGTAGATTTCCGAGCCCACGGAGCACACGAGGAGGTCGGGCGTGCCGAGCGGGTGCTGGGAGGCGAGCTCCTGGAAGAGCTGCAGCGAGCGTCCCGTGGAGAAAACGAGGGCCGAGTCGTGCTTGAACTTGCTGTTCCACAGGTCGTTGAACTCCTTGAGCGCGCCGTCGCCGTGGTCGTCGTGGTCCACCTGCGCGAGCGCCGCCGCGACGGGCGCCGAACTGAGTTGGTTGCCTGTCGCAGAACGTTCGCGGACGCGGCGACGCAGGAACATTGTGAAACGGCGGCTAGGCGGGATGCACAGATGGCGTGGGCGCGCGGTCGGGCCGCAGGACCGTGCAGGTCGGCCGCGTTTGCGCGGAACGCGCTGTTCCAAGGCTTGGTGGCTTATGCAAGAGCCTTTCCGTCGAATCAAAGCAGCAACAGGCGATTACGAGACAGGACGCGAGTGCTGAGCTCAGCAGCTAGGCCGCGGGGATCGATTCGCCGCCGGAGCGCCGCTGCACAGACGCGATTGCCCCCGCTGAGGACGTGCGAGGCGCGTGCGGGTGCGGCGGGTGCGGCGCGCGCGGGCGCGAGGGCGCACCATCGTCCAGTCCATGTCGGACACGACCATCACGCGGAACTGCTTGTCGAACATCGCGCACGCCCTGACCGACCGGGCCCGTGGCTGCACTGCAGGGCGGTGGCGGGGGCACCGGGAAGCGCCGGGAGTCGCCGCGCGAGGGAGAGCGCGCAGCATGTTCCGGGCTCGCCAGTGCTGCGCGCGGCGCGGTCAGCGCTGCGCATGACGTCTCGCACACGTGACGGTGGTGATGTCGTGTCGTGTTGACAGCCGGTGGGGCCGTTTGGAGCTTTCGCGAGTGCCGGGCGTACAGTGCGGCTGGCGGCCGGTCGGCGCGCGTAGAAGTTGCGTTGTTTTGTAGACATTGGTCCTAGACGAGCGAATCGACGGGTGCGGCGGTCTGGAGTCTGCGCGCGGCGCCGACCGAGGTCGCTTCGACCGGGAGCAGTGGCCGCGATGGGCGACGCGCAGGACGCCGTCTCGCGCTGCCCGTTCGCGAGCGGGCTTTTCCGGGTCCACGGCTCCGCGGCGACCGCCTATCTCGTCAAAGCCGCGGAGCGACGCGGCCTCAACGACTTGCGATCCCTGGGCCTCGCTGTGCACGGCGACGGCGGCTCCATCCCCTTGGAATCCTTCGCATTGGATTCCCCAAGCTCCCAGGAAGGCCCCGCGGCGCCGGAGATCCCGAACCCGCCGGCTCTGAGCGCACAGGCGCCGATTCGGCGCCCAGAGTGCACCCTCCCTAGAGCAGCTCGCGACGGCAGCGCAGTGCACGGCCCCGCGCCGCTGGCCGCGCACGGGTTCGCTGCGATCGGGATGGGCGCGGGCCTGCCGTTTTGGGGCCGGAAGGGCGGCGACGGAGGGCGTGGCCGCGACCAGGGCTGCGGCGGCCGCTCCAGGCGGCCGCGCGCGCGGCAGGGGGGCTCTGCTGGGCGGGCGAAGGCAGGCTCGGGTGGCTCTGATGCCAAGGCGTCCAGCGGCCGCGGGCGCGCGGATATCTCGTCGGCGTCGCGCGGCGCGGCCGCTTCAAGTGCAACAGGGTCAACAGGCAGCAGCCAGGGCGGCCGTTGCCCCATGCGCGGGCTCTACGAGCCCGCCGTGCACGCCATCACCGCGCTCGGATACTCCCTGACGGTGCGAACCCTCCCCAATCCGCCGCCGCACCCCGCAACCGACCCCGCCCCACACACCGGCCCCCGCGCACCCCGCCCTCTCGACGCCGCCTCAGCGCGCCCCACGCCGCCCGCGGCCCGCACGCAAGCTCTCCTTTCGCCGCGGGGCGCGGGCCGGGCCGCAACGGTCCGCGCGTCGCGTTTCTGCCCTCCTGGTCCGTTGACAAAGGGCCACCACGCCACGGCCGGGCGCCGCGCAATCTGCGCGCCCCGCGCCCTTTCCGCCGGCGCGCCGGCCCGCAACATGTCCCCGCGTCCCGCGCGTGGCGCAGCGCGGCCGTTTCGCCGCGCCGCCGCGCCCCGCGCGGCTCAGCTAAGCACCCGCACTGCTCCCGCGGGCGCCTCACGCCGCGTCGCGCGTCGGTTCCACGGTTGCGTTGCAGAACCTGCGCTGTCCCGCGCCGGTCGTCAAGCTGCGCGCGCTCGTCGCCGCGACGCCCCTCGCAACGGACCTCCGGCGCCGCGAGCTCGCCACGCGTCTGGCGGGGGCCGTCGCCGTCGCCGGGCTGTGCAACGTCCCGCTCGGAATGCTCCGCGAGCACACCGAGAAGTTCTCCTGGCAGTGGCTCGTCGCCGTCCACGCGTCCATCCCCCTCGTCGCCACCTGGCGCAAGGCCACGCTCCTTCCGAGACCCGCCATCGCGCTCACGATCGCGGCCGCGGTCCTGGGGCAGCAGGTCGGCGCGCGGCTCGAGCGCGCGCGGCTGCAGGAGGAGGCCGAGGCGGCGCGGCGGGCTGCGGAGGCGGCGGCGCGCGGGCCCACCATGCGGCGCAGTGGGGAGTGTCCGTTGCGGGACACGGAGCGCAGCGTGACGGGGGCGGCCAAGGTGCTGTCGGCGCTGCGGCAGCTGGACTTGGGGCAGGTGGCGGCGACGGCCCGATAACTTCGAGGGCGCGACGACGAATGATATGATATGATTTCTCGACTGCCGTTGCTTCGGCGACGCATATCGAACACACATGGCGCTCGGCGCTGCCACGCGGCTGTGAAACGTCGCCGTCCTCGTGCAACCCCGCAGCCAGCACCGCGTCCCCGCACCCGCCTGCCCACCCACGCAGCGACGTGTGCGCCCGGCGTCATCGCAGCACTGCACCCCGCGCACGCCCGTGTAAGCGCTTCCAGCTCGACGCCGCGCTCGCCCGGCCGCTCCGCCTCACGCCCGCGCTCCGCGCCGCCATCGTTCCGCGGCCGGCCGACCCATCGCCGCCGCGACGTGCGGCCACCCACACTCGCACCACACAGACACCGCACGGCCCGCTCGCCGGCGCGCAGCGGCCGTCCGAGGCCGCCCGCCGGGCTCCCGTGGCCTGGGCCTTCCTGCCGCGCGCCTGGTGACTTTGCGTCCGCGCGTTTCGTGCCCCGCTGGTCGGGTGGCGCGGTAACTGACGCGCGGTGTGGGCGAAGCGGCGGGTGAGGCCGCTGGCGCGCGTGTGGGCGTGCGGGGGGGTTGCGAGGGCGTGGTCCGAGGGTGGCTGTGGGCGCGGTCGCCGCGGCGTGCGGGCAGGGCGCGGGCCAGCGGTTGAGAGATCTTGGGGGGGGGGGTCAGTGCGTGCGTCGTTGACCGGCGCCCGCGGGCCGTTGCGGGCGCGGCGGGCCGTGCGCGTCCACTCGGAAGTGAGCTTGGATTTGTTCGAGCGCGCAACGACGTTGAACCGTACACTTCGCCGCGTACCGTGCGTGCAACGGAGCCTCAACTGACTGCTGAGACGCTGCGATGAGTGGGTGCCCGCTCGGGTTCGGCGGGGGCCAGCCGGCCGCGCCCGCGGAGGCCCCCAGCAAGGAGAACACCGCTGTGGAGACGCAGGGCTCCGGGGGCTGCCCCCTCGGGTTTGGCGGCAGCAAGAGCTCAGGCAAGGCTATGTTCCACCGAACCGCCCGGACCGGCCGCAGACGAGTTGGTTGTTGCCCTTGCTCTCACTCCGGGTCGCTGAATGACTGGGGAAGCCGTGGCTGGCCGGATCTCGAGGTTTCGCGCGGGAGACGCGCGCGCGCGCCCCTGCTGGTGGAGCAGGGCCAACTGCACGCTGCTGGGTGTGTACGGCCGCTCGTTCAGCGTCTGTGCGGCGCGAGATGTTGCGCGCAGGCGCCGAGGACGCGCGGAAGTCCGCCCAGGAGAGCGAGGGCGGGGAGAAGATGCTGGGGGGGTGTCCGCTCGGGTTTACCGGGCCTAAGAAGGAGGCACCCAAGCGCCTGGGACCCCCCCCGCGGTTCCTCGTCAACGTGCGCTCCCGCCCCGAACCGAGCTCCCTGCCGCGGTTTCGCGCCGTTTCCCCGCGCGGGCCGCGTGGGCTCGGGCCCGGCGGGCCACGCGCGGCGCCGGGGCGCGCCCTGCCCTTGCCGCACGTCCCAGCTGCGGCAGCGCGGCCGCTGCGCGAGGCGTGCGGACACGCCGGACGACGCTCCGGAGCCGCAGCGGTCGAGCCGCGGTGTCGAACCGTACGTGCGGGTCACGGCTAGGCCGCGCGTGGCCGGGGGCAGACAGCGGTGGGTCCCGTGCGTTGCGCGGTGCAGGTGGGCAACACGGTCGAGGAGATGAAGGAGAACTTCAAGGTGTTCACGGACAAGGACAACGACCCCGAGAAAGTCGAGGATTTCATGGTTGTCGTCGCCAACATCGTGGCACAAGTCCCGGGCTCAGCCTCCAAGGTCACCGAAGCCGGCATCCTCGGCCACCTCTCCGACGTCATCGCGGTGAGAGCCACCCGCCACCGCAGCCGCCCGCCCGGCCCTCCACCGCCCCGCGTCCACTTGATGAGGCCACTCGAAAGCACCTCAGATGGGATTTCAAGGTCTGCGAGCACGCGCTCGGACCCGCACGAGCACCACCGACGCCGCGCACACTCTCCCTCCCCTCCCGCCCGCCCCCGCCCTCAGACACCCAGACACTCGCCACAAACAACCACGAATCCTCGATTCCCCATCCCGCGCTCGCAGGGCGACCACATCGCGAACCAAGTCCACGCGCTGCGCTGCGCGGGCGCGATCATCCGCCGCCTGCGCTACCCCGCGCGCGCCCTCGCGCGCGGCACCGACTCGGAGCGCAACCTCGTGCAGCGCACCGTCGCGCGCCTCGTCGGCGCCATGTCCTACCGCGTCGCGCGGCAGACGCTCGTCCTGCTGGCCATCATGGCGCAGGAGCCCAGCCTCAAGCCCGAGCTCCTCAAGGCCGGCGCGGCGCCCGTGCTCCAGGTGCCGGGGAAGCGCCTGCTGAGCTGGGACAAGGAGGAGGCGGACGTGATGGCGTGGCCGTTCGCGCCCAAGGTGGACCAGGCCGAGGACCTCGCGGCGGCGTCGCTGCAGGTGCTGCGCGAGCTGGCCTTCATGAGCGAGGACACGGCGCGGCACCTGATGGACAGCGGGGGGCTCCTGGAGATGACTCAGCAGCTGCTGATGATGCGGAAGACGTCGTGCCACGTCAGGCGCGCGGCCGCGGAGCTGGTGGACTCGCTGTCGGTGATGGGCACGCAGTCGGCGGTGCTCGTCGAGCGGGGGGTGTTGGAGGGGGTGTGTTCGGTCGTGGACGACTCTGCGGCCAAGCTGAGCAAGTACGGGCCTGCGGGGCGGCGGATGGCGGCGGGCGGGCTGCTGGCGCTGGGGTCGCTGGCGACGACGCAGAAGGGGCGCGACGCGGCGGTGAAGCGCGTGCGGCTCGTCGCGAGCATGCTGCGGTGGGAGAAGGAGCAGGGGCTGGACGGAGACAACAGGTGAGGGGAACTCGGAGATAGGAAAACGTGTCTGCCCGTGATTCGCTACGGGATGTGGCCGTGCCCGGAGCCCGCGCGGCGCATGTCCGGCGCACGAAGTAGAGAACACGCGGCAGAACGTCATAGTTCCTTTTCCATTCCTCATTCCTAATTCATTAATTAATTGCAAAAGCTTGTTTGTTCGTTTGCACATGCGCACGGCACCATCCCAGGCCAGCGCCTCACCGCGGCAGCGCGCCCGCCGCGTCCCCCCCCGCAGCGACGACGAGGGCGAGGAGGAGATCCGCCTGAAGGACCCCTCCTCGGGCCTTCTGAACCGCGGCATCCACCTTCTTGGTTTCCTATGTCAGGATGACGAGGAAGCAACCAAGGAGGTCATCAAGGCGGGCGTCGTGCCGCGCGTGATGGCGTTCGTGCAGATCCCGCCCAAGTCCGCGGAGGCGGGCACTGGTTCGAAGAAGGGGGGGAGTGATGCGAAGCAGGCGGACACGGAGCGCGAGGCGGAGGAGTTGATGAATACGACCCCCCCCTGCGAGATGCCCGGCGCGGCGGTGAACGAGGAGGTCGCGGACCAGGGCGGGCTCCGCAACCGCAAGAACCGCAAGGGCGGGAAAGCGGCGCCGGCGCACGACGCGGGGTGCCCCTGCTGTGCCGACGGCGAGGCCAAGCCTGGGGGCTCGCACAAGGCGCGCACGAGCGACCAGGAGGACGCGCGCGCGACGAACGACACCCTCGAGCACGGGTCGGCCTCGGAGAAGGACTCTGCGGCGGAGGCTGCCCTGAAAGAGGCCACGGCCGAGGTTATCGCGCAGCAGCAGAAGATCCGCGCGGAAGAGAAGGCGCAGACGGAGCGCGAGGAGCAGTACAAGGAGATGCTGAGGGAGCTCGCGCGGGGCACGCAGCGGCGCGCGGCGCTGATGTTCGCGGACGCGCTGGCGTCGACGGCGGCGGGGCGCAAGGAGTTGGTCGCCGACGCGGGGCGCGTGAAGCTGATCGCGCTGCAGCTGTACTCGCGGGACCCGCTGGCGCGGGAGGCCGTGCTCGGCGTGCTCGTGCGGCTGTGCGAGGCCGACTCCCCGGACATCAAGGACGCGAAGAAAGAGAAGGCCCTAGTTGGGGTTCGCAAACAGATCAAGGACCTGAACCTGACGGAGATGCTGGTGGCGATCCGCGCGGGCGACGCGCCGGACGCGGCGCCGCCGGAGCAGGCGCTCGCGAAGGCGGTGCTCGCCGCCACGACGCCCATCCTGCGCAACGCGCTGGCGGTGTCGGCGCTGCTGACGCTGCTCGGGGCGCTGCTGGCCATGATCGGGGAGTCGTACGGGTGCCTCTCGTTCCTGCTCGTGGCCTTCCTGCAGGACCACATGTTCAAGGCGCACCAGTTCTTCCCGGCAACGCTGCACTTTGCCGCTGTCGCGGCCTGCCGCCTGTCGTGGAAGTACATGACGGCGGGCAACATGGGCACGCTGACGGCGTGCCTGACGCTCGGCTTGCTGTACGGTGTGCTGTGGGCGTCCGGCACGCTCACGAAGCGGCAGGTCCGCTCGCTGGCGCCGTATGGGATGGCGACGTTGGTGGTGCAGGGGTCGATGGGGTGGCCGGTTGCCATGGTGGCGCACAACCAGCTCTGGTTTGTCGGGGAGATGTTCTTCGGGATGTAGCGCGGCGTGGGCGCGAGAGAGAGGGAGGAGGAGGTGTGTTGTGTTCCTGCGTTGAGTGCGCGGTGCGGTGTCGGCCGCGTCGGACCGTGTGACGAATGAACGATCGGTATCTGCTGTCAGGCAGTCTGCGCTTTCATGTCCTTTGCGTTCGCCCTGAACGCACATAGAGTGCCCTGCAGGCGACACCGACGCCGCCTTGCCAGCGCATTGTCGACCGCGGGAGGCACGTGCACGTGTTGGGACGCACGACGACCTGACAGGTGGTTGTTCTGAATGACCGGTCAGTTCTGTCAGGTTTTGAGGCTTGCAAGGGAGCCGAGTCAGTCAGACAGATGCAGACGTAGAACACTACACCCGCGCAGGGCCCGTGACGCCGATCGACGTGTGTGCGTCAACTGACGCGATGATCACATGGCATACAGTCGTCAAACTAGAACAGGAGCGAAACCGACACCGGTCGCTCGATGTCAAGTACGAGTGATCCGACAGTGCCGACACTTCAAAAGGCGTGTACAATCAACCGGGTATGGCGCCGTCTGTCGACGCGTGGCTCCAGCGCGACGCCCCAGGTCATCAGTGGTCCAGGACCTCTCGTCATCCCACAGTAGTCTTCTCTTCAACTAGTCTTGGTATATACGGGCATGTTCTCTTGCTCTAACTAATCTTTCGGTGTTCTCGCCCGTCCGCGCAGCACCCCACACGACACCCCCGCTCGTCCTACCGCGCCGCAGCAGCGCCGCCGCCCGCCTGCTCGTCCCCCTCCCTCGTCTCCGGCGTCCCGCTCGCGTCCGCCTCGCCCTCGTTGTGCCCCGTGATATCCGCGTCCAGCGTGAGCCGCCTGTCCAGGTCCTCCGTCGCGCTCGCCCGCCGCTCGGACGCACGCGCGCTCACCGCGAAACCTACGCTCCCCGCGACCGAACTGCCCTCGAAACTCTCCACCTCGACATCACGCTGCGCGTGCGGCGCGTCCCCACCGGCCTCCCCGTCGTCGTCCTCGTCGTCGTCGTCCGCGACGTCCCGCACCCGAGACACCCCCCGCGAGGCGGGGTACTCCGACAGGTCCGCGTCCTCGCCCTCCCGCGTCTCCATCACCGACGTCGGGACGTTGATGAGGCGGTTCGTACGGTACCCCGGCGGCGTCCGCAGCCGCTCCTGCCCGCCGGTCTCCCCGCGGGACGGCGCTCCGCCGCTGTCGGACGTGAAAGGCACCACGCGGTTGCTGAGATCGCCCGAGCCCTGGCCGGGCTCGAGGCCCCCGCCGTGCCCGAACACGCGCAGCGACCGCTGCGGCCCGGCGGCCGCGATGCGCGTCACCGGCGCGCCGAGGCGCCCCGCGGTCTTGGCGTGCGCAAGCATGCGCCGCGGGGACGCCGGCTCGTCGTAGTAGTCGTCGTCGTACTCGTCGTCCGGACCCATCGCGCCGCCCGCGAGCGGCAGCTCCGCGACGCTCGAGCGCACCGAGTGCCGCATCGACCCGGCCTGCGTGAGCTGCGCCTCGGTGACCGGCGCGTTGTTGTTGTCGTGCCCGAACTTGCGCGAGACGTATTTCATGACGTTCGCGCCGAGGTCCTTCACGCCCGTGGGCCCGCGGCGCGGCGCGGGCTTCGACGCCTCCGCGCCGGTGCCGGCGCCGGGCGCGTCCGCGGCGGCCGCGCCGTAGCTCTGCACCAGAGGGCGCTGCCCCTCGACGTGCAGCTCCGCGACCGGGGTCCGCACGAGCGCGGTGAGAATGTTGCCCATCGGCGGGACGAGGCAGCGCGACTTCTTCGTGTCGAGCTTCGTCGTCGAGCGCGGCGCGCGGAACGCCGGCCGCACGCACGCCAGCTCGAACTCTCCCGTCACGCCCTTGAGGCGGTAGCGGCCCACGTGGTCGACCATGATCTTCTCCGTGGCCTCGAGCCACAGCCAGCGGGCGTGCTTGAAGCGTTTCGCGAGCTGGTGCGACGACGGCTGGTTCATTCGGAACTCCGCGAACTGCGGCGGCGCCGCCTGCTGCTGCGGCGGCGCGGCCGGCGGCGGGTCGGCGTACCCGATGTGGGAGACGCGGAACGGCATGTGGCGGTAGTCCTCCGCGGCCGCGTCCGGCGCGTGCACGTCGCGCTCGCGCTGCGCCGGCGCCTCGCGGTCCGCGCCCCACGCCACCTTGAGCGGCACCGCTTGCCCCGACGGCGAGGTCGGATCCGCGTTGACCGACGCACGCGTACCGGTCGGGACCTCCATGAGGAAGCGGCCCGCGGCGGCCTGCGCGATGCTGTCGGGGTTGAGCGCCGCGGCGGTGCGCGTCGTGATGACGCTGCGCGACGCGCCCGCGAAGAGCCGGCTGTTGCCGCCGTCGCGGTTGCCGGCGAGCGGGGACGCGGCGCGGCGCTCCGCGCCCTTCTCGCCCGCGCCCGCGTCCGTGCGCGACCGCGCCCGCAGCGAGGCGCGGAACGTAGGCCCCCCGAAGGCGAACCGGTTATTGTCGCTGACGTCGGTGCGACGCGATACCGAGCTGAACACGGACCGCACGGACGGGCCCGACGCCGCCGAGCGCTTCGAGACCCCGGACATCCCCGTCCGCCGCGACGCGTTCGTCAGCGCGGACCGGTTCGACGGCCCGGACATGACGGTGCGGCGCGACGTGGACGCCGACGGCGGCTGCAGCCCGTTCGCCGGCGCGGAGGGCCCCTCGCCCTGCCGGCGCTCGAGCGACACGGTGCGGTACGTCGGCCCGGCGTACATCGGCCGCGCGCTCTGCGTGTCGCGGCCGTAGCCGCCGACGTCAAACTCGTCGGGGTCGACGTCGCACAGGTTCTCGAGGAGGTCCTCATTGAGCGCGACGACGTTCGGCACGCACGTCTTGTCGTACACGGCCGCGCGGCTGACCATCGAGGGGTTCGAGAGGAAGGTCGAGTGGCGCTGGAGGTGCGCGGCGCCGCCGCTGCCGACGGCGCTGTTGTGCGAGTCGCTCCACTGCTGGAGGTGGTGCCGGCGCGTGGCGGTGGAGCTGAAGAAGCCGCCGTCGATGCCCTCCGCGCAGAGCTCCACGAACGCCGCCGCGACCATGTCGGCGGGGCCGACCACCTCCCCCGAGTGCGCGGCGGCGAAGCAGATGCGCGCCGCGCGGTTGACCAGGGGGCCGAAGTAGTCCGCGCGGCCCGTCGCGATGTGCGGAATGATCCGGATCGGCACGCCCTCGCACGCCCCGATCCTCACCCTCAGCCCGCAGTTGGTCACCAGGCCGTGCGCGTTGGTCTCGATGGCCGCCTCCCGCGTCTTGAGGAGCCGCGGCGACCACGGCAGCGTCGGGAGGCTCAGCTGCAGCGCGAGGCCCCACATCAGCGCCTCCTGCATCGTGTGGAACGCAACCATGAAGCACCCCGACAGTTCCTGGCACTCATACCCGTTGAAACGCGGCAGCGTGCGCCGGACGACGGCCTTGTAGAGCAGCATCGCGGCGTTCGCGGCGGTGCGGTCCTCCTTGAAGAGCTCGTCGAGCTTCACGGGCGCGCAGAATAGGATCGTGACCTGCGGGAACGTCTCCGCCAGCGTGTGGCACTCGCCGCACGAGGCGTACGGCGGGCCGTGCCGGCACGGGTTGAGGCTCGGGAAGAGCGGCGCGAGCGCGCCGGGCGCGTCGAAGTACCCCGGCGTCACCAGCGTGTCCGACGGCAGCGGCGGGAAGAACCGCGCGCGCTCCTCCAGGAAAGGGACCAGAGGCTGGTACAAGTGCGTGGCGTGGGGGAGCCCCTTGAGGGCGTGCTGCCCCATGTCGAGCACGACGAGCCCCGGCCGCTCGCGCTGCCCCGTCGGCTGCGCGACGCGCCCGTTCTGCAAAAAGTGCTGCGCTTCGCGCTCCCGGTCCGTCCCCGTGTCCGACCCGCGCAGCGCCTGCACGACCTTGTGCAAGAAGTTCCCGAACGCCCCACCGAAGAACAGGCCCTGCCCGTCGACCTCGCCCTGGGAGGCCCGGGAGTGCGGCGCCAAGTTGAGACCCGGCAGCGACTGCGTCAGGTCCAAACCGTTCCCGGACGCCTTCGCGTCGAGGTTCGACGACTTCGCCGGGTCGACCCCGCGGCGGCTGCCCGTGATCGACGTCGCGGACGGCTGCCGCGAGTCCACCATCAACCCGCCCGGCCCGATAGACCTGTGATCTTCCGAGATGCGCGGAACGCGCTTGGAGTCGCCGCCCGAGGACGCCTTGTTGCTCCCGATCGCCGCACCGTCGCCGGGCCCGAGCTTGCCGCGCTTGGACGTCTGCCGCGGGACCGGCGCCGGGTGCACGCGCGCGGATGCGTTCTGGAATCGCCCCGTCATGCTGAGGCCCGCCCCGCCCGCGTCGGTGCCGGTGTTGTGCCGGAGCGACGCCGTCCCGCCCATGGAGTGCGTTGCGGCCTTGCCGTTGCCGTTGGTGAACTCCTGGGTCTCCGTGAGGTTGCGCACGCGAAAGCTTCCCTTGTGCCACCACCGCGACTGGCGCTCGCTGACCCGCGCGCCCGTGCGCGCCTCGGACCCCCACTTCCTGTCCGCGTGCGCGCTGAGCTGCTTGTTCGCGCCGAGCTCCTGCAGCTGCCCCCAGATCTGCGTCAGGTGCGGCAAACACGCCTCGTACGAGCGCTCGTCCATCAGCACCTGCCCCCCATGCGTCACCTCCTGTATCGCGTGCACGAGCGTGTACACCGCGCCGGAGTACTCGAGCCGGCGCGTCATCCGGTGCGTGACCGCCGGGTCGCTATGCGCCGTCGAAATCGACATGCGCACGCGCAGCCCGCGGAAGAAGCGGTCGCCGCCGTCGTCCTCGAGCGGCCCGCCGCCCGTCAGCGCCGCGGCCGCCGCGGGCGAGATGCTCGCCATCGCGGGCTTCGCCGGCGCCGCAGGCGCTATGCGGACCGCCCGCGGCGGCGGCGTGCGGCGCTGCGCCGCCTCGCCCTCGCTCGCATCCGAGCCTTCCTGCTCGTCGTCGCCGCTGTCGTCGCCGCTGTCGTCGTCGTCGTCGTCGTCGCCGCCGCTCTTCTTGGGCTCCGCGAAGCCGACGGAGTACTTCGTGACCGAGAGGAGCCGTTTCCGGGTCTTCGAGGCCATCGCGGGCCGCGGCGTCGACGCAGGCTGCTTGGCGACGGCGCGCGCGTCCGCGTCGCCGTCCTCCGGGCCCTGCGACGGCTTCCGGGCAGCGTTCGGGTCCGACGACAGCTTGATGATGCTCGTCTCGCGTACGGCGTCGCTGATGACGGCCTCGGCCGCGGACTTCGTCGACGTCGGCGCGAGCGTGTCTCGCACGCCGTTGACGTCGGCGGGGTCGGACCGCGCGAGGCGGCCGGTCCCGACGGACGCATGCGGCATGCGCGTCGAGACCATGCAGTCTGGCCAGTCGGCGGTCGCCAGCGCCTGCTGGACCGCGATCGCGTACCCGAGCGCGTCCACGGGGTCGTGGAAGGCCTGCGGGCGCGCGGAAGGGGCGGAAGGGGGTTCAGAGGCACCGACGCATGTGTGGGTGGTTTGTGTCGGAAACGGCGGAAGGGGAGCAGGTGTGGTGTGTTGCGTCGGGGAAAGAGAGGAACAGAGCTGCAGGGAGCGACGGGCGCGGGCGCGGGCGCGGGCCGCTCGCTTTGCTTTGTTTTGCGTTGTGTGCGGTGATCGGGCGCGACGCAAGGGGGACAAGGGTTGCCTGCGCGCCAGGGCATTGATATCCCTGTCGGCGATTTGAGTCGGCACTGTGCTTGCGTACGGGGACTTCCGCGCAACCGCTGGCGGCTTCACGCGCGCAGCGCTACACCACCGACGCTTGTGCTTGCTGTCTGTCGACCGACCGCCTCCCGCGCCGGTCAGCGATCAACGACGACGCCAGCGCGCGCGGGACACTCACCAGAAGGAACGAGTCGCCCTCGGTCGTCACTTCGTAGCCGTGCCAGCGCGACAGGTGCTTCCTTATGATTGCGTCGTGCAGCGCGTTGGCCAGCGACATCTCCCGCGGGCGCGTCTCCCACATGAGAGTGGAGTCCTCGACGTCCGTGAGCAGCATCGTCGTCTCCTTCCCGCCGCGCGGCGGGCCCGCGCGCTTCCGGCGGTCCAGCAGCGCCGCTTGCAGGGAGTGCCGGAACACAAACGCAAACAGCACAAGGAGCACGAGGAGGAGCGATCCCACCACGGACGCGACGATGGCGATGATCGTGTCGTTCGAGAGCGCCGAGGACGACTCTCCGACGCACACGACGCGGTCCGTCGGCAGGAAGTCCCGCGCCCACGCCGCCGCGCCCGTGCCGGCGCCCCACCCGCTGTCGGCGTCCGGCGCCGTCACCGCGTCGAACGCCGCCCGCATCGCCGCGGACAGCGCCGTCCGCTGCGGGCGAAACCCCTCCGAGCACGCGCAGCCCTCGAACCGGTAGTACACGGGCGACAGCCGCACGCGCACCGTGTCGCGCGTCTCAGTGTCCATCAGCCGGCGCGGCCGCACGAGCGGGCACACGAGCCGGACGTCGTCCGCCTCGCCGTGCGTCTCGCCGTCCGCGCCCGCGAACGCCAGGCTCTCCGGCAGCAGCTCCCCACGGGAGTTTCTGTCCGACGCGTTGTGGGTCATCAGCGTGTCCCGGAGATCCAAAAGGATGAGTCCGGGGAGGTCGCCGAGCTCGCGCGGGATGGCCCCGAAGATGCGCGTGCCGGAGAGGTCGATGTCGGTCAGGAACTGGCTCTCCGTCAGCGAGGGCGGGATGGTCCCGGTCAGAAGCGCGTTGTTGCTGAGGGTCAGGGTGGCGAGGCCCTCCGGGGCCAGGGGGTCCGGGAGGGTGCCTGCACGCAGCGCGGAACGCGCCGGGTGAGGGCTGCGCGGGCCGGCGGGGACGGGGACGCGTGCGGCCGGCGAGCTGTGCAGCGTGTGTGTGTGTACGTGTGCGTGTGCGCACCTTCGATGTTGTTGTTGTCGATGGCGAAGGACTTGAGCGTCGAGAGCCTGGCCATGGCCGCGGGGATGCTGCCCGTGAGGCGGTTGTTCCCGGCGTCGATCTCGCGCAGCGGAATCGTGAAGAACGACGAGGAGATGGCCCCGGAAATGAGGTTGTCGCGCACCGTGAAGGACTTGTGCGTGACGGCGCGCGAGCGCAGGATGTCCTGCACGTCCGCGAACGGCCCGTTCGCCACGAACGCCCCCTCCAAGTCGCTCACGGTCACCGCCACCTGGTTGTTGCTAATGTCCAGATCCGACAGCAGCGGGAGCAGCGCGAGGCCCGAGGGCGTCACCGCGAGGCGGTTGCCGCGCACGTTGAGGTGCGCGAGCCGGAGCGCGTCCTGCGGAGCAGCAGCGCGAAAACACCTCGTCCGTCGGCCGCTCGCGATCGCGATCGCGTCGTTGTCGTCGTTGCACGACGGGCCGGTCCAAGCCGCGGCGAGGAGCGCGGGGCTCGAGGGCATGCGGGGGCGGTGCGCTGCTGTGGCGGGGAGCGCGGCACATGTCGTGCACGTGCGTGCGTGCGTGCGTGGGCGGCGTACCGCGAACGTGCCGGGGAACGTCCCGGAGAAGCCGTTGACGTGCAGGGACGCCTCGGTGAGGAACTGGTGGTCCCCCCACCCGTCCCCGCTCTGCCCGGGCACCTCCCCCGTGAAGTCGTTGTGCGAGAGGTCAAGCAGACGCAACAGAACTGCGTCCGCGAGCGCCGCGGGCATGCTGCCCGTGATGCACATCCCGGAGAGGTCGAGCGCCTCGAGGCCCGTCGCGAGGTCGCGCACGGCGGCGTCCGGGAGCGCGTTGGCGGCGGCGGCCGCGTGGCGATGGACGTCGCCGCGCGCGCACGTTTGTTGCCGGACGACGCGGACGCCGGAGACGGCGCCGGGGCGGAGGCACCGGAGCGGGCCGGAGTCGACGAGCCCGACGACGTTGGGGCCGACGCGAAGGAACACCGGGAGCGTGCCGTCGGAGCCGCAGCACTCCACGCCTGGCCAGCAACAGTGGTGGACGTCGCTCTGCCAGATGCGCCGCATGCCCTGGTCCGCCCACGTGGGCCCGCCGGTCGCCGCGAAGAGCGCCTGGAGCGCCTGGCGCTGGCTGCGGGGACGGCGCCCGGGACGCAGCGTGCGCGTCGGTGTGGCGCGGGCCCAGAGCGAGTCGGAGGTGGTGTGTGGCGACGGTGCGGCGGCCGCGCGGGGTTCAGGGAGCGCGAGCGACGTGCGGGCGGCGCGTGGGCGGGCGGGGGCGCACCTCGCTTGGCAGGCAGCGTTGCACGCAGGTGCAGCGGCCGCTACTGCGCCGTCGAGCGCGGAGAGCGCGTCTTCGAGCTGCTCCAGCAGTCGAGAGCCGGCTGGGAGGTTCGCCGCGTTCGTCCCGGGCACGTACAGCGTCCCCGGCTGCACGCAGCGGGAAGATGCAGGGGTGAGGAGATGGGCTTCGCGCGGCGCCGTGCGGGCGCGCACGCGGCGCCCGGGTCCGCGAGCCGCACGTTCGGGCCGCGGGGAGGCTGCGGCGGCGCCGTGCGGCGGCGCGGGGCGCACCTGGATGCCTTGGGCCTGCTTCCACGCTTTGATTGTTGCCCGGCCACTCCAGGTCGCGTCGGCGCCTCCCGCGGCGTTCGCGAGCGCGGTGATGCCTCTCGCGGCGAGGAACGACTGCAGGAGCACGCGCGCGGGGCGCGAGCGCGGTTCGACCGGGAACGAGCGCCCACGGCCGCGCAGGGCGTCAGCGAGGGGCCACTTCGCGGCGTTCGCGGGCGGTTCGAGGTCGGGGAGCGAGGAATCGGGCGCGGCGGTGCGCTACGTGACGGGATGGGTCGGCCAGGCCGCGCTGCGCACCTGACAAGAGGCCTCGTCGCCCTCCAGGAGCCCGGGAAGCCATGCTGGCCCCAGCAGCTGTCCGTCCGCTGCAGGCGCGGTGCACGCGGGGGCGTTCGCGTCAGCACAGCGCTAGCGCTGAGCGAGTGCGTGCGGGCGGGCGGGCCGCGCGCAGCAGACCGGGACGGGGGGAGCGCGGCGGCCGCAGGAGAGTGTGAGGGGTGCACGGGCTGCGCAGACGGCGGGGTTGCGCGCAGGGGGCTGCCGGGCCCGCCGAGGCGCGGCGAGGGGAGATACAGAGCGGTGTGGGAAACGCGGGGGCGCGGCGGGGCCGCGGGAGTCGCGGCGACGCGTGCAAAGCGAGAACGGTGCTGGCCACGCTCCACAGGCGAGGGCTCAGGATCGGGCACGCGTCCGGGCGACGGCCGGGGCGCGCGGGGTAGGAGGGGCAGGCGGCGTCCCGGCGCGCCGGTCCGCGTGCGCCGTGGCGCCGTTGCGGTGCTGCGGGGCGCGCTGCGAGACGGGAGGCATGATGCCGCCCTCGGGCGAGGCCGCGAGGGGCGCGCCGCGTGGGCAGGTGCCGGCGCCGCGAGCGCCGGCGGCGTGTGGGGGGGTGTGGGCGTCGGGTGCGCGCGCGGCGGGCGAGGCGCGGGGGGCCGCGGGATGACAGGCTGGTGGTGCTGTGTGCATGCTGCAGGGTGATGTGGCCGCTGGAGGGGCGCGCGCGGCGCCGGTGCGCGGAAGGCGGCGTTTGCGAGGTGGAGGGCAGGGTGCGGCGGGGCTCGGCCGGGTAGGGCGCTCGAAGAGGCTGAAATGCGGCGTAGTTGGCCAGAGAGGGAGCTGAGCGTCGCTGTGGGCGTTGGAGGGGGGTCAGGCGCCGCGGCGCGCGCCCTGCGGTGCTGCTGAGTTCGCGGAGGAGGCGAAAAGCGTCGGAAAGACCGGGAAGTCGCTCACCTGCGCCAAGGTACACCAAGAGGGCCAGGAGGACCGCGGCTGCGCCGCCCCACAGCGGCCTCGTCGCCCACCGCGCCACCATGGCGGAGAAAGATATTCCCAGGTGTCAGCGGAGTGCGGGGCGGGCGTCGGCGAAGCCGCGCGGCCGTGGAACCGCCCTTTCGCTGTAGCTCATTATGATGCGCAGCCCTGCCGCGTCCACATCCGCTCTAGTTTGTAGCGCGGGCGCCCGCTGCGCTTTGAATTTACACCGCGCCCGCGCGTCCGCGGCCCCATATACGCGCAGCAGACGCTGCAAGGCCGAAAACCGACCCCACCTGACAGGCGTGCCGAGCGCCCCGTGCGGTCGGGACCTCCGAGCTAAGCCAGCGCCGGCGTCTCATCTTCTCATGGTCCACTTGTCTCCGTGAGCGAGCAGCTCGGTACGGTCCCGTGCGGCCCGAGCGACGACCTCAGGACGCCGGCCCCGGGCGCTGCGCTTCTGAATCACAATGCGGCGCATCTCATGCCCAACGATGGCACTAGTATTTTACGAGGCCGTCTCGCGCGCGCTGCGGATCTCGCGCGACTGCACGTCGCCTGCAGCCACGGCGTGTTCCCTTCACCACTGCGGCGGAGCCGCGGACGTGCCGGGGCGAGGGACAGGCGGCGCGCGCGGCGCCGGGGATTTTCGGGCTCGACCGCACTCTGCAGACGCCGGCCGAGGACGCCCTAGCAGAACTGTATAAACGATTCACTTAAATACATTGTTGGTTGTTTTCTACTTCCCAGAGGCACGCGCAGCTCGGACGCCGCCGGCAGCGCGCGGGCCGCGCCCATCGGCAGCCGCGCGGGCTGCCAGTAGTGCCATAACTCCGAGAAATGCCAGTCTAGATCGAAGACGAAGACAAAGACCACAATGCCAGCCAAGGACTGCCTCGGAGCACTCCTCACGCCGAGGGCGTGCGCGACGGAACCGGCACGACACATGCGGCGCGCACAGCGCGTCAGCGGCGCAGATGGAGCCAAGCGACGCCACGGACACTCGTGCGCTTCTGCCATTGCACGCGCATGCCCACCGCGAGGGCGCACGAGTCGTGCGCGGCAGACGGGGCGGGCGCCGCACAGCAGTTCAGGCTGCGCAGGTCGAGCAGGCCGAGCGGTACGACGTAGCATTCCATTAGCGCTCGCAGGCGTGTCACACGGCCGGCGCGAAGCGGCTCGTTGCCGTCCGCTCCGGCGCTCGCCGCGCACCCCCGCGCGCAGGCCGGGGCCACGGTGCCCGGACCCCCACCCCAACCAACACCCCCCCCCCCAGGCCGCACACACCCCCCCTAGTCCGACGCGTACTGGTCCAGCTTGGCCGTCAGCATGCGCCCGTCGTACTCGTACCCGTTGAACATATCGATGGCCTTCTGCGCCGTCTCCGAGTCCACGAACACCGCAATACCCCACCCCTTACTCCTCCCGGAGGACTCCCGCATGACCTCCGCCCTCTCCACCTCGCCGGCGTCCGACAGGAGCTGCCCGAAGGCGTCCGTGTCCACCGCCCAGGGCAGGCCGTGCACCACGATCTGCCGCCCGGCCGCGCCCGCCACCAGGGACCCCTTGCCCGCCGGGGCGGCGCTGCGGTTCACGTCCCTGCGGGGGGGTGTTGGGGGGAGTGTGCGGGTGAGCGTGCGCGGGCGCGGGCGGGGTGGTGGGGATGCGGGGTCCGCGGGCGGAAGAGGTAGATAGGGAAGTGGGGAAGGAATTGGAGTCGAGAAAAGACGACTGTTTGGGAAAAGAAAGAAAGAGAGAAGACGGGTCGGAGAGGAGAGAGGGGCGGCCGAGGGGGGCGGCAGGGGTCCGCAGAGGGAGCGCGGGTGGGCAGGCGGGGCGCGGGAGGCGGGTGCGGCGTGCGATGGTGCGTGCGGCAGGTCGGGGGTTGACGAGGGTGTGGCGCGGAGGGCGCGCGGGGGAGTCGGGGCTCTTTCGTCAGTGCGGAAGGGAGAGCGGTGCCGCCGATAGGAGGGCGAAGGCGGGCCGGCGCGGCGCCGCGCGGCGTGACGCAGCCGACAGCACGCCGCGCCTCGCGCCGCCCGCAGGCACGGACGGCGCAGCGTGCCGACGTCAGCCTTCAGCCCTCGCTGCGCCGCGCCGGCCCGCCGCGCATTCGTTCGACAGGCCGCAGCCCCGCCGACCGCGAGCCGCCTCCGTCCCCCTCGCGCACACACACCCCGCAACCCCTCCTCCCCTCCAACCTCCCGCACGCCCTCCGCGCGCCGACCCCGCCTCCTGCGCCCCACCTGTCCTCGCGGTCCTCCCTCACGTGGATCTGACGCCCCCCCAGCACCGTGTTGTTCATGTGACTAATCGCACGCAGCGCCTCCTCCGCGCGCTCGTACTCCACGATCGCGCAGCCGCGCGCGCCGGGGAGCACGTCCGCGTACACGACGGAGCCGCACTGCCGGAAGTGGTCCTTCAGGCCCCGCCAGTCGACCTCGTGCGGGAGGTTGTGCACGTAAACGCGGCGGCCAATGGTCACCGTGTCGCCGCCGTTGAGCGAAACGTCGCGGCCGCGCGGGCTGCGGCCGCCGCGGCTGCCCGTCACGCGGCGGGACTCGTAGCCGGACCGGCTCGCGGGGCTCTCGTACCTGCAGGGGGCGGGGGTTTTGGGGGTCTCGTTCTGGGGGCGCGCGGGGGCGCAGGGCCGGGCGCGCTGGAGCGCGTGTGTCCAGTGCGGCGCGGTGCGGGATCAGAATCACGTATTTGTCAATCCTCATCGTTGGGTCCCGAGTTTGGCTTTTGTGTGGGACGGATAGGACTGGGGCGACATCGTTGGCGTCACGTCCCGCGGCGAGCAGTCGCAGGGCGCCGGAGCGCGGCCCTCGGCGCGCGTGCGGGCGCGCGGGGGGCGGTGCGCGGCGCACACCTCACCTGGCGCGCTTGGGGGGGCCCTCGCGCCCTGCCCCGCGGGGCGGGGCGCCGCCTTGGCTGTTGTAGTACTCCTTGAGGTCGCGGTCCTCGCGGTCCTCGCGCACGTAGATCCTGCGCCCGTTGACTTCGGTGTCGTTCAACTCCCTGATGGCACGCGCCGCCTCCTCGGGCTGCTCGAACTCGACGATCCCGCAGCCCTTCGAGCGCCCATCGTGGCCCGTGAGCACCTCCGCGTACTTGACGCTCCCGACCTCCTTGAAATAGTCCTTCAGGCCCTGCCACGTCGTCGACCAGGAGAGGTTGCCGACATAGATGCGGCGGGCCACCTTGATGACCTGCTGGCCTGCGGGGGCGGCGCGGGGCGGGCGCGCGCGGTGTGGGGGTGCGGGAGGGGGGGGGGGGGGGGGGGGGGGGGGGGGGGGGCGGAGGGATGGGAGGGAAAGTGGGAGGCTGTTGCGCGCCGTGTGCGGCGGGGGGAGGCTCGCGGCGGGCGCGGCGGGGGGAATGGTGGAGTTGCGTGGGGGGCATTCCGCGGCGGCCGCGGGCGCGGCGTGGGGGCCGCGGCATCGGGCGCGGGCAACTCGCGCTGCGGGCGGGTCGGCCCGTGCGGGGGCGGTGGGCCGCGAACGGCCCGTGCGCGGCGCGCGGGGGCGGCTGCAGCTCGATTCTGGGCGAGCGGCGTGGCGTGCCGCGCGCGAGGGTGCCCGGGCGGGGCGGGCGGGGCGGGCGCGCAGAAAGGTGCCCGGACGACCACCAGATCCCCGCCCACGCGCTCTACGCGGCAAACGCCGCACACGCGTCGATGCGTGGTCGTTTCGCGTGCGCGACTGCGATAGCGGAGACGCCGCGAGGCGGCCTGTGCTGTTCGGCGCCGCTCGCGGGTCTGCCGCCTACGGCCCGAAACGCCCCGCCGCGGCTTCGAGGCGCGGCGATGACGCCGTCCACGCATCAACGAAACAAAGATCTCGCGGCCGCGGGCCTCGCAGACGCGCCTCCCGCAGACAATCAGGCGCGCGAGCGAGCCTGCCCAACAAACCAGGCTGATGGGCACTCACTGGAATCCGTCATCCTTCCCCCCGACCTTACTCTTCCCGTCAGAAAAGCGGTGTGCCCCTCCCGCGCCGCCGCGCGCCCCAACAGCCGCGGCGGGCCCCCCCGCGCCCCTAGGGTGCTCAACCAGCCCGGCGCCCCCACACCACCTCCCCCCTCGCGCCCCGCACGGACGCACACGCCGCTCCCGAGCCCCTCGACGGCCCGCCGTCCGTTCCACCGATCTCGCGGCCGCGTTCCGCGCGGCGACGGGAATGCAGCGCACAGGGCCGGGAGGAGCTGCCAATGAACCCCCAACTGCCTAACTTGACCGTGGAGGGTCCTCCGCTTGCTCGTTCCAGGCCCCGCGGCGTCCGCGCCGCGCTCGTCCGGCTCCGCGCGCCGCGCCGGCGCGGCACTGGAGTGCGCACGAACAGACCTGCTTCTATATCTGGCGTGAGTTGCGAAGATATAGCGACATACATTTCGTGTGCCCGCGTTTTGTGGACGCTCGGGCGGTACCGGCGTCGTGCGACGGTGGCGCCGTGCGTCGAGGACGCGCGCGGAGCGTGCCGCGTCTGACAGACTGCACGTGCGGGCCGCACCGCATCCGCATGCGGGCGCGGTATCCATATGGGTGTGCCGCGGGGCGGCGTGCGAGGCGCGCCCGAGCATGTGGGCGCTCACGTGCGGCGCGTGGCCGCTGCACCGGCGCCGGCGCCGCTTGCGCCGCGCGTTCCGTCGCAGCCGGAGCAAGAGCGGGGCAGGTGAGGCATTGATACATATCAATATCATTATCATCGATTCATCAATTACTAATCCTTGATTTGAGTATGAATCAATGTGATTGCGCGCTGCTGTCGCAGCAGTGCTCCGTTCGACACTCACGGCGCCACGCGTGAACTGGCCGCACGGGGCAACCCGGTTTTGTCAGTCTCAGAACTCAGACGTCACAGAATATGGTCTTCTCCGGTTCTGAAGCCTGACAGCCGACTGTGGCGCGAAATATGCAACACCTCGCCTCAGTGAGGCGCCGAGCCGCTCGATCTCGTTCTTGTCCGCCGCGATTCCCCGCCACGCGACGCTCTCGCCCACGCGCACGTGCCCCGGCCGCCCTCGTCACGCGGCGACCGCGCGCGCGTACCACACCGCCCGCCTCCGCTCGCCCTCCGCGGGGGGCGCCCGCGGCTCCACGCGCCCGTACGACGCCTCCCGCGCCCCTAGCTCGTGGACACTCACCGCGCGCCACCCGCGCGGCGCGAGGAAGGACGCGGGGTCGTCGTGGCCCCACTTCCACGTCTCCATGAGCCGCGACCCCGCCGCGGGGCGCCCGCGGCGGCCCGCGGCGTCGTCCCGGCGCCGCCCGAGCGCTGCGGTGACGCCGGTGGCTAACACGACGGAGCACGGGGCGGAGATGCGGCGAACGTCGCGGAAGAGCGTGTCGATCTGCTGGCCGTCGAGGTACATCGTGAGGCCCTCGAGGAGCCAGACCGTCGGAGCCCTGCGCCGCGGGCCGAGGGTTGATTGCCTGCGTCGGCGACAGCGGCGGGGGGGCGCCCGCCGACCGCACGCACGCGCGGAACGGCAAGAGCGGAGAAAAGAATGAAAAAATACGACGAATGTTGCGACGCAATCGAGATAATCAAGCCACCACACGGAACGAAGTAGAAATACAAAGGCAACGCACAACTCCCCCCCTTTGTGTTGCGTCCAGGACGTGCACGCGGCCGACGGACACGCGGCACGTGTGGCCGCGACGCGCCTGGGATCGAAGCCGGCTTCCTGGAGCGTCCGCGTCCACGAAGACTCCCCCAAGTCCCCCCGGACAGGTGTCCAGGACACACACATCAGCGGGTGCCGCGTGGCCGGCGCCGCCGGCGCCGCGGCGCCCGCCGCGCGGCCCGTGCGCGTCGGACCGCTCTGTGCGCCCGCCGCCTGCAGCGTACGCACCTTGGCGTCAAGCACGTCGCCACGGTCCACCTGCGCGGCACGCGACGCCAACACGCACGTGAGGAGGCCCGCGGCGAACGAACCGGGCGCGCGCGCCGCCTGGGGCGATGCGGGCGCGACAGCGCGCGCTCGCTGAGGGAGCGAGGTCGCTTGGTTGTTGGTTTGAGAGAGCAGACGGGCAGAAACAAGTGAAAGCATATTTGTACATGTTGGGCCCTCGCTGTGCGGTCCTCGCACTTCCGGCCACTCCCGAACACTCCAGCCGACTTCGGCGTGTCGCGGCCGCCTCGGGAGGGCGTTCCCAGACGTGGCAGGGCGCGCGCGCGCGCAAGTGCAGCGGTTGGTGTGCAGCGCTGCTGCGCACAGACGCGGACGCGGCGTTTCCGCACGGCGCGGCGCACCTCGAACCAGTGCACGCCCGCCGGTAGCGCGAGCCGCCACGGCCGCGCGTCCATCCCCGCGCCGAGGTTCACCACCTGCTTCGGCGCGCCGGCCGGACTTGGCGGCGGCAGCGGCGCCCAGCCCTGCCCGATGGACTCCGCCGTCGCGGCGCCGAGCGCCTCGAGCACGGCGTCGTCGAGGTACCGCGTCCGCACCGCGATGCGCCCGGGCGGGTCGCCGCGGGCCGCGCCGGCAGCGCGCGCCTCGGCGCGCAAGCGTGCACGTTTGTCTCTCATGGCCTGGCGGCCGGCGAAGGCCTCGGCGAGGGGGTCGTGGAAGAGGGGCTGCTGGGCGTCGGACTGTGCGCGGGGGCGGCGGGGAGGCGCGGCGTGGGCGGGGCGTGGCGGGCGCAGACGGCGGACGGTGCGTTGAAAAGCGATGGTGTTGCAGCTGGTGGGGGCGACGGGGCGCGGGGGGGGAGGAGGGGGGAGCGCAAGGGCGGGGGGTTCGCTGGGCGTGTGCGCGGCGAGGGGCGGCGCTGTGCGGGTGTTTGCGGGCGGTTAGAAGCGGGAGAGAGGGGATCGTCGCACCTCTACGGCTCTGGACGCAGCGATCATGCACGAGGAATACGACACGACGCCGCTCATTCCGTTGAAGTCGTTCCTCTTCCAGATCACGTGTAACAGCGTCTGCACGCAACGCCGGAGCGCAGGGAGGAGCAGCACTATCATCCAGTGCAACAGGAGTCTTCTGCGGCCGATTGCTGCCGCGGTTTCGAGGAGGGGGACGGTGCATCCAGGTCCGTGGTGGCGAGGTCTCACCGGGAGGACGAACTTGGCGACCGCCGCAGAGGCGGCGAGGTACAGTGCAGTCTTTGAGACGTTGCGAGAGGGCCTAGTGGTGCTATGATGGAGGCTCGAGGCCCGAGCGTCGCTCGTCTGCGCCACGGCTTCCGCCATGCTGCCCGCTGCGTGGATTCCTAGAGATAGAGCGTCGCGCAGGGGGACTGCGGGGAGCACTTATTGCGGCTGCTGCGCGGGCGGGGCGATCGAGAGAGGCGTGCGCCGGAGACTCGTCCAGTCTCGAATGCCACGCCGTTCTTGCGTACACCGCCGTGAGGGGGGTCGCGCACTGCGCTTCTGGACGCAGGAAGCTTCGGTGCGGCGCTCGACACTGCGCATCGCCTCGCGCGCACCGCCCCAAAGGGCCCGCTGCGTCCCTTATGTAAGACCAGGACTGCGACGGCGCGGCGCCCGACTGCCAGACATGCTCCAGCGCGTCGCCCCGCGCGCGCCCGTCAGCTGCCGCACTGGCGCCGGCGAGCACGCACTACGCGCCCTCGCGATCCTAGACGCCCGCACCGTCAACGTCGCTCCCTGCGCACGGCCCTCGTTGCGCGCAATACGCGCCCAAGCGACCCAGTGCAACGAACAGGTCCAGCGACGTGTTTCCAGGCGGGACGCGCGCCCCTGCGCCGCCGCTACAGCTCCAGTGAAGCGCGCAGGGCTACGTCGCACAGCGGGGCGCCCGGAAGGCCCGGGGCGGCGCCGCAGCGATGAGGCGGAGCCTGGGCTGGACGTCGTGACGCGAACTAGCGCGGGCAGTGCGCGTGCGGAGGCGGCTTCCGGGCTGCGCGTTGGCGCTGGTGCGGTGCTTCCTCGGGGATGGTGGCCGTGGTCGCGGGGAAACGTGTGCCGGGTGAGTGCAAGCTTTGTCTGGTGCAACGTTTCCGCGTCAACCGTCCGGGCCCGCCGCCAGAATCGGCGCGCAAGCTCGCCCGCGAACGAGGCAGCTCGTAGCTTGCTTTCGGTGCCCAAACGAGGCCCCGTGGTGTCGTACGGGACGTGGATTCCGCGCGTATGTTCCACACGCTGCTTGCGCCGCCTCGCGACGCCTCGCTGGGTGCCTCATCTGCGTTCCGTTCGCGCGTCAACGCGAGAAATTGAAGTGAGGATGCCGCTGCGGTGGCGGAACGCGATGCAGGCGGCGCGATGGCGGCTCCACGCCCGCCACTTCATCCCGGCACCAGCCACTGCCCGCTGTCGTCTGCGTCGTCGCACGGGATGGGCATCGAGGAGTACTACGAGTTCATCGGGCCCTACAACATCGAAATCCCGCGCAGGCACGCTCGTCACCGCCGCCGCGCCCTCCCACGCCCCTAACACAAACAACGGCGCGCACGTGCTCACCGCGCACCGCCCCGCGGCGCGGGCGATGCTCAACCCTCGCGCTGCGACGAGCCACGCGCGGTGCGATCCTCTCTGTGCAGGCGGCGCTCGTGGCGGCGGAAGGCATCGGACACTTTACTAGGGTGCTGTATCCTTCTGCGAATGCTTGGCGGGCTGGTGCTGACGTTCGGCGGCGGCACGCTCTGGCTCCTCAAGGCGCTGCAGATGACCCTGTACGGCCTCCTGCTCATGCCGGGTGCGCGCGAAGCCCCACCGCTGCGCACGAACGCCTGCGTCGCTCCGGCCGGGCCGGCGTTCCCCAGCGCGCCCGCTTTGCCCCGCGCGCTGCAGGCGTCGTGCGCGCGCTGACGTGGTACATGACGTCGTACCGCGTGATTCGGAAGATCGAGTACGGGAAAGGGCCGCGGAGCTACCTGGATGTGTATCTCCCGCCCGCTGAGTCCTTCCCGGGGATATCAGGTGCGACGCGCGCGGCGGCGGTGCGCGGCGGGCGGTGTCCGTCACGCGAGCGCGTCGATTCGCGATGCGCGGCGGGGCGTGATGTCATGAGTGTGCGTGCGGCGCTGGTGTGTTGCAGGCACGTCGGGGACGTACCGTCTGCCGGTGATCATCTACGTGAACGGTGGCGCGTGGATTCTGGGCCACCGGATCTACGCCGTGCTCCTCGGGCGGTACTTGTCGGAGCAGGGGGTAGTATTGATGTCAGTTGACTACCGCAACTTTCCCCAGGGGACCATCAGCGACATGGAGGCGGACGTGGCGCAGGCCGTCGCGTGGGTCCTCCGCGAGGCGGGGCGGTACTCCGGCGACCCCTCGCAGGTCCTCATCATGGCGCACGGCTCCGGCGCGCACGTGGCCGCGCAGGCCTTCCTGCAGCAGGCCAACCGCGTGGCGCGGGCGGTGGACCGCGGGGGCGCGCCGAGCATCGGGCGGTCGCGCGAGGAGCTCGAGCTCGAGCTGACGGGGTGCGCGGGCCAGACGAAGAACGCAGCGGCGGGGAGGGACTCGGGGACTATTGCGCTCCTGTCAGGCAGGGACGCGGAGCGCGGGGTGCCGCCGCACATGTGGTCGCCGAACGACCTGCAGGTGCGCTGCGGCCGCGGCGAGGCGCGCGCGGCGCGGGAGCGGCCGCCGGGTGAAACGAGACGGGAAAGCTCGATTGCTGACGTTTCGTGTTTCGTGGCCGTGTTCGTTGCGCGCAGGCGTTCATCGGCGTGTCTGGCGGGTACAGCATACCCGCGCTCGTCGACACGCTCGACCAGCGCGGGCTCTCGTGCCGCGCGTTCCTCTCGATCATGGAGGGCGGGGCGTCGGGCGCGCGCGCGCTCGAGGCCTTGCCGCGGCACTCCCCGGAGCACATCCTCAAGGCGCCCGGGTTCAAGCAGCGCGGCGCCGTGGCCTTCCTGTGCCCGACCGTGCTTCTGCACGGCGGGTCGGACCGGACGATGCCGAGTCAGCAGTCAACGTCGTTCGCCAAGGCGCTGAGTCAGGCGGGCCGGACCGACGTGCAGGTGCAGGTGTTCCCCGGGCGGTCGCACACGGACCTCGTGCTCGAGGACGTGCTGCTGATGGGGGAGCGCGCGCCGCTGATCCGCCGCGCCATGCGGTGCGTCGAGGAGAGCTGCCCGCACCGCCCGTTGCCGGATCGCACGGAGGCGCAGAAGGCGGACGCGAAGGCGCCGTTCATGGCGCACTGGCTCGTGCAGCTCGCGCGGAAGATCTCGCCGTTCTGACGGCGGCGACGGCGACGGCGACGGGGTGGAGGCCTGCGGCCGGGGACGACGCGCCCGGCGGGGGCGTGCGCGGCCGCGACGAGCAAGGGAGGGGCGGGGCGGTAGATACATACATGGTGTGCGTGCAGACCGGATAGGTGGATGGATGGGTGGGCGGTGACAGCGTCGTGTTCGTTATCGTGGGCTAGGTCTTTTTTCATTCGCTCAGGCGCCGCCCCACGAGCCCAGGCGCTCGCGGGGGCGCCGGGGCGCGCCCACACGACGCTGCGGCGCGCGCACGCCGTTTCGCGCTCCCTTGGCGGCCAGATAATCAAAAGACGTGTAAATGAACATTCTGCTGCTTGTATGTGCTCACTCTTTCTGACTGCAGGTGAGAGCCTCTCGCGGCACATACCACGGTGGCATGCTCGCATGGCATTGCGCGCGAGTACTCCTAGCACGTTGCCGCCTTGATCCGGACGGTAGCACGTCGTTTCGTGCGCGGGTGGTCACTTGTGGGCGACGACTCTCAAACGCACATACCTATTCTCATTCGCTCGCCAGCTGTGCCTCGTCACACTCGCGTTCGCGCGACGCCGCGCCCGTCCCGCGCCGCACACCTACGCCGGCGGCGGTGGCTGGTACATGCCCTGCGGGGGCGGCGCGGGCGGGTACGCGCTCGGCGCCGCTGCGGGCGGCGGCGGGCCCGGCGGCGCGCCTGGGAACCCGCCCGGCGGCGGCGGGCGGCGGCGGCGCGCCGCCGTACCCCCCTCCCGGCGGCCCGGGCGGCGCCCCGGGGGTCCCGGCGGAGCGCCCCCACCTCCCGGCCCCGCTCCTGGTTCCACTGCGCAAACATCGCCCTGCGCTCCTCCGACGCGCTCCGCCCCCGCGCCCGGCCCGCCGAACCCTCCGCCGAACCCCCCGCCGCGCGGCGGCGACCGCCCACGCCCCATGGGGCCCCGGTCGCGGAACCCAGCGGCCGCGCGACGCGGCCGCACGCGGCCCTCGCGCTTCAGCCGCTCCGCCTGCGCCCCGAACGTCAGCGCGCGCACCGTACGGTCCACCGGGAGCAAATGCAAGTAGTTGCAATACCCGCCGAAGCGGCAACTGGACTCCTCGTACTGCCGGCACGTGGCCTGGCGGAAGTCCGTGACGGGCGAGTACTCCACGGTGAGCAGGCGGCCCATGTAGTAGCGGCCCTGGAGCGCCTGGTAGCACGCGGCGGCTTCCTCCTCCGCTCCGAACTTGACGTAGACGTTCCCGACGAGGTGGTCGCCGAGGTTGTCGCAGACGTTCATCTCCTCGACCTCGCCGTACTTGGCGAGCTCCTCGAACACGTCCTGCGCCGCGCGGGCCCAAGCGGGACAGTTGGTGGGCTGAAAGGATGGGAAATGGGCCGGTACGAGGGGCTGGGGCACGCGGGTCCACGTGGAGCTGTTGCACTGCGAGTGGACGGGCCGGGAATGGCGGTTGCGTCGCAGAAGGCGCAACGTGGGCGTCGTCGCACCTCGTAGAAGTCCTCAAAGTCTTCGAGCTTCTCGTTCGTGTCGATCGGGAGCGGCAAACCGTCGGGTCCGGCCGGCTGGGTGAGCACGGGGTTCTGATACAGGTTCCGGATGAGGATGCTCTGGCTGATCGACGGCACGTTGTGCATACGCGAGCAGCGGTCTCCATGGCGGCAGGCTCTGCGGGGGAGGCTCGCGGGCACGGGCCGGCGGTGCGTGGGCGCGGAGCGCGTCGTGACGTCGCGGGGCGCGCTGCGGCCGGCCAGGCGCGGCGGGAGCGGCGTCGAAGGGCCGCTGGGGCGCGGAGAGAGCCGCGTGGGGTTGCAGGCGCGCGTGCGGGCGGCCGGGCGCGCGTTTCGGGCGTTGCGCGTGGGGAACGGGTAGGAGACGGTGCGGACATGGCGGCCGGGGCGGCCCGCGCGCTGTCGGCGGCCACGGTGGCCCGCCGCGGAGGCGGCTGTTGCGTCGTCTGTTGTTGTTGTTGCGGGCGGCTACGCACCCGATTTTGAGGTAGAACGGGCAATTCACGCGGTCCTTCTCCGTCCCAAAGATGGACGCGAGGCGATCCGCCATCCTGACGTCGCACTAGCCGTGCACCCGCGCTGCGGCCGTTGGCCCCGTGCTCCAAAATGCGCCCTGCGCCCCGCGAGCCGTCTCGCCTCCGCGGTTTCTCCACGTGCGAGCCGCTCCTCGAGCCTCGGGCCGTGACTGACCGGAAAACGGAGCGCGGGAGGCACATCACGGCTGGCAGCGCGTCATACCCCACCTGGGAGTCCCTTCGCGACAGCCCCACGCTCGCTACACCGCGCCACGTTGCCTGTCCTTCGCCCGAGCTGCGCGCACACATAGACTGCGTTCGTGGTGCGCGACGCGCGAAGATTGCGCCACGATCCGGGGCGTTTAACCGTTTAACCGCTCACAGGGATCCTGTGCCGCGCTTTGCGCGCGGCCGCGCCGCAGAGCGCACTGCGGACCCGGCTCGCGCCGCAGGGACATCACCCCAACTGTTCCGCAGGATCCTCGGCGTCCCCCCTGCGGAATTCCGCGGCCTAGGGCCAGCCAGGGCGATCTGAGGCCACCACTGCACCCTCCCCCTGCGCCCGAGCCGGATGCCCAGCGCTCTGGGCGCCGGGCCCGGCGCTCCGGCGTGCCTGCACGCGCGCCTGCTCGCGCGCCCGCACCACGGCAGCGCGTTTCAGCACGGTTTGGCCCCGCGGCGCCGCATCCCGCCAGAGGGCACACACAGACACGCTCCCGGAGCGCGGGCGCAGGGCCCCGACGCGCCCCCGGCGCGGCCCAGCGCGCGGAGCGCGAGCCGAGCTCGCGGCGGCGCGAAGCGCGCGTACTCACCGCGCGGCCGTCGGGGCGGGTCGAGCCCTAGGTCCAATGGCGCTGCGGAGCGGGCGAGCAGGGGCAATGGGCGCGGGGTGTCCGGCGGGCGGTTCGAGGCGGAGCGCGCGCTGAACAGCGATATCGTGCGGGCGCGCAGCATGCGCGACATCCTTGCTGTGTTGCGCGCGACGGGAGACCCGAAAAACATGTCTCCCGTGAACTTGGCGACGGCTCTGCACCGCCTGTCGAAGCACGCGACCCGCGCGGAGCCCCAGGCCGTCGCGAAGATGCTCGGTGCGCCCTCCGCGCCCCACCGCGCACCTGCCAGCCTTCGCGCGGACCGGCAAAGTCCCGTTTTGTACTTCTTCAGACGTTGTTTCGCGCCGTCCTGCCGTTCAGTGCCGCTCCCACGCGCCCGCTCTCGCCCCACGTGCGCGCGTAGACTCCTGCGACGTCGACCGGCTCCTCCAGGGCGTGTCCGAGGCGATGTCCGCGACGGCGATTGGTGCACCGCAACGCACACGCACAGCGGCATCCGACGGGCTCCTCGAGCCGCGGCACGTCGCGAACGTCGCGTACGCGGTCTCGAACATCCTCCTGCGCCTCCCCGCGTCGCACGTCGCCGCGGCGGCCGCAGGCGGCGACGACGCGCCCTCCGACGACGACGACGACGCGGCGGGCCGCGCGCTGCCGAAGCCCGTGCGGCGCCGGCCCATGCAGGTCCCGGGCAAGCTCATGGCGCGCGGCCGGGGCCGCAACGGCGGCCGCGCTCCCGAGCCGAGCCCCCCCCCGCCGCGCCCAGCAACGGAGCCGCCAGGCTCCGTCCCACAAACGCTCGTCGCGCCGCCCGCGGCCGTGGCGCTCGTCGACGTCGCGGAGCACGTCATCGACACCGCGAACGGCATGCTCGACGACGCAGACGGCGCGCCGTGCCCGTTCAAGGACCTCGAGCTCGGCCAACTCATGTACGCTCTCGGAAGGCTGTCTCGCGCCGTGACGGAGGCGCCGCCGACGCCGCGCGGCGCGCGCGTCTCGCGGCGCGCGTGCGCGCTCGTCGCGCGTCTGCAGGCCCACATCCCGCACACGATCGCCCCCGGGACGGTCGGCGCGGGCGGCGCCACCGCGGACGTCAACTGCTGGGCGCTGAGCAACGCGGCGTGGGCGCTCGCGTCCTGCGGCGTCGAGGCGTCGAAGCCCGTGCGCGCCGCGCTCGAAGCGGTCCTCGTCGACCCCGACGCGAAGCTCGGCCCGCTCGCACTTGCCAACATCCTCTGGGCGCTGGCGCGCATGTCGGTGCCGTTGCCGGAGGACGCGTTCTACGGCGCGTGCGCGCGCATCGAGGACAGCATCGAGGACATGGTGTCGTCGGAGGTCTCGATGACGCTCTGGTCGCTCGGCTCGCTCACGCAGCGTCTCGCGATGACGACGGCTTATACGGCGCCTCCGGCGCCGCCCTCGCGGATGCTCGCGGCGTGCTTCGAGCGCGCGCTCGCGCTGATGCCGCGCATGACGGACCGCGAGCTCTCGAACGTCGCGTGGTCGATGGGCGCGCTGCGGCACCGCCCGCCGACGCACGTGCTGGCGGCGCTGGCCGAGGACTGCGAGGCGAGGCTCGCGACGATGGCGCCGCGGTCGGTCGCGGCGATCGCGTGGGCGCTCGCGACGGTCGCGTACTTCCCCCCAGGTGCGGCCCGCGCCGCGCCGATTCGAACCAGAAAGTCCCCCGCCGAATACAACCAACTCTCGATCCTCGCTCAAACATCGCCCAGCGATTGTTCCCGAACCGCTTCGCACCGTTCGACACGCACCTCGCCGCTCGACAGACGGGGCATGCCGCCACACGCAGCGTGACTTCCGCCCGCCGTCCTCTCACCGCGTAGCACCTGCGTGCTCTCCGCGTCTCCCCCGGCCCCGCGGGCTCACCACGCGCCGCCGCTCCGCGTTCCCCGCCGCAGTCTCGCTGTTCACCGGCGTCGCGGAGGTGCTCGAGGGCCACGCGTCAGACCTGGCGCCGGGGGAGCTGTCTGCCCTTCTGTGGTCCCTGGCGGTGCTGGCGCACCTTCCGCCGCACGCGATGGACGAGGGCGCGTCGGCGCCGTCCGCCGCGGGCCGGCCCGGCGACGTCGATCCAGACACCCAGGGCGCGCTCGCAGGGAGTCCTGATGTGGAGTCTTTGGTCGACATTCTGCGATTGGACGGCGGCGCGGTGCCGTCGCGGGCCCCGGGCGGCGTCGCGGCGCGCACGGAGGGCGCCAGCGCCGGCCGCACGTGGGCGTACGCCCTCTGGTACGACAGGGACGGGCGCAATCTCCTCACCTCCGTCGCCGACGAGCTCTCGCGGTCGCTCGCGGCAAAGGACGGTCCCGCCGGCCCGGAGGCGCGCCAGCGCCAGGAGGACGCGGGCCGGCGCCTGTGGGCCGTCGCCACGGCCCGCGCCGCCGTCCTGCACCTGGTCGGCACGATGTCGGAGCGCCTCGCCACGGTGCGGCGCGGGGACTTGGTAGGCGAGGACCTGCGGCAGCTGATGCAGGTGCAGCTGCTGATGAACAGCCAGGGGTACGGCGGCGCGGAGCTGCTGCTGCCGGACTGGGTGCTGCAGGGCGCGGAGGAGCGCTGGAAGGCGGCGGCGGGCGAGGCGAGAGTGTCGGGGTTTCAGGCGGGGGTGTTGGCGGCCCTGCAGGACCTGGGATACGACCCCGTGCTCGAAATGTGCGCCCGCAGCGAGACGCGCTGGCGCCCGGACAGCACGCGTGCTGCGACGCTGGCGCGGGTCGCGCCAGTGGCTTGTCCTGTTGAAATGATATAATATCATATTATCATATAATATCATTTTTTTTTTGTTTGTTTGATGGGTGTTGACGTCGCTGGTTGGAGGAGTGCGTTGCTGCCGTGCAGCTGCGACGTTGCTGCTTCGCAGCTGTCCAGCGCGAACGAAGCGCCACTAAATATCAGATCCTGATCTTCTTTCATTCCTGCTCTCCTTCTGCGCTTGCAGGCAGTCCGAGGGCCGGCTCTTCTCCGTGGACGTCGCGCTCGCGCTCCCGGACGGCCGCCGCATCGCCGTCGAAGCCGACGGCCCCTCGCACTTCACCTCCAACACCCCCCTCCGGCCCCTCGGGCCCACTCTCCTCCGCCGCCGCCTGCTGCGGTCTCTCGGCTGGGAGGTCGTGTCCGTGCCGTTCGTCGCGTGGGACATCAACGCGTCGCACCAGGAGCGCATCCACGTGCTCCGCGACCTCCTTGCGCAGCACGGCGTCGCGGGGCCTGACGCAGGGCGGAAAACACCCCTCGCGCGGCCGCGGCGGCAGGAGCGGCGGCGGCCGGTGCGGCAGCGGGCGGGCGGCGGCGCGCGGGAGGAGGACGCGGGGCCGCGGGCGTGAGCGGGGCGGAGTGGGGCCGGCTTTGTACGTATGCACGGCACGTGTGTAAAACATGATCTTATCTTTTTGTTCGTGGGTGAATCATCGCAGCGCGACTGTTTTTTTAGGAAGATTGGCGTGTGTGATAGCTTGTCAGCGCTGTGGCGCGCCGTGCAAGTCGACTCGTGAGCCAAGCGTGGGCAGGAACACCTGAAAGATCAATCTATGGTAACAGCTGGCTCTGGGGTGCTGCGACGCTCTTCTGGACTGGAACCACGGCGCCTCGTGGGTGCGGCAGCGCGCCGCAGCCCCCGCCGCCCGGGCGCGCGGTTCCAGACTCGATGCGACGGAGTCAGCCAGCCGGGGGTGTTTTCGAACGCTCCGGAGGGTGCGTTGTCGTTGCCAGGGACGGTCCCGGGCCGACGCGGCGCCCGGGGACCTCACTGACCGCCGCCGCAGCCACTCCAGCGCATGTTCCACCCACCTGAGTCAGCGGAAGCCTTGGTGGAAGCCAGCACAGGCTCGTTCGCACAGCCCGTCTAGCCGTCAGGGCGTGCCCCGTCACGTCCTGCCAAGATACTCTAACGGTCGCACGGCATCGCACATGCGTCTGACATAGCTCTGAGGTCGCGCTGTCGTCGATTCGCCCCATCTAGCCCCCGCACGAGTGCCGGCTGATGTTCCCGGGCAGGGGGGGGCCGCCCCCGCCCCGCCCGCCGCCAGGCGTGTATCCGGGCCAGCCTCCGTACCCCATACAGGGCGCTCCACCTCCGTACATGCACGGGGGCGCCCCAGCGCCCCCTGGAGCGCCTCCAGGACCCGCACAAGGCGCGCTAGGGTGGAATCCTGGTCTATGGACGCCGATGATGATGTTTCCGCCAGGTCAGTCGCGGATACGAGAGCGCTCAGACCTTCTTTCACTCATAAAGTACCCGCTGGTGTCTTTGTTTTGGCCTGTCTTTGGAAATTTGCGCCGAAACCGGCCGTAACGACCTTTGCGTGCTCTTCCAACGAGTCTCACGCGCCCTGCGCGCGGCTGCACGCGTGCGCGCGCCTGCCCGGAATGCGACGTGTGGCCGCCGCTGCCCTGCGCCGCAGGACCGATGCCTCCGTCGGCCGGACAGCAGGCGCACCACCCACCGCCACAACCCCCCGCGCATCACTTCCAGCCCCGCGGGGCCGCGAGCGGCGCCGGCGCGCAGCCACCGCGGCCGAAGAAGCACCGCGGCGGCAAGAAGCATCGCCGCGACGGCGGCGCGGCGCCTCCGGCGCCACAACACCCCCCGAAGGACCCAAAACCCCCCCCGGGACCTGCCGGCGGCGGCGGCGCGGCGCCCGCGCCGGTGCCGCGCGCGCCGGCGACGGAGGAGGAGCGCGCGGAGCTCGAGGCTTGGATTGAGGCCAGGAAAAGGAATTTCCCGACTAAAAAGCACATCGAAGAGAAGGCAGAACAGGAGCGGCTGCGTCGCGAGCGCGGGGCGCTGGAGCCGGACGGCGGCGACGAGGGGGCGCGCGCGGCGCGGGCGCGGCGGCGGCAGCTCGCCGAGGTCATCGCGCGGCAGCGCGCACTCGGGCTGGACCGCGCCGCCGGCACTCGAGATTTGAAGATTCCCGACGCCGAGCCAGCCCCTGGATCCAAACGCAGCGCGGACGCGGCCGCGGACGACGCCAGCGCCCGCGCGCCCAAGCGCCCCGCGACGCAGCGCGAGGGAGCTGTCGGACAAACTCCCCCCAGTCGCGGACGTGGCGCCGCGGGCCGCGGCGGGCGCGGGCGGGGCCCGGCCGGGCGCGGAGCCGGGCGCTCGGCGCGCGCGCGTCCGGAGCGGTCCGTGCTCGCGGCGCTGTTGCGTCGCGACGTCAGACGGGGGCATTCACACCTCCTGCAGTGTTTCCGGTTTTTTGTCAACAACGCGTACTTCGCGGGCGAGGCGGTGGAGCCGAGCGCGGAGGACGTGGCGAAGCGGTGGTACCCGGAGGGCGCGGAGGTCGCGGTCGCGCGGGCGCCGGTGCTGCCGCCGCTGGAGGACGAGTCGGGGGGGAGTGAGGGGGAGGAGTCCGGGGGGGAGTAGGGGCGTGTGAGGGAGCGTGCGAGCTGCGAGCGTGCGAAACACTGTTCTAGTCATATCAGATTAGAACAAAAACGGTTGACAATATATTGATTATAGAATAGACAACAAAGGGAGGACAAGAACAAGGCTGCACTGCCAGTGCAGGGCATGTGGGGTGGATCAGACTGGGAGTCAGCTCGACGTGAAGTCAGCTAGTGACACAACAAGGCGGAATCCGGGATTACAACGACTCACGTGTGGCGCGAGCGTCCTCACAGCAGAGGCGGGAAGATGACGAAGCGCTTGGGGTAGTCGTCGCCGAACTGCTTCCTGAGGCGCTTGTACTTCTTGAGCGCCCAGTCGATCATCGGGAGCGCGCCCGCGAGCGCGAAGACCCCCGCAGTGAGCGTGCGCGTGGCTGCAGTGAACAGCAGCCACCCCCAGATCTCGCACGTGTAGTTCGGGCACGCGATGAAGTCGAACAGGAAGCCCGTCGGCTTCTGGTAGCCCGTCTTCCCGCCGGACCGCAGCCGCGCGAGCATGACGTGGCAAGTGAGGTTGCCGAGCTGGCAGACCAGGGCAGCTGCGAGGAGGGCCTGGACCTGGGCCAGCGGGGCCGCGGTGTACGACGGGTGGTTGATGAAGTACCCCACGTAGGCGCCCGCGAGCCAGTAGTGCGAGCAGTTGCGCCACAGGTTGGCAACCGGCATCGTGGCGTTGGAGAACTTGTGGACGAAAAACGTCTCCAAAATGCGCTTCGCGAAGTGGAAGACCCAGTACGCCATCGCCAGGAACTGCGCGCGGGGCCAGGGCGCCAAGCTGCGGCGTCAGCGCGCCCGATGCGCGTCGCGAGCACGGGCAGTTGAGAGAACACAAATGCGCGCGCCGGCGCCCGTACGGCGCGCCGACGCGCCGCTGCGGCCCGCAGCTGGGCTGCACAGGCAAGGGACGCTGCGGCTGCGCGGTAGCTGCGCCCTGGCGGCATCGCGCCGTCGCGCGTGCAGCTCACCTGTTGTTGCTGCAGCTCGGGGGCGGGCAGCCCGAGGGCGGGGTAGATCTTGTCGGCGAAGTAGAAGAAGAGCGGGTAGATGACCATCGGCCCGAAGTACTCCCAGAAAAACACCCCCCGGTATGACACCTGCGGACCCAGGTCCTTCACCTGCGCGCACGCACGGCAACGCGTCGAGGTGGACGGCTGGCGCTCAAACTCCGTATGCGTGCCGCCATCGCTCTGCCCTCGCCGCGCTGAGGCGCGCGAGCCGAGGCGCGGCGTCGCTGTCGACGGACTGGAGGCGCATCAAAGCCGTGGCTCCGATGGCTCTTTCAGAGCAGCGCCCTCACGAGAGATCAAGGCCGAGCGCGCGACAGCGCTCCACCGTCGTCGCGGCGATCGGCCGGTGCGCGGCTGGACGGAAGCCGAAGCCCGCGGGCAGCGAACGCGCGTCAGTGCAGCACCAGCTGCGCCCGGGCCTGTGCGGCAACAAACAGCACGTGCGCTGCGTGCTTGGCATGATGAGTGTACGTGCGGTCGTGGCGGGCGGTTACCTGCACTACGGAGCCGTCGCGGAGGCCGTAGTCTGACAGCTTCTTTCCTGCCTCCAGGACGGCGCCGCGGGTCTGCTCGGGCGCAGGGGGCAGCGACAGCCGCTGCCGCGTGGGGTGGAGCCGCTTCTTCGCCCTGCGCGGCACGCGGATGCGCGGACGGTGCGTCGGGCTGCGCAGGGGGCGCGCGGGCGTTGCAGCAGGGAGCGGGCGATCGAGAAACGCCGAGTGAAAACTCGCCCGCGCACGGTGGCTGGTTTCACGCGTAGTCTTCGTGGCAGGGAAAGCGCCGGGCGCGGAGCAGCAGGGTGAGGGATCCCAAGCGCGCCCCGATCGCACGCACTGAACCTGTGCTCGCGAGCTCACTTGAAGATGGCGTCAATCAGGTCCTGCACGGTCCCTCCCGCCGGAACAGCGACCCCCCCGGCCACGACCTCCTTCCCGTTGCGGTACTGGCACTTGACCTTCATCGCGTATGCCTCGTAGACTCGCCCGGACGCCCCGCAAGCTCTCAGGCCGGTGCCGCCGCGCGTCACGAGCCCCGAAATCAATGACACGTGATGACGACCGCGCGCCGATTGCAGTTCTGTGGCCCCGGCGTCGCGCCCTGGACTCTTCGAGCGCGCACTGGGCCGCTGGGGGACCCCCCGGGGTGCAGGAGTCCCCCACTGCGGCGGATGACGCGACTTCTAGGCCCGGCACGCTACTCGCTAGTTTCACTAGGACCGAGTGAAGCCGTGGACGGGCGAAGGATTGCATCACCTATTCTCAGCGGCGCGTTCGGGACCAGGAAAGCTCGAGTGTCTTGGACGCCGTTACCGGGCTCTGTGAGGCGCCTGAGGGGGCGCTAGATGCACAGGGCGATGATGCGGATGTACTCAGGGGTCGCGGCTCCCGTTCGGCGCTCCGCGCGCACCGCTGCGGTCGCGCCAGGGCTGCACGCACTCGCCGCTAGTCCGAGCCGGCGAGCGGGCGGCGCGGCGCGCAGGAAGCGCGGGGTGGACGTGCGGGCTGCGAAGGGGTTCCTGATGCGGGAGCTGGCGGCGAAGAAGCAGGAGGAGGAGGAAATCAACGCGCCCGTCGGTGCGTGAGCTCAGCCCATCGTTCGCCCAGCACTCTCTCGCACGCGGTGCCGGCCTCCGCGCGACGCGCCACCGCACCGAGAACGCAATGCGCGGCGTCCCCGCGTCTCTCCCGTCCCCAGCACGCCAGATTCGCGTCCTTTCGGCAGTCCTTTACCTCCGTTGCGCCGGCAATCCTCGAATAGGCTCTGCGGAGCCACTCTCCCCCGCAATCCCGCGCGGCCCGGCGCCCCCCGCCCCGCGCAGTGAGCGAGATCCCCGACTTCTCGGCCCCGCTGTCGGTCATCAAGTACCCGGACCCGCGTCTCCGCGCGACGAACGCGGACCTCTCGCCGGAGTGCTTTGACGACCCGCGGCTGCAAGAGCTGGCGCAGGCGATGTTCGAGGTGATGTACGACGACGACGGCGTGGGCCTCGCGGCGCCGCAGGTCGGCGTGAACGTCCGCCTGATGGTGTTCAACGAGGTCGGCGAGCGCGGGAAGGGCGAGGAGGTGGTGCTTATTAACCCAAGGATCGTCACCAAGTCGAAGAAACAGGTCTTGGGAGAGGTGAGCACCGCAAGACTGCGAGCGCGTGTGGGACAGCGTGGGGGCGTGCTGGTGTGCGGGGCTGTGGCCGCGAGGAGGCGCGCAGGCAGTGTCGGAGTGTTGCGCGGAAGATACTCGTTTCATATTTGCTGCGCGCGCGCGCATCTCGAGATGCCTGCGAGACGCGCACTCGTCCTGCTCCTCCCCCGCTCGCGTCAGCGGCGGACAGCTCACCCTGCGCCCTGACTTCCGTCCTCAAACGCCACACGGTAATACTAGATACCGAAACAAGACTCCGTTGCAGCATTGTCAACCTCAATTCAACACTCCCCCGCACCCAGTCGTCCTCGCAACACCACCACCTCGACCCTGTCTCTCCAGCACATCCCATCTTGACACTCCCCCCCCCGCAGGAGGGGTGTTTGTCGTTCCCTGGAATCTATGGCGACGTGAAGCGGTCGCAGACGATCAAGGTGCGCGCGGTGGGCGTGGACGGGAAGAAGATCGTGCTGGACCTGAAGGGCTACGTCGCGCGGATCTTCCAGCACGAGTACGACCACCTCCAGGGCAAGCTGTTCCCGGACCGCATGTCCCCGGAGGTGTTCAAGACGGTCCGGGGGGAGTGCAAGGCCATGGAGGAGGTGTATTTGAAGGACCACCCCGATACGGAGATCAAGCGGTACAAGTGACGCGGGCTGTGACGGCGATCGCGTGTGCTGTCCGTCTGCAAGTCTCTTTTCAAGAAAAATTGCTTCATGTGTTTATTTGGTTTCGTTGTGCGCCATGGCGTTGTGTCGAGCGTGCTGCAGGGGACTGCTGCGCCCTCGGCCTCCGCTACCCGCCGCTCGTCTCGCCTCAGGGTATTCCTGCCCCCCACCACCACCACCGTTGTTGTCCCTGCCACTGAAGAGCCACTTTCTCGATCGCCGTGACCCTCTGACAAAGGTCACATTAAGGTGCCTAACATCGCTACATCACTCGTATATCACTCACCTCCTCCCCTCGCCTCGCGGACACGCATCGTCACCATCACGCCCCTGACACCCCCCCTGCCTTGATTGATTCCCCCCCTTCTACCACTTTCCTTGCTTCCCTCGCTGCACTGACCGCTCCCGTCGCCCCGTCCGTCCACGCTCCGCCCTTCTCACTCCGCGACCCGCGCCGCCTTGACCCCCCGGTGCGCCCCCGTGCCACTCCCCCGCGCCCCAGTCGCGTCCGCCCGCCTCTTCCGCGCCCCCCGCGCGCTGTCCTCGTACGGCAGCTCCGTGATCTGCACCGCGGGCCGCACCGCCCGCCGCGCGCCCGCTCCGCGCCACCGCGACGCCCCAATACCCCCCCCCGCGTCGGATGCGCAGAACGTGAACCGCCCAAACACCCCCGCGGTGACCGCCGGCGCGTCGTCGGGGCTCGCGCCGTCCCCAAACGCGTCGTCCACGAGGTCGTAAGGCAGCCCCGCGACGCCGTGGAGCGAGATCCCGTCGCCGTCGAGCTGGTACCTGAGTCGGACCTGACCAGGAGACACCCCCCTCCCGCGCCGCGCAGTCCCGAGGGCTGCCAGAGGCGCACGCGTGTTCCCGGCGCCGCCCGCGAACGCCGACAGGTGCGGGACGACGTCGGTGACCCCGAGACCCCTCCCGGGGGGAGTCTCGGCAGGGTACCCCCCCGGGGAGACGCCGCCCGACTGCAGCGGCGCGGCGCCGGTCGGGGAGGAGTACCGCTGCTGCTGTGCGACGGCGGGGGCGACGTGCCGCGGTGCGGCCGGGCGGGGGAGCCCGCGTGCCACCAGCGCACGCCGCGAGTCCTCCGGGGGCCTGTTGCCTCGCCGGTTCCCGAGCCAGTCGTCCAGCGAGCCGATCGACGCGTTCACTTCGATCGAGCCTGGCGGCGGCGAGGCGGAGCGCGGCCGTGCGCCGCGGAGGGAGGAGTGATGGAGGCCGGGCCGCGTGGAGGCCGGCAGATACCCCCCGCCGCCTGAGGTCAGGTCGTACTGCTGACGTGGCATGCTGGGCGCGCGGTCGGCCGGCGGCCTGAACGGCGGCCGCGACGGCGCGTCCACGAGAGGCGCGTGCTCGAACTCGGTGGTTCCGAAGAGATCGTAATTCGGGATTCCTTGGTTGTCAGCCGCACCGTAGCCCATGGTCGCCGGAGGAACGCGCTGCCGCGGCACCGCCGGCCCCGCAGCGCTCGACCAGCGCCCCGCAGGCGCAGCGAAGCCCCCCGCGCCGACACCGCCGCCCTGCTGCTGCCGCACTGGCTGATACTGGCCAGGATACTGCCCAGCCACGTCGCAACGCGCAGCCTGCACTGCACCGCCCACCGGCACCCCATTCTGTGTGTGGAACGCGCCGCCCTGGTGCGGCGCCTCGCGTCCAGCCTCCCGACCCCCCCACCCGACATGGGCGTTGTACTGCGTGTGCTGCTGATGCTGCTGTGCGTGGCCCGATGCGCCGTCCCAGCCGCCATTCGCGTAGCCCTGGTGTGCTGCGTACGGTGCGGTCCCAGGACCGACAGCGTGCGGAGCAGCAGCAGGCGCGTACGCTTGCACACCCCCCTGCGCGCGCTGCCACACCCCCGGGGGTCCTCCTGCGCACGCGACGTGCGTCGTCTGCGCCGGCGCGGCAGAGGCGGTCGTGGGCGGCTGCGCAGCGCCGCTGGGCTCCGTGAGGAACGCAGCCATCGCCTTGCGCCGCGCCTCACTCGCCGCACACGCGCGCTGCGCCATCTCGGCCTCCGTCGGACGACGTCGGGAGGCCCCCCCCCCCGGAGGGCGGCTCTCGGGCGGAGCAGCGACGACGGGTGCGGCTCCGTAGGGCTGTTGCGGTCCGCCGCTGCTGACGAGGCCGCCCTCGGCCACGGGAGCCTCCCACGGATGCCTGACAGGCGCCGTGGTCTGTCCTGGTGCAGCACTCCCCCCCCTCGCTGACTCAGCCCGCGGAGCCGGCGCCGCGAGCGGGTGCTGCGGCGGCGGCGGACCGCGCACCGGCGGCGCCCCAGCGCCGCGCATCTGCTGCTGGACAACACCCCCCCCCTGTCCGTGCATCGCCGTCGCGGGACGCGCGGGCGGGCCTGCGGGCCTCTTCGGGGGCGCCACCGGCGCCGGGCTCGGCCCCGCAGAGTCCCCCGGCGCCGCGCAGAGCGCGGGCGACGCGGCCGGGGGCGTCTCGGGCCCGGCCGGTTGCGGGGCCGCGGGCGCTGCGGGCTTGGCGCGCGCTGCTGCGTCCCGCGACGGAACGGCGACCTTCGCCGGCGCGGGCTGCTTCTTCGGCGCGGACTTCTGCGGCGTGAGCGTCTTCGGCACCAGCGTGTGCGTCGCGTCGACCTTGCGCTTCAGCACCCCGCGCTCCGCAGCGCCGCTCGCGCCGCCGTGGCGGGGGATTTCGTGCACGAAGATCGAGTCGAAGCCGACGACGTCGCACGGCAGCACCGCGGTCACCAGCTGCAGCGGTTGGTTGCCCGGGGGGGTGTCGAGTGTCAGCTTGAACGACTCCCCCCCTGACGCCGCTGCGGCGAACACATTCACCTCCCGCGATAGTACGAGCTTCTGGTTCGAGATCAGCCCGGCGAAGACGTGCACGAGGCCACGCGTGCGTCGCGCGTGCGTCTGCGCGGCGCCGGCCTGAGTCCCCCCCTCACTCCCCCCCTCCGCGTCCACGCGCAGCCGCACCTCGACGTGCATGAGCTTCCGCGCCGACGACGCCTGCGGGTGCACGCTCGTCGCGACGTCCGGAATCGCGAGCTCCTGCCGCACGTGCTCCGTCACCCGCGTGCCGAACGGGTACGGCTTTCCTGACAGCAGTTCCACCCGACGCGGGTCGGTGTCGCGCAGCTGGCGCAGCGTGCGCACGCCCGCCATGCCGAGCCGCTTCGCGATGACGCGGCCGATTCCGGGGACCTGGATCAGCTCGAGGCCCCCGCGCCGGCACCCGACGGCGAGCGAGCGGGCCAGGAGTGCTGCGTCGATGGTGGCGCCGAGCACCCCGGCTTGCTGGTAGAACTGACGCATGGCCGTGGACAGACGGGCGGCGTTGCGGACGATGTGCTGCATCTCGGACCGCAGGGACTGCGTAGCAGGCCAGAGCGGGGCGTGCCCGACCGTTATCGCCCAGCTATTATATATGAACATTCCTAACACTAAAAGTAGAAGTAGAAGTATGAACAAGACAGGATCAGATCTTGTGCGGCCGGGGCCGGCGCGGTCTCGGGCGTGCGCACCCAGTCGAGCCGGTCGTCGACGCCGTCGGACAGCGCCGCAGACAGCAGCAGGAAGGCCTTCTCGCGCGCCGTGGCGACGCGCTCCTTGGGCTTGTCGGGCGCGTTGGGCCCCCGCGGGATGATGTGCGGGAGCAGGCCGGGCTCCTTGTGCATCGCGTTGAGCGCCTTCTTCTCCGACCTGGGGGGGGGGTGTTGGGGGCAGTTGATGGAACTCGGCTCAGAGGAGCGATGATCGGTGTCGTGACGTTGCTGAGTGCTGGTGCGGGGGCGTTGGAGCGGGGAGGGGCGCGCGCACCTGCGGAGCGTGACGGTGGACAGCTCCTCGCTGTCGGTGATGCACCACATCTGGTCCGACTCAGCGAAGACCCCCCCCTGCTCGCGTACGGTGGCCATGATGCGCTGCATCGTCGCGAACCGCACGTACTGCAGCGACATGATCCGCCCGGCCTCCGTCGCCGTCAGCCGCGCCTCGGGCCCTGACACCCCCCCCCCTGACTCGTCCCCGCGCATCTCCGCGAGCCCGACCTCCACGAGCCTCGCGACCGCAGCCGCGGCCCGCGCCTCCACCGCGCCGTCCCCGTACCGCTCGGGCGCCTCCGCCATCCGCGTTGCGAGGAACGTCGACCGCAGCCACGACGTGGCGCCCGCGAGCGACCGGACCCCCCCCAGCACGATCTCGGCGTTCAGGTGCTCCAGGACCTGCCCGAGCATGCACGACTCGACGACCTGCGCGCCGCCGAGGCTCTCGCGGAGCCGCGGGACGTCCCCGAGGGGGGCCATCACGACACACACCCCCTCCGTGTCCCAGTCCGGGCGGCCCGCGCGCCCGGCCATCTGGAGCAGCGCCGCGGGGTCGTACTCGACGTACTTCCCGCCCGCGTAGAGCCGCGTGTTTTTGATCACGACGAGGTGCGCGGGGAGGTTTACGCCCACCGCCAGCGTGCCAGTGGCGCAGACCACGCGCAGGAGGCCCCGGAGGAACGCAGCTTCGACGGCGCCGCGCTCCTCGGGCGAGAGCGCGGCGTTGTGGTACCCGGCGCCTTGTTTCATCGTGGCGGCGAGCGCGCGATTCTTGCCAGCGACCGCCGCAGCGTAGTCGCTGAGCTCAGCGCGCTGCGGCGGCGTGAGTGCGGCGACGAGGCCGCCGCGTGCGTCCTCGACGATGCGTTCCGCGGTCTGCTGCGTCTGTTTCCTGCGTGGACGGGAGGCGCAACGGAGCGGGTGAGTCGACTGCAGGGAGCGGGGCCGCAGTGCGCGCGTTGCGCGAGGGGCCGCGGGGTGCAGCTTGCCTGCTGGTGCAGAATACGAGAGCTGGCTTGCCCTTGGAGAAATCCTGGATGCATTTGAAGACGTGCCGCGTGAGGTTCATGTCGAATAGGAACTCGTTCTTCGCCGCGCCGTAGCCGAGGACTTGCACGCGGAGGTCCGTCGCGCGGACTTCGTTCCCGAATTTCTGCGAGAGCCGACGACGCACGGAACCGCGCGAGCTGAGCGGGCCCTGCAACACGCCGCTTTGGCTGGCACAGTGCGCGTCGAGAGGGCTGCTGCTCACCCGCAGGTTCGCCGGCGCGACCCCGAGCCACTTCGCGATGCTGTCCGCGTTGGGAATCGTGGCGGAGACGGCCACGAAGCGGACGCCAGCGACGGCGAGGTCGGGGGGGGCGGACTGGGCTGCCAGCTTGAGGCGGGCGATGACAGCCTCGAGTGTCGGGCCGCGGTCGCTGCCGAGCATGTGGACCTCGTCGACGAGAAGCAGGGCGATGTCTCCGAGCCAGCCGATCTGCGCAGATGCCGCGGACAGGCCCATGCGATTCAACCATGGAGCGATCGACTGCTGCGCGCCTGGCCCGAACTGTCGCCCGAACGGAGCAGCAGGAGCTGGAAAAACAGCAAGCTGTGCCGCGGGCTCGCTGTTGCGTGCAAGGCGGCGCGCGGGGCGACGCGGAGCGGGTGTTGATGCCGGGCAGAGGTACCTTGCCGCTCTTCTGCCCCTTGCGCGTCATGGCGTCGAACTTCTCCGGCGTCGTCACGATGATGTCGGCCTGCTGGAGTTTGTGGTTGTCGATGAACTCGGACTCGCCCGTGCACTCGAAGATCTTCAGCCCAACGCCCTGCGCCCCGAGCCTGCGGTCGTCAGCGCGCACCTGGATTCATCTCCATCGCAACGACCACGAAACATTTCAGAGCGACGATCCAGCTCGTCGGAAAAACGCGCACGCCTTCCAGCTGCGCGCCAGGGCAGCCCAGAAGCAGCACAGCGACACGCGCGACACGCGCCCTCCCGGCGACCCACGCGACGCGCCCTCACCTCTTCTCCCACGAGCGTATCTGCTGTCCACAGAGCGCCCGCGTGGGAGCCATATACACCCCCTTCTGACCCTGCGCAAACCTTCCCGAATCCGCCATCCGCAGCAGCGCCAACTCCAGCACGCCGGTCTTGCCCGTGCCGGTCGGCGACGACACGACGATGTTCTCGTCCGTCCGGAACGCGACGTCGAAGCATTCGCTCTGAATCGCGTTGAAGAAGCTGAACGGAAAGGCGCAGCGCAGCGTAGCTGGCAGCGTGTCGACTCGGACCGGGCCGAGCGCCTCGTCGAGCGCCTGACGGCCGCAGTACACCGGAGGAACATAGTGCTCCCCAGCTGCGGCCCCGTCGTCCTCGAAGTACTCGTCGCACAGGTCGCCCATCGCGCTTTCACTGGCGTCGACGTTCAAAGCTGTGCAGTCGCGAACGGGCCATCACGTGTCGGCCGCCGCGCCAAGTGCTTCGAACGCAGGCTGGATGTCCTTCGCCCTACCGATATTTGGGGCGCGCCTGCGCGCCGGCGCGCCCGTCAGCGCCACAGAGGCCCTCTTACTGGCAGACGGGGGGTGTCAACTACAGTCCGACCAACCAGGAACACGAGCAATCGTTCGCGCAGCGGTGCAGCTAGGCGCTCGACGGTCTGTCGAGCAGCGTGGAACCCCCGGAACGCTCGCCGGCGCGTGTCACCGACGCCGGAGCGGCACTGCAGTTGACGCAAGGCAACACTGGCTGGCGGCCGGCCACGGTCACACGCGACGCAGCCGGCCACACCTGGCGTCAGATCGCGTTGATGACGCGCTTCATCGCCGCGCGGACGATGTCGTCCGGGTGCTGCTTCGCGCGCTCCGTCATGACCGTCTTGATGCGTGCCATGCTCTGGCGCACGCTCACCAGCCGCTCGGCGTCCGGCCACTTCGGCGCGAACGGCCCCGTGCCCTTCTCCTTCTGCCACAGGTCCCTGCGTGAAGTCGGGCGAGCGCTGGTACGATCCGCGCACGCGGCGAGCCTCGCAGCGCTGCGCGTGCCTCTCGGCGCCTGTTCGCGCAGCCTCAAAGCGCCAAATGCCGCCTCGTGAGCAGAACGACCCGATTTCCGCAGATGAGCGGCTCGGAGCGGCGGGTTGGAGGTCGGTCGGGTCTCCAAGACTGCGCAGCAGGGACCTCTGTGTCCACCCTAGGCACTCACCTCTTGGTCAACAGGACGGTCCGTTCCTTCGCGAGGACGTACCACAGCTTGTGGAGGTCGTCGAAGGACTTCAGCCGCAGCTCCCGCGCCTGCCAGCCCCGCCCCGTCACCACGGCGGGCTCCTCCCCTTGCTCAGCAGTGTCCTTCTTCTCTGGCTTCGGATCGAGCAGCTCGTCCAGCCCCCGCACCCGCAGCGATCCGTGGAAGCTCCTCCTGTCCCCACACGCCTCCCGCGCCCCGTCACGCCCGCTCCACACCGCCCCGCAGGCTCCGTGGCTCCCCCAAGGAGCCCGCAGCCTCGCTGCGAGCATCGCGCCGCGCCGCGCGGCCCGCAGCGCGCCCAACATCGCCTCCATGAGCAAAGATAGCGACGAGCGACCGCTGTTTGCGTGGACTAACGCTCCATCCGCGGCGCGAGGGCCCCAGAACGGCTGTGGCGCGTGCGTGTGTGGTGCTCACGTCGCGGACGCGCGCCCGAGCGAATCGCCTCGTCCTGGTCGCGCGCGAGCATGGCGCAGGCGTCGAGCCGTCGGTGGCGACGTACCCGGCGTGCGAACCTCGCCGGCCCTGACGACAGCAACTGACACAGGAATCAAAGGGGGGTGTTTTCCGGGTATAATCAAGGCCAGATCGCACGTCCGCGCGGGCGCACGCTCCACGAAGACCCCACGCCTGTCACCCTGGTTAGACACAGAGAGAGGACACACACAAAGTATAAATTGACGGACCTATATAAAACAACAACTGATCGCATGCGGACGCCCGGCAACAGCATCAACGACCCTGCAACACATACAGCGACATCACACGGCGCACGCACACCTCCCAGCGCGCCCACGTCCCGGCCCACAACCAAACACCCCCCAACACCCCCTCCGAACCTCAACCCTCGTCGCCCGACTGCTCCAGCTCCTGCGCGAACCTCTCGAGCCGCCTCTCCTCCTCCTCGTCCAGCCCCCCCGCCCTCGGCGCCACGACCTCCGCGAACGCGTCCACTCCGTCCCACAACGACGCCGCCAGCTTGCGTCCGGCATAGAACCTCCCGTCCATCGCCGCGACGCACGCAGCCGCGTGGTCGGGATCGAGGAAGCGCACCGTGACGAGCCCGTCTGGGTGCCGGTCGTAGATCCGGAGCTTCTCCACGCGACCGTGCTCCTCGCAGCCCTGCGTACGGCGCGAGTGTGGTCAGGGGGGGAGGTTCCGTTCCGCTGACGACAAAGACGAGGTCTCCGCCCGCTCCGCCCTCGCATTGACGGAGGGGAGGCGCGGTGGGGAGCGGGGCGCGTTGCGGCGGCGGGGGAAAAGGAAACACCCCCCGGCGGCCCGGGGGGGTGTTGTGCGCGCGTCGCGGGGGCCCGCGGCGGACCTGGCGCATGTCGCGCTCGAGCTGCTGCTGCTCCGGCGACCCGCGCGCCATCGTCCCCGCGTGCGGGTCGAACGCGTTCCGCAGCACCACCACCACCTCGCTGTCGCGGTGGAGTCTGTCCTCACCCCCCCACCCCAGCATCCGCTCCAGCTGCTGCCGCACGACGTTCTTCTCGCCCTTCCGCGGACCCTTCTTCTTCTCCTGCGCCCCGCGCCCCGCGCCGTTCTCCGCCTCACCGCCCCCGCCACCGCCGTCGCGCCGATCCGTGAAGGTTGCTTCGGAGACGCGGATCGGTGGCTCGCCCGGGCGGAGCTGCGCGCCGTTGAGGATCTTGACGGCGAGGTCGACGGACTCGCGGCGCAGGTAGACCACCAGCGCGTCGCCCTTGAGCCCCCCGGAGGCCTTGTCGCGGTATAACTTGACGCGGGGCTGCAAGTCCTCCCCCTTCAGGATGATCCCGCACTTCCCGAACTCCCGCGCCACCTCCTCGGCCGTCGCGTCCGCCGGCAGCCCCTGCGCCACGCACACGCCCGCGCGCCGTCAGCACGCCACTCGGAATCACTCCGATCAACAAGCAGACCTAAATTCGTGTCTTGTTGCGAACTTCGCCGACCTCGGCGGGACTCCGCGCCGAGGACGACGCCCGTGCGTACCTCGATGTACACCGCCGTGGACCTGCGCTGTTTCGCGCCCCCCTCGGCCCCCACGGCAGTCCTTTTGTGCTTCTTTGCGGGGCGCGGGTCCGCGCCGTTGCCGTCCGCGGCGGCCTGCGCTCGCTCGTGCGCCTCGGTCTGAGCCAGGAGATCGACCTTGGGTCCGCCCTTGCGCTTTCCGTCGTCGCCCGCGGACGCGTCGAAGATCATGTCCTCGAGAGAGTAGCTCGCCACGGCGCCGTCCGCGGCCTGCTTGGCTTGGAGCGCGCCTACTTCGGCCTGGAACGCGGCCATCGCGTTGTCCGTCCCTGCGCGGGCCGGAAACGCGGAAGCGCGGCGCGTGGGCGTCCGGAGCGGCCCGGACCGTGCTCCGGGCAACCTTGTGCGAGGTTCCTCGGCCTCTGCGTCCACCAGGACGCGTTGTTTCGGACGTGGCGCGGATGGTGAGCTCGGGTTCCTGCGCGTGCGCCGAGAGAAACGTGCTTCCGTCCGGGCAGGAAGCGGCGGGGAGGCTCCGTACCTGCAGCTTGGGCTTTTTGCGCCGTGGCAGCCGCGGCCTCGGCCTGCCGCGCCCGAATAGCTTCTCGATCGATGGCTCCTTGTATATGCGACAGCTCCTCGACGTCCTCAAGCTTCTTCCACCCCGTCATACCCTTCCGCCACACCACCATTTGTCCTGCCAAGTACCCCTGCTTCGCCAGCCCCTCGAGCCCCGCCTCGTCGTACGGCCCGCGGTGCTGCCGGTGCGCGTCCAGAAAGAACCACCCGCCGCCATTCTCAGCGCCAGCCGAGGCGCTCATGCCTGCACCCAGGCCCTGCTTCACCGACGCATCAACACGCGACGCGTGCAGCGCCGCGGCCCCGTGCCGACGAACACCGCTCCGCGACTGCACCACGCAGGCTCAGGGCGCGCGGCAAGGGCGCCGTCCTGGCTCGGGAGGGCCACGTCTGGCCGGAATCCCCCCCTGAGGCCTTGCGCGCCCGACGTAGGCAGCAGAGATACGGTCCGACGGGCCAAGGCGTGGCCGCCGCACGGGTTTTGGGCAGGATTTTTGTTGTTTGCGTCGTTCGAAGTTGGATTTTGAGCAGAGACGTGGTTTGGGATTTCCGTAGCGATAGACTGAGGCAGAAGTATCAGAGGGAGGCAACAGAAGGCAGTTGGGAGGCCGCGATGGGCCGCCTGGCGCGGAACTTGGAGCGGCGCGGCAAGGAGAGGGTTCCATACGACTTCGACGTCCTGTGCACGGCCGCGCACTGCGTCCCGGACGGCTTCAGCAACGCCTGGCTCGCATTGTGCGCCCCCTCATCGCGACGCCGCGCGACGCCGGCCTCGCGCGGCCCGCGCTCGCGCCGCCCGCACGCGAGCAGCTCAACTATGTCGTCGCGCAGGGCCAGCGGCCGCTGCCCCGCGCGTCCGACTCACACCGCCGCGGCCCAACCGCCTCAACTGCTTCGTGCGTCGCTCACCGCGCAATCCTGGCTCCGCCGCCGCGCTGCAGCCACCGCAAGCCGCGCCTGCTCACCACGAACCTCGCGGAGAACCGCGACGGCACGTGCTCCTGGGACCAAACCCTCCACGTGACCCTCACGCTCTTCCGAGACCAGGCGCGCTCCCAACCCTCCGCACGTCACGTCACCGCCCCGCCCGAACGCGCCGCGTCCCCACTCAGGCAGACCCGTTCCCACCGCGCACCCACCGGTCGCCGCGGTTCCGCCCCCCACGTCTCAACACCCCCCCGAACCAAGTTATCCTGTTATACTGTGCACCGCCGCGACTCCCCGGGCCGCTCCCGCAGGTCTCGCAGCGGTTCGAAGAGAAGGAGTTCGACGTGCTCCTCGAGGGCATGCCCCGGGGGGCCAGGAAGGTGGTCCACATAGCCCGGGGGAGTATTGATTTCGGGGCCGTCGCGTCAGACCCGGCGTCGGTGAGCCCCGAGGAGGCGATCGACCTGGACCTCGACGTGGACGCCAAGGCCGCCGCCGGCGCGCTCGAGGCCGCGGTCGTCCCGGTGCGCGTCGTGGTGCGCGCGCAGCCCACGGTGACGACGGCGAGCGTACGGCAGGGGTCCGCGGAGCTCAAGCGGGTCGCGAAACTGGTGCGCCGTGCCCAGGAGAACCGAGTGTCGCGTCGTGCTGGCCTCGATGACGCCAGGAAGGGGTCCTGAGCGCACCAATACTGATGTATTTCTGCGTTGTCGTCGATTGCGTTGCCAGCGCAGCTCGCCCGCTGCTCGACTCCCTGCCTCCTGCTTCCTGTTGGTACTGTGCAGGTGCGGGCGGCCGGCGCTGCGATTGGGAAGTCGGATCCGCGTCCGAAGATAACAAATAAGGTTTCGTTCAAACAGGCAAACAAGCAGTCTGGCGCCGCGCAGCAGCCGGTTCCGTGGCCGCCCGGGGGGGCCGGAGCGAGCCTCGTGTACGGCGACGACCCCGCGACGGTGCAGAGCGGCGGTGCGAGGCGGGGCGCGGGCGTCGATGGTGCCGGCGGTGATGGTGGCGCGAACCCAGGTGTGGCGAGGCGGTCGGTGGGCCGCGTGGGGGACGAGAGGCTGGCGTCGATGCCGCGGAATCCGAAGCAGGTGCGTGGGTGCCAGTGCCGGGCTGGGGGCGGGCGCGTTTGGCCGGCGAACTGTCGTGGTTGGATGGCGGGTTTTCAGTTGGGGTTTCGTGATTGAGAATGAGTGCGACGAGCCGTGGTGCGTGCAGGAGCGAACCGAGGACGAGCTGGGGCTGAATCGCATCAGCGCGCAGCAGTACGACGCCGTGCAGGTGCAGTCGTACCAGGACGGCGCGCCCGGCCGGCGCGGGCTGTGACGCGTGACATCATCTCTCCCCAGCGTGCCATTCCCAGTCGAGATTCCGTGTCTGCCGTCCCGACCGCCACTCCCCCGTGCCCCCCGCGACCGCACAAGGCCCCACGGCCCCGCCACGCCGCGCGCAACGCGCCCTCGACCCTGCACCGGCGATGCGGAGCGGTTCTCGAGCATTCCGCTGCGCCAGCGCGCTTCGCGACCTCGCCTGCGCCCGCAGCACCGCAGCCGAGCAGGCGACGGCAGGCCTCGTTCCGTCCGCGACCTCCGCCAGCAACCCGCACATTGCGTTCCATGAGCAGTTGAGGGCCAGGCACACCGGTTCGCGCGATCCCTGGGCGTCAGGAGTGACGTCACGCGCAGTGCCTGGTATCTGGAGAGACGAGCTGGATGTGGCGGTCGGCGTGCAATCGGGCGCGCGGCCGTCCGCGGGCCCGCGGGTTCGCGAGAGGGACGAGGAGGCTATCCGTCTGGCCAGCGCAGCGCAGATTTCGAGCGCGGCGGGCGGCGAGCGCGGGCCTGACCCAGCTGCGCTTCCCGCAGCAACGCTGGTGGCGATGCTGAGCGCTCCGGGCGACCCGACGCCCGAGGTGGAGAGGATGCTCGACTGCGGGTCGCGGATCCGGGCCGCAAGCGCCATCGTGTGCGAATTCGCAACGCACGAGCACCAGGCCCTCAGAGGCCCCACGCACACCAACAAGCGGGCGGCGCTGCTCCTGCGGTCGGCTTCCGCGCTCGCAACCTGCGCGACCTTGACGATCAGCCACGGGTGCGTCCCCCCACGCCCACCCGCGACGTTTCCACCGCTCACTCCCCCCCCCGACCCCCCCCCTTTCTGTTCCATGGAATGTCCGCGTTTCGCGGCCCGTCGCCGCGGCAACCGACCCCCCGCGCCCGCCCCGAACCCCTCGCAGCGTCTGCGACAAGCACGGCGTGAACACGGCGTGCACGGTCCTCGGCCGACACACCCCCCTCATCAAGCTCCTCACCCTGTCCCGCCTCGACATCTCCCGCCTCCGCACGTCCGCCGCGGCGCTCGCGCAGGCCCTCGGCACCGCGCCCGAGGCCGCGCTCACCGTCGTCGGCACCAGCAAGCTCTCCCACGCCCTCCGCGGCGCGGCCGTCTCCGGCGTCGCCCGCACCATGCCGGTAGAGCACATCGCCGCGCTCACGCAAACACACGTCGCCGCGCTCGCACAGACACACGTCGCTCCTCTCACGCAAACACACGTCGCTGCGCTCGCTCTCGCCGCTGGGCATCGTCGATCGCGTCCAGCTGAAGCGTCTGCGCTGTTCCGGGTCGTTGCGTGGCGCAGGAAGCGGTGCACCGCCTCGCGGCGCTCGCGGCGACGCCCGCGGGCCTCCTGCGTGCGTCGCCCGTGGACGTGGAGCACATTCTGCATGCGCTGAACGTCAGCAGCTACGACGTGTCGGATCCCTCGCGCGCGGGCGTCGTCGCGGCGCTCGCGTCCTTCCTCGCGACGCGCGCGCGCGCCGCAGCCAAGACCGCTACGCCCCCCCCCAAGCAGCTCGACTCCCCCCGGGCCGCCGCCGACGCGCACCAGCGCAAACCCCACGCGCCGATGCTCCTCGAGACCGTCGCCGGCGCGACGATCGCGCTCAGCGGCCTGCGGTACTACCCAGGAGACCACTTCGCCGCGGCGATGGCGGCGTGCGCAGCCGACCCCGCGCTCGCGCCCGTCAGGCAGGACGACACCGAGCGGCCGCGCGCCGCGCGGTCCGCGGTCGGCGTCGCGTGCGCGCTCGCGGACCTCGGCGCCGCGCTGCCGCACGACACCGTGACTGCGCTGCTGGGGCGCGCGTGGGAGGAGACCCTCGCGCGCAACCCCGGCGCGCAGGCAAGGGGTTGGGGGCGCTTCTCGGACACGCTGGGCCGCGTGGCGGCCGCCGCAGCGATGCTCTCGCACGACGCGGAGGTCTGGTGGGAGAGCGTGATGGTCTCGGTGACCAGCGCGTTCGAGGCCTCGCAGCGCGCGGGCGAGCCGGCGTTCGACGCCACTTCGATGCTCCTCGACGTCGCTGACGCGGTGTGTGCGAGCCCGGTCGCGGCGGAGGCGCTGCGGGCGGTCGACGGCGACGGAAAGGTGCTCCCTGCGGCGCTGCAGGCGCGGTACGAGCGCGAGAGCGACCCGGAGCTCCACTGGCCACTTGCGGCGCAGAAGACCGTCGTTGGGCTGTTGCATCCGGGAGGGGACGTCGCCGCGGCGATCCGGAAGCGTCTCGGCGCGGAGTGGGCGGTCCGGGAGGGCTTTCTCGCGCAGTCCGTAGTCGGGGATGGCCCGATTATGGGCCACTTTGCTGTTCCTATTGCGCTGCTGAGTAGGGACGGGACGTGGCGGCTGGCGGTGGAGATCGCGGGGCGCGACGCGGCGCTGAACGATCCGACGCGGCTGACGGGGCGCGCACGGCTGCGGCGGGGCGAGATGCTGCGGGGCGGCTGGGGTGTGGTGCGCGTTGCCGTGCAGCGCGGGCGGGACCGGAAGCCCGACGTGGGCGACTTGGCGCGGCAGCTGCGAGCCGGGATCGAGGCCGCGGTGGTCGCGGCCGCGCGACGGACGCGCCGCGAGATGTAAGACTTTGCGCGGGGCGACCGCGCTCCTCTGGAGCGCGTGTTTACTGACTGATGGGCGTCAACAGTGGCGTCCTGTCAATTCCAAAGTACTGATTGTTAGTTCTTCGCTGACCTACAAGCACCCTCACCGCGAGGACGATTGACCACCCGCGCACAAAGTATTAATTGACCACCCGCGCACGAAGCTGGCTGCCACAGTCAGCAGAGTCGGATCACACCAGTGCGCAACCGGTCCGCGAGCGTGGGGCGCTTCGTGCGCGTGCCTCGAGCGCGCCCAGCTCCCGTGCAATCCACATGCGATACTAATCTTCTGATTCTGATTGCTTCCAGAGCCCCAAATAGATCGATAGCGTAAGCACGATGCAATTCAGGTAGGGGGGGGGGGGCGGATGCGGTTTCAATCGAGCTGGCGACTTCCCCACGAAGCAAGAGCAGCGAGGTGGGGGGGATTCTGGGTATCAGGGGGGTGTTAACGGGGCCGAAGCGGATCTCTCGATCCAGGCAACCTCGCTTGGTCGCAGCAGGCGCCGAGGCCGAATGCCAGGCTCGTTCCTGCCGTCCTGATGCAGCGAGCTGTCTCCATGGGCCCGTTCTGCCGTGCTGTGCTTCGAGCCTCGCGCAGCACTCGCGTCCACGGGGCACGAATGTCGAGGTCTAGTGCCGACATCCCTTGCGTTCATTCGATCCGCCGCGCAAGCAGCAGCTGCGCGCGGCGTGTCAGGCCCGGGCCGGCTCCGATCGCTCGCGCCGCAGGAGGGTGAGCGGCCCGTGACTGGTATAATCAAGTGCGGGCATGCTGCATTGTGCGCGGACGCCCGATGCTCTTCTTGGCCGCAGCGTTCCGCTCCATGCTAGCGAGCGGGCCGCTCGCTCCGAAGCTCGGCACGCCCTCTTGCGACGACGTCCGGCGGGCCATGCCGTGCGACGCCCGCGCCCGCGTGCTCAGCCGGCGCAGCGTGCCCATCACCCCCGCCGGCATCTGCGGGCGCTCGGGGGGCAGCGCGAGGGACGGCAGCGACTCAAGGTCCTTGGCGTCGTCCAGGAACGCCTCGAGACGACTCTCCATCACGCGCAGCGTCTCCTGCGTGTTCAGGAGCGCCGCCGCCCGCGGAATCGACGTCAACGGCATGTAGACGAGGCCCTGGTGGTGCATCGTCTCCGTCCAGATCGCCTCCTTCGAGGTCTCATCCGCCGCCTCGAACGGCCACACCGGCTCCGGCGGGTGCGGCGCCGGCGACGACGCCTCCGCGCGCGGGGGCCCCAGGGGGGACTTCGGGGGGGGGTTATTCCTGCTGTCGTGCCGCGCGAACCGCGACTTCGCCGGCGCAGCCCCCGTGGCCGTGGCCGCGTCCTTCGCGGCGAGGTTGTCCGACGAGCTGACGCGGGCGTTGGTCGCGACCGACTCTGGGTGCGCGCCCGACGTGGTGTCCGTGGACCCCGACGGCTCGCGCGGCTGCGGCGCGGTGTCCGACGGCCGCTCGAGGTCCTCCTTGGCTCTGCTGGGCCACGGGCGCCGCATGCTCGGCCGCAGCACGGACGTCCAGCCTTCCCGCTGGAAAAAATCAATGTGGTGCATGCTGTACGGTCGCGCGACTTCGATCAGCGCGTGGTTGAGCATGACCACGCCGTCCGTGCGGTGCGAGCGGGTCGTCCCGGAGCTCGCCACGGCCTCGGAGCTGCTCCTGTCGTCCCGGGTCTCGAGCCCGTAGGCCTTGAGCAGGGCCTGGTGCTCGCGCACGACGTCGAGCCAGACGTTGTAGTTCTTGAAGAAGTGGCGCATCATCCAGCTCGACCTGCGGCCGGGCGCACCGCGCGGCGCCGTGAGCGCGGGGCTCGCGTTCTGCCGTCTGGCGGCCTGGCGTGGCGGCAACACAATCAAAAGGGCAGCGGGGGCGGCGGGGCGCGCACCAGGGGATGACGTTGCAGAGGGCGGTGAAGAAGGGCCGCGCGACGGCGTCCATGAACCCGAGCTGCCCCTGCGGCACGTACTCCTTTTCCCGATCGATCATTGACACCGGCGACATGCCGAGCTCCTTTTCCATGTCGCCCTGGATGAAGAACTCGCTCATGATGCGCGCCGACCACATCAGCATGACCTTCCGGTCCTTGACCAAGTGCGAGATGTCCGCCGCGTGCAGGATCGCCTTGAGGAGCAGCTCGCGGTGCTGCTTGTCGGACGGCAGGCGGTGCGCGCCGCCGCCGGGCGGCGGCGCCTGCTGCTGCATGCCCTCGGCGAGCTCCTCGACGGCGCCCGTGAGGTCGAAGTGCGTCTTCATGTCCGTCGACGTGATCAGCGCGATCACGAGGTGCCGCGCGTGTCTCTTCTCCGAGGCCCCGAACCGCGCGAAGACGTCCGACTCGGGGTCCTCGAGGAGGATCTTCGTGAGCATCGCGCTGTGCGCCTGCTCCTGCGGGCTGCTATCGTTGTACGTGACCGCCTGCGCGCCAACACGCACAGACGCGGGGCGCGTGAGCATGCGCGGGTCAGGGCCGGCGGCGGCCGGCACCTTCGGCAAAGAAAGCCGAACGAAACACAACTCACCAGCGAGTGCGAAGTCTTGATGAGGAAGTCGTTGCTCTTCCCGGTGTGACCCAGATCGTGCGCCAGCGCGGCGACCAGGCAGCACAGCCGCTCGAGGCGCGTGAACCCGCCCGAGCGCTCGTGCTTGCGCGCCTCCATCATCAGGTGGTACGCCGTGTGCGCCACGTCCACCGCGTGGTACCAGTTGTGGTAGGGGTTCGACGCGTCGTACCCCAGCTCCAGGTGCCCGCACAGCGCCACCACCGTCTCCGCGGTCGGGAACACCGACGCCCGCGCCGCGCCCTCCTCCGCGCCGCGCGCCTTGTTCTCGTGCGAGGCCGCCAGAATCCCGAGCCGTCGGAACATCTCAACCACCGCCGCCTGCAGCCCGCCGCTGCGGCGCCCGCTTTCGTCCGGCTCGACGTTCAGCGCGCTCCACTTGGGCGTCCCGAGCAGCGCGAGCTGCGGGTCCGCCGCGAGCTCGGAGACCGGGCCCTCGGTGACGCTGCTGCGGTCGCCCGTCGCCGCCTGTTGCGACGTGCGCAGGGTCTGCTGCCGCATGAGGGACTCCGCGAGCGACATCTGCGTGCTGCTGCGCCCGGCCGCGGAGGTGCGCATCGAGCGCTCCCCGACCGTCGCGTCCGTGATGGCGACACTCCCCGCGGAGGACTGTTGCTCCCCGACGTACATGCGCTGCCACTCCCCCAGCCCGAGGTCGGTCAGGCCGTCCGTCGCGGCCTCCGCCATCATCCGGTCGAGCACGACGCGCCCGCGCATCGACGCGCGCAGCACCAGCCGCACCGTCGCGCTGACCCGCGTCATTGCCTGCTCTAGCGACAGCACCTCCCCGTCGCTGACGCTCGCGCGCGCGCGCCCCTTCAGGACCATCCCGGAGTCGTCGAGCTGGTGCGCGAGGTCCACGATCTGCTTCGTCGTCCGCTGCACGGGCCGCAGCACCAGCGCCTCCGCAATCCAGAGCAGAACGAGGACCCAGAAGACGGTCGTGGCGAGGAGCGGGGCCTTGCGCATGGCCTGCTCGGCGATATATTGTTCGAAGAAGTGCGCCCGCTCGATCAGGATCGCCACCGTCGCGTCCTGCTGCGCGCCGCCGGCGAAAGTGTTGACGGTCGCGGTCAGGTACGCAAACGGGCCGCCGGCCTCCGCGAGCGCGCGCTCGACGTACGCCTGCGCCTCCGCGGCCGAGATCGCCCGCCCCTCGACCGCGAGGTACGCGTTTCCGGCCGCGTCAGACGCCAGGTACAACTCGTGATGCTGCAACTGCCAGTTTGAGAATGACCGCAGGTTCAGTACGTATCGCTCGAGCTCGGCGCTCGAGTCGACCGCGAACATGTTGACCATCGCTTCCTCGATCGCGTGGCTCGATATGTACTCGCTGCGCTGCGCGTACGCCCACGCGGACAGCGACCCCAGGAGCACCGCGACGGTACTGGCCATCAGGACGCCCTGACGCATCGCGGGGCCGAACGACAGGCGCATCCGCCCGCGCCCCGAGACCAGGAGGTCGTTCGAGGCGCTCTGCCGCCAGAGCGTGACCTGCGCGGCGGGAACACGGCGGAACATGGCATGAGCGCTCGCGTTGTACTTACCCGCTCGAAACCCGCGAAGGTCCCTGAGGGCTCAGCTATGCCGGGGCGGGGCCGTGCGGAGGGGTTGCGCCTCTCGCTGGCCCGCGGGCGCGTCGTGTCGTTGCGGCGTGTGGCAGTGGCCGGGGGGCGCGCACCAGGGGTTTGAGCAGCGCGAGGGGCTGCAGGATGAGAGAGACGACCAGGTGCGTGCGGATGAAGTCGGCGCGCTCCGCGGAGAAGCCGTCCGTGGTGTGCGTGGCCGCGAAGAAGGGGTGGTCTTTGAGGAGCCACATTGTCATACCCATGGACGTGAGTCCCAAGACGAAAGAGCCCGCCTCCAGCACAATCGGGAGGGCTGCGAATGCGCAGAGAAACGCGGCGCATCGTTGGCGTGGCGCGCGGAGCGCGGTTGCTAGTGCGCCGCACCTGGGGCGCGTGGCGGCCGCGCGGCGTCGCCGCGCTGCAGCTGTGCGCGAATTGCACGTCCCATGCGAGGCTGCGCGTCCGCGGCGGAACGCCGCGACGCACGGCACGGCCCGGGCGGCCCGGGCGGCCAGGAGCGGTGCGCGGAGGCGTGGCGTGCGGGGTCGGCGTGGCCGGGGCTCGGCGCGCGGGGGGGCGTACGTGACCAGAACTTCGAGAGGCCGCGCGTGGAGTGCCAGGCGAGGGCGCTGTCGGCCGCGAAGACCGCGAGCGGCAGGAGGTGCACTAGTGCGGTGGTGACCAGGGTGCTGTCGCCGCCGAGGGTCTCGGCATTGGCGGAGATGGTGATGCAGTCCTCGAAGAAGAGGATACATGCCGCAGCGAGAACGATTCCGAGCCACCAGTAGGACTGCGCGACCTGCAGAGCGGAGGTGGTCAACGCCAGCGAGATCGGTTGGGGGCTGCGTGGCGCCGTCTGAGGCCGAATCTGCGCGTTTCTCGTGTCTCCGGAGCATCACGCCGGGGCGTGATGGGCGCGAAGGGGGGGCGGAAACGATCGAATGTCGCCGGCGGCGCGCGCGGGCGGCCGGGCACACTGGCCCGCAGTCTCGGTTGGGCCGCTGGGAGCCCGCGCGGGGGCGCGCGTCGGTTTTGCGGCGTGTCGGCGGGCAGACAGAATACGGTGATTTCAGGTGGTCTGGATGCGGAAGGGGTGCTTGTCTCAGGGGAGCCGTGCGGACCTTGGCGAGCAGCTGTTGGGCTTGACGCGCTGGAGGGCGGTCGTCCTCGTCGTCCGGGTCCCACTTCACGGGCGGCTGCACTCCCTTCTGCTCGTCGTACCGCATGGTGATTGGTCGCCGCCTTGTCCCGCGCTACGGAGCTTGCATGCGCGTCGCCTCGTCCACCGGGCCGAGCCACATCACGACCGACGACGCAGCGCTGTCTCGAACGTCACTTCGCTTCTACGTGGCCAAACTACCCTGCGACGCCGCGTCCGGAGCCCACGAGCCCTCGCGAGCCAGCCACCCGGGCTCTGTCACAGGTTCGACGTGGGCGTGCTCGATCCAGCCGCGCCTCCGCCGAGGAGTCATCTTGCGCTGCAACGCGCGGAGATACACGACCTGACATTTGCATCCACCGCGCGCCGCGGCTCACTCAACTCACGCGGCCCCGCGCGCACGCGCCGAGAGACCGAGTAGCACGATGTCGACGATCATCGAGCGCGACTACGGCACGCACCGGACACGCGCGTCCGCGTCATCGCCGCCCCGGGCCCGCACATGCTGAATTCAGCCGCGCGACGCCGCCCGCGACGCCCGCGCCACCCCCTCGCGCTCCTTTACCAAACACTGATATGATGATGTTCATAATTCATTCATTAATGAATTATTGCAGCGACAGGATGCCGGAAACGCCGCCCGCAGCGGCCGCGCGCGCGAGCCGCTTCCGTGCCTGCCCTCGCGCGCCGATTGCTGCACGGCGTCGCACTCGTCGCTCGTGAGAACAACACGTGTCCGCAACGAAGGCATTCGTCGGCAGGCATATTTATATACAGAGTATTAATATATATATACGTCGTGCCTGCACTGCGTCCACGCAGTCGGCGCGCAACACAGAAGCCCAGGCTCAGCCGCCCGCCGCCGCTGCGGTGCCGGTACTGAAGCAGCGGTGCGGCGCCCGCGCTCAGGTCTGCAGAGCCAGCGGTGCTGGCGATCGCGACCCAAACAAAGAGCAGCGCGCCGGGGTTCGCGCTGCAGACCGGAGCGCCCAGGTTGCGCGAGGGCGTTCATGCGTGCGCAGCTGCGCCCGCGCGGCGCGGCCGCCCGCACGTGGACCACCGCGCTGCGTGTAGGCGCTCACAGGCCGGGCAGGCGGGGCTAGTCGAAGAGGTCGTCGAAGTTCGCGTCGCCGCCGCGCGCGCGCTTGCTTTTCTGCACCTTGGAGATCAGCACCTCGTCGTCGGAGTCGCTGTGGGACTTCTTCGCTTTTTTTGGCCGCGGTTTCCCGTCCTTGTCCGTCTTCGCCGCCGCCTTCTTCTTCTTCGGCGCGTCGCCGCTCTCCGACGCCGGCCGCTTCGGCGCCCGCGGCTTCGACGGCCCGGTCTGCAGCGCGCACACCAACACGCAGCGACCGTCGCACGGGCCGCATCGCACGCGCAGCGCGCGCGCTCGCGGACGCGAGCGCTCACGCCCCGGGCAGATCGAGCGCGCGCGACGCCGGCGACCCCCGCTGCGGGTGCGCGCGCGACGCGCGGTGTGCGCGGGAATCGTTGAGTTGTGTGTATTTCGGGGGGCCGCGCACCTCGCCGCGGGCTTTCCGCAGCGCCGCGGTCTTCCCGGCCTCCTCGAGGTACTTGAGCGCCTCGTCCGTCGGGAGGAGGCCGTGCTGGCACATCCAGCCGCGCGCCATCATCGACGCCGGGCGCTGCGCGTACAACGACGTGTAGAACTTCCGCAGCGCGTCGCTCTCGTCCGGCGGCTCGCGCGTCTGCCCCGGCTTCTCGAACTTGGGCTTCTCCTTGACCGCCGGCTTGATCTCAGCCTTGACGTCCGGCTTCGATTCGGGCTTGCTTGGACCTGCTGCGGGCTTGGCCGGCTTCGCCTCGCGCTTGACCTCCGGCTTCTTCTCCGGAGCGCTGGGCTTCACGTCCGGCTTCTTCTCGGCGCCCGCGGGCGCCGGAGACGGCTTGGCTGCGCCGGGAGCAGGGCCCGCTGATGGTGGAGGCTCTTTCTTGACCTCTGGCTTCGGCGCCGGTGGCTGCGGCTTCGCTGGGGCGGGCTTCCCTGCGCGGTGCGTGCGTGGGAGGGGCCCGCAGCGTTCGGAGATGCGCGCGGGAACCTGCTGTGATGTTGCACGGCGAATGCGGGCGCTTCGAGGGGGCGTGCGCGCGTCTGTTGCGACGGAGGGGATGTCGCGGACATCAGGATGGGCGGGGCTGACAGCTTGGACCTCGGGAGCGCGCGTGCGGGCGCTGAGAGGGCAGGTCCACACAGGTGGGGCCTCAGGGGCGCCGCACGCGCCCGACACGGGTTCGAAAGCATGTGCGCGCCGCACGGGCGTGTGGAGGGCGTCATGAAGGTATCGCCGGGCGCGTTTTCGGCGCCGGATCGCGGCGCAGCTGCGCGGAATCCCGCGTCAAGCGTCACGAGAGCCGGGGGGGCGGGCGGCGCGGTGCGTGGCGAGGGAGGGACCGCGGGGCCGTTCTTGCGCGCGAGACGCATGGTAGATGACAGGTCAGCCAGCGGGGCGAGCTACGCGACGGGGCGCCCGCAGTCGAGCGCGAATCTGAGACGGACAACCAGTGAGTAAAGGTAGTGGATGAACACGCCGCTGGTGTCTTGCGGGCGACCTGGCGGTCGGTTTTCCGGCTCACCTGGCTCCTTCTTGTCCGCCTCTACCCGCTTCGACAGCGGCAGGTCGTCGTCGGAGCTGTCCGCGGGCGCTGGAGCGGGCTTCGGGGCCGCAGGGGCCGCTGCAGCGGCCGGGGCGGCCCTCCGCGCGAGCGGGAGGTCGTCGGAGTCGCTCGACATCTCCGCTGCGCTGGTTCGCCTTCGCCGGTCAACGGACGCGCTCTCAGAGCGTTCTATCGAGGCGCACGGCCCGCCAACGCGTCACAGGTGCACCGCGGAGGCCCTTGCGTCGAAGACGGGACTCGTCTGCGCGCGAAAAGAGGCGGAGATGAGCCTCGGGATGAGTGTGAGCGGCGCAGGCCGCGGCAGGGATGCAAGAGGCCCGGCTGAGGCCGCATGGGGCCGCGACGCTGCCAGACGCCCCCGCATCCGACTCCACGGCCCGGGGCGTCACCGCCGCCGTCTCCGGCGCCGAGCGCCGCGCGCCACAGCCGCCGCGCGCACTGCGCGGCCTGCAGGCGACGCGAGCGCTCGGTCCAGACCGCGCAAGGTTGGCCACCGGACGTTTCTGTGTCACGCTCAAGGAAAGCACGCGCACGCGCCGCGGCGGCATCTTCCCTCGCAGTCAGGAGGCTCCACAGCCGGACTGGAGCGCTGAGGAAGCGCGGGCGACGCCGTATCGAGCGGAGAGGGCGTGTCGGCCGCCATGTTCGAGCTCACCCCAGCTGCCATCAAACAACTATGCAAAGAGAAGCAGTACTATATGCACAAGCCCGAACTGAACGAGGTGCTGCACCTGCAGTACAAGGGCATCGTCAAGCTCGAGGTACGCGCCCCGAGACGCCCCCGCACGCGCCCGCACGCGCCCGCCCCCTGCGTGCGCTGAGCGCCACTCCAGAGCCGCGGGGCCCCCACGCGCCCCCCGCGGCCCCGCACCGCCGTGCCTCAATCGCGCCCTGCGCCCCGGACCGTGTCGCGCCCATTTCCACCAGAAATCCCGCGGAACGTCGCGACGCGCGGCGCCCGCGCGCCCCGGTCCGCCTGCGCACACCGTGCACGGTGCTCTCCGCGCGCTCCCGCGCCGCTCCCGCGCCCCGCGGCGCCCCCCGAGCTCCTCGCGACACGGCCTGCGCGCCGCGCGCGCGCCGGACCGGCGCGGTCGAGCCGCGGCGCGCCCGGGGGCCAGCATGCACGCCCGCACATGGCGTGTGCTGTGACCGGTCGCGCGGCCTCGCCACCGCCGCTGCGCAGAACCTGGAGGCGTTCACGGGCGTGCGGGCGCTCTACCTCGAGGCCAACGCCATCGAGGAGGTCGAGAACCTCGACCACATGACGCAGCTTCGATCCCTCTACATTGCAAACAACCTGCTCCGGGAGGTGCGTTGGTTCGGCCCTGACGCCCCGCGCGCAGCCTCTTGTGGTTCCTTGTGGCTGGAGCTGCACGGACGCGCTGGTTCCGGCGCCCGACGGCGCGCGGCGACGCCGCAGGCGCCCCAGCACGGTCACGCCGTGCAGTCTGCGCGCGCCTGGCGCCGCGTGACGCGTGTCGGGGCCTGACTGGGCGCGCAGGTGTACTGTTTGGCGAACCTGAAGGCCCTTGAGACGCTCGACGTGTCCGGAAACCTCGTCGACTCGCTGGACGGTCTGGCGCAGCTGCCCAAGCTGGGCACGCTCGTGGCGGTGGGCAACCGCCTGGAGAAGCCGGACGCGATCGAGGAGCTGCGGCGCTGCGAGGCGCTGCACACGCTCGACATCAGCAACAACAAGCTCGATGACGAAGCCACTTGGGAAATCCTTATCTCTCTTCCACTTAAATACCTCCGAATGCAAGGCAACCCCGTCGTGCGGCGCGTCTCCGCGTTCCGCAAGCGCACCCTCGCCGCCATGCCCACGCTCACCTACCTCGACGACGCCCCGGCCTTCGAAAAGGACCGCCGCCTGGCAGAAGCCTTCGTAGCCGGCGGGTACGACGCCGAGCGCGCCGAGCGGGACAAGATCCGCCAGGAGGTGCGTACATCGCATCACCGCATCACCGCATCGCCGCATGGACATGTCCTTCCGATGCACCTCGCGCGCAGACGCGCAGGCTGCTGCTACGACGCGGACGCGTGTTGCTGTTGCGACGTTGAAGGCGTGGTGGCGCCGTGGTGCGTGCAGGAGGAGCTGAAGCGGCAGCGCAGCCGGCAGGCGTTCAACGACTTCGTCGAGGACGCGAAGCGGCGGCACAAGGAGAACCCCCCCCCTCCGCACGACCCCATGAGGTTCCGTGCGGTGCCTGTGGGGGAGTCCGATTCCGAGGACGACTCGGACCTGCCGCCGTCGTGCCGCATCTCGCGCAAGGGCCGCGGGCTCGACAAGCAGGGGCGCCCCGTCAACGCCCCTCTCGCGCATGTCGCCGGCGACGCCGACGCACTGCAGGGAGCGGACGGCGACGCCGACGACTGGGTCGTGCTCGACAAGGACGAGGCGAGCGGCGCGGAGGGCGACGCGGCGCCGGAGGCGGCGGCGGCGGCGGCGGCGGAGGGGGGGGAGTGCGCAGAGGAGGCGGGGGGTGTCGAAGAGGTCGGCGAGGTGGCGTCGGGGGGTGTGCGGAGTCCGCCGGTGCCGCCGCCGGTGCCGGTGCCGGAGATGGCGGGGCTGTCGGTGACGGGCCTCGCGCCGGTCGCGCCGATCGATCCGGAGGAGCTGCGGCGGCGGAGGGAGGAGTGTTTGTGTCAGCAGACTCAGTTCCGAAAAGACCTCCAGGAGCGGGCTCTGGCGCGCGCGGCGTCCAAGGCGGACGTGATGCAGCAGAAGCTCGCCGAGGCGGCCGCGGGGTCCGGCGGCGGGCACGGCGGCCCCTCCCCCGTCGTGTGGGGGACTCAGAGGTATAAGGAACTGTGGAAGATGGCGCAGGAGGTCCCGGAGGGGGGGGAGTCTGAGGAGGGCGCGGGACGGGAGGGGAGGGAGGCCGGGGCGGCGGTGGAGGGGCCGGAGGGCGATGCGGGCGCGGCGGTGGAGGGGCCGGAGGGCGATGCGGGCACGGCGGTGACTGCGGAGGTCAGCGCGGCATCGGTGGCGGTGCCTGCGTCGCTGCCGGATCTGGAGCCGCTGACGGGGGGCGCGGAGGAGGATTTGGACGGGCTGGACTAGGTGTGCGGCCGGGCGGGGGGCGTTCTGTGACGATTCCGTGAGCGGGGGGGGGGTTTTGGGGGGGGTCCGGGGAGTGGTGGGAGCGCGGGTTGATCGCTGTGCGGGCGGGGCTGTGCGGGGAGATGCGCGGGAGTCCGTGGCGTGCGTGAAGCGTTGAACGCGATTCCGCAAGCGGGGTAGAGAACGCGCGGAGGTTGGCTGCGACTGTCGCGAGTGACGGACCATGAACGGGCCGGGCTCGAACTGGCAGGATTACGACGGACGCGATGTGGGATACGGGGACAACGACTTCCGTCTGGAGGGCCGGGACGCCCCGCACCTCCTCGGGTCAGGGATCCCGCGCGAAAGGGGTCGCCAGAATGTGTTAAGGACGAGCACGCTGACGTACGTGGAGGCCGACGTCGAGTCCGGTGAGTCGCTCGCTGCCTCGCACAGCTCCTGCCGTACCTTCGAGCGCCGCGTCTGCGCGGAATTCGCCGATACTGTGCACTTCGCGTCCTGTTTTGTGTCGCAGGCAACCAGCCGTGGGTGTTTGTTGGGTGCGCGCCGTACACGCCGACCGCGGCGAGGCGGTCGGTGCAGAAGAAGCTTGCCGGACTGCCCTGGTGCGTGCCGCGCCGGCGCGAAGCTGCCTCGAAGGCGGTCCGGGACGCTCGGGGCCTCGATTGTGTTTCTCAGAGGGCACTTTGTGTCGCCGTCTTTGGGCGGGTCGACAAGTGTGTTCGCGCAACGAGGCGACTCTGATGGACTCACAGCATGCAGGGCTATGATCTGTGCGTTGCGTTTCGTGCGTCTGCAGGAAATCGAGGATGGCACGTCGCTGGAACCTGTACAGAGGGCAGTGCGTGGCCGCGGTGCTGGTGCCGGCCGCGGTGGCGGTCGCAGCGGCGCTGCTGGACGCTCGCACGGGGAACGGGCGACGAGGCCAGAGCGTGAAGTTCGCAGACGTGCTCGTTACGGCCGCGTAGATGCATCGCGGACGCAACCGCGGGCACGTAGCGTGCAACGGTGCCGCGTGGCGGTGCCGCAGGCGCCGCGCGCAGCGCGTCCGGCGACGGCCCCGCCGACCACGTGCACACGCGAAGGCACCGATCGCGAGTACGCATCAGATCGCGGCGACCGCGCAGCGCTACCCCTGCAGGTTGTTGACTTGCAAAACAAACAACAGATGATTATCGATCGACACGAATCGATTGTGATCCACAGCGCGGCAGCTTTCACACGGAGAGCTTCCCCGCGCAGCGAGCCGCGGCGCGCCCCTCCACCCGCGCGCCCAGCGCCCCTCGTCACCCGTTGACGTCATCCATGTCGGGAGGATCCAGAATGTTCTTCCCGATCCCTTCTGCCATCCTCTTCTGGTTGTACTCGATGACGTCGACGGTGTCGATGATCCGCTGCACCTGGTCCGCGAGCTTCTCGAGCGTCTCGGCCATTTTCCGCGACTCATACCCGTCGTCGTCCGCAGCCATGTCCTCCAGATCCCGCTCCATGATGATCTTCGTCTGATAGGGCAGGAAGAGCTCGCGCGCGTCCTCCTTCGTGTGCGCGTGCAGCGCGCTCATCTTCTTCTTCTTCGTCGTCTTCTGCTGCTCCAGCTCCTTGCGCGTGACGGCGTTTGCCGCCGCCATGGCCCCTTGGGCCGCCTTCTGCACGCCCTGCTGCGCCAGCGCCAGCGCCCGCTGCTGGATCTTCGAGATCTGCGACGACTCGATCGACTCCGTCCGCCGGTCGATCTCCAGAATCGCCTCCACGACCTGCAGACGGTACGCCGTCTCGGCGCGCTCCCACACCTCCTGCAAACACACGAGGTGTCGCGAGGGGCACGTCGCTGCGCTCCCACGCCCGTGGCGTGACGCGAAACCTTCGCTCCATGCGCTGCACTGCAAAGCAAGCTCTCCGCGTCGCGCGCGCCCTGCCGCACCTCGTACGAGGTGGCCATCATGGCCACGAGGAGGTTGAGCAGCAGGACCTGCCCGACGATGGCGTAGGAGATGGCGAGGAAGGGCCCGACGTAGGGGCTCGCGGACGTGAGCGGGTCCAGGTAGTCAGACACGCCGTCCAGCATGAGGAAGAACATCCGATACATGGTCTTGGGGAACGTGCGGAAGTCCGGCGTCTCGTCGCTGTTGCGCATCACGACGAAGAACGCCGTGACGAACCCGAAGTAGAACATCGCGAGGATCAACATGAACCGTGTGATGTCGCGCCGCACCTGCAGGAAGGGGGGGGGGTTAAACAGTGTCGGCAGCGGTGAGGGATCGCGGGCCCGCCGCCGCGCGTGCAGTGGGAGGAGCGCGCGCAGAGGAAGAGGGGGGGTGTTTTTTGGGCGCACCATGGTGAAGACCATCATTACGAGTGGCCCCATTGGCTGGAAAGTGAGGAAGTGGCGGGCCATCTTGCCCCAGGCGAGGAGCGCGATGGCGACCATGAGCCACATGTCGACGTGCTTGTGGATGTGGTGCGAGTCCGGCTCGGCTGCGGGAAGCGGGCGGGTGCGCGCGCGGTGAGAGGCGGAGCGGCAGGGCGAGGCGGCGGTGGTGGCGGTGCGGTCGGTCGGCGCGCACCGTCTTGGTGGGAGGTGAAGTAGTGGATGAGGCGGTAGATTTGGAGCGAGGGCACCATGACGTGGAGGGTGATGTCGTTGACGTTGAAGACCGACGACAGGTAGGTTTTGAGTGCCGTGATCCACATGCCGCGCCCGGTGAGGTCGGCCCACATCTTGAAGAAGTACTTCTTCCCGAGCCCGCCGTTGAACTTGGCCTTCTCGTCGTCCTGGATCTTGCAGTAGAAGTCGAACTGCAACGAAACACACAAAGACATATTCATATGAAAAAGACACAAAACACATGTTCAATACAATGCGATTGCGAGGCGTCTTCCTCTCCACGGCTCCACGCGGCCGACGGCACGTGGCGCCTCGCCCGCCACGCGGGCCGGCCCGGTGCTCGCGCACGGTACGCACCGCGTGAGACAGAACCTCGAGGGGTAGGTCGGGCGCGCCGAGCTCGTCCGCGAGCTCGTCGGTGGTGCCGTCCTCCTTCGTGACGAAGCCCTCCTCCTCGAGGCGGTCGAACACCACGTCGACCTCCTGGCGGAACTCGTTCTGCAGGGGGGGAGGGGGGGGTATTGCAGTGTGGGGTGGGGGGGAGAAGGAATTGGAGGCGCGGATCGCGAGAGGGGGTGGCGTTGCGCGGGGCCGCACCCGCTCGGCGTGGCGGATCTCCGCGAGGTCGAGGAACTCGATTCCCAGGAAGTAGAAGTTCATCATGAATATGAAAGCCTCGAGTATGATCATGACGTAGCCTCCGATGTCGACGTAGCGATGCGGGCCCTCGATCATGCTCATGGCCATCTTCACGGTCAGGATCAGCACGAAGAAGCTCACGATCGACGTCACGCGGATCATCCGCCGCCGGTGCCCGCTCAGCCAGTGCGCCTGCACCTGTTGGTCCACCACGGGATGCTTCAGCAGCCAGTGCGCGTGCTGGTTGCTGGCGATCACCGCGAGCAGCTTCAGGTCCTGCTGGAACTCCTTCTGCTCCAGCCGGCCCCCCTCCGCCGCCAGCTCCGTCCACCAACCGAACCGCACGTTGACGTACTTGAAATGCTCCCGCGGCGGGACGCCCATCGACAGCAGGTCCGAGTACCTGCGTAGACGACGAGGAAACACTCAAGCGAGCCGCCGTGGGCGCGTTGCGACGGCCAGCGGAGCGGGCGCGGCCCTCTGCGGCGTTGTTGTTGACGGCGCATGCGCGGGCGGCGCTCGAGCGCACCTGCACGTCTCCCTGCGGTACATGTGGTCGAGGCCGATCTCCTTGGCCCAGCCCGGGTCGAGCGCGACGAGCAGCGCGAGCGGCGTCACGCCCCGGATGTCCGGCACGGTCAGATCCGCGCCTAAATACACCAATTCTTGGATGATGTCCAACTTGATCTGCTTGTCCACGGTCGACTCCAGAACGAGGTGCGCTGGCGTCTTCTTCTCGCCGTTGACCCAGCGCCGCGACCCCGGGTGCGTCGACCGCCGCTCCACGACCTGGCCGCTCACGTGCGCCGACCCTTCCGCGGCGTGGTGGCCCGTGTGGTGGCCCGTGAGGAGGTCCTCGTTCTTCGCGCCGGACGCCTGCATGTTGATGATGCGCGTGCGCAGCGGCTTGCCCTTGTGGTCCTTGTCCGGCGCCTCCATCGCGCGCACGTTCCCGAAATAGATGTGCGCGTCGCGCAGCGCGGTCTTGGTCTTCTCGGGGTGGTACTGGTCGAGGTCGGAGACGAGGAAGTGGAAGAGCGTGTAGCCGGCGGAGCACGGGTCGAAGATGCGCGGGTCCGCGCGCGGAATCACGCCCTGCGTTTCACGAACGAACAGTCGAATCTTCTCAATTGAAGCTGAGCCAGGAGAAGCAGCGGATTCGAGGACAGCGCACGGACGCCACCGAACGCGCGCCCGTGCAGCGCGAACCCCGGCCTCGATCGCCCAGGGCGCCGCACGCACGCACGTCGGCACTCCCCCCCGTGTGCGCGTACCTCCTGCCGGAGCTCCCCGAGCGCGCGGATCACGTCGGCCTTCTTCCCGCGCGCCGCAGCGTACAGCGCGGTCATCCCGTCCTCGTCCGCCCAGTTCGGGTCCGCGTTTCGGTTCACGATCAGGTCCTTGACCTTCTCCGCCTCGCCCAGCGCGGCGCGGCGAATGAGCATGCGCGACACGATGTCCGGCTGGCTCAGCGCGTCGCGGCACATCTCCTCGTACACCGTGCCCTTCATCTGGTCCTCGACGAGCTGCTCGGCGATGTCGGGCGCCATGTCGACCAGCGTGTCCAGCGGACACCTCCCCTTGTTGCCCTTGATGCGGAAGTCGGACTCCAGGTCGTCGAAGGCCTTGATCATCTTCGACTGCGGAGCGGACGGCCAGGCGCGGGGGCGCACGGTCAGACGAGGCGGGCGGGGCCGCGCGATACGATCCCAAGCCGGTCGCGGGCTGCGGGGCTGGTTCACGAGGAGCGCTGCGCCTGCGAGCGGCGAGCTTTCCGCGGCGCTGTAGGGCGGAGCGTTGCGGTGGGTCCGCGGACCTTGGAGCCGGCGCGCGTCTTGAACTCGGTGATGTACTCGAATAGAACGCGCACGGGCGTGCGCATGTTGTCGGCCTGGCAGTTGATCACGTCCTTGCGGCCCACGCCGCGCCCGAAGAACTCGTCGGCCGTCGTGAGCGTCTTGAACGCGCGCTCGATGTCATTCCAGTATAGCGACATGTCCAGCGCCACAAAGTGAAAGAGCTTGTACCCAGCCGCGAGCTGCACGTGCTGCATCGGGTCGCTTGGCAGCCCGATCCCCTGCACCACACACACAAATACACGCGCGCTCAGGCCCAGCACGCCCCCCACCGGAGCCCTCCTCCCTTGCCGCGCATGCACAGATGCGCGCACCGCGAAGGAGGTGACGCGTACCTTCTTCGCCATGAGCCCGAGCGCGCGCACCACCTCGTAGTGCTTCTTCCACGCCGCGGCGTACAGCGCCGTGACGCCGCCGATGCGCGCGGAGTCGTGCTCCGAGAACTCGGCCGCCATGGACGTCAGGTGGCCCTTGCCGACGCTCGCGCGCATCGGGCTCATGTTGCGCTGCGAGGCGTTCTTGGTGACCTGCATCTGCGCGACGGCGCCCTTCTTGCCGAGGATCTGCTCCATGGTCGCCACGTAGTGGGTGTCGGCGCCGTCCTCGACCATGCGCCAGACCTCCTCGACGTCGCCGTTGTACGCCGCCTGCACCAGCGCGACGTTGATGGCTTCGTCCTCCTCGTGCTTGCTGCGGGGCGGCGAGTCGAGGAGAACCACGAGCTGTGAATCGTGCAGCTGAATCGCACGTACAATCCAACATTCGCGGACGCGCGTGGCGGATCGGCGCGGGCTCGCGGCGGCGCGCGCGTCGCGTGTATCCTGCGTTCAACGCTCGGCGTCGCATCCAGTCGCGCGCACCTCATCTGCGGGGCTTTGCTGCGCAGGGTGTGGCGCATGCTCCGCGCAGTAGACGTGACGGCGCGCGTCGACGACAGCGCCGGCGGCAGCTGCGCGTCGCCCGCGTGCGTGCGCTCCGTCGGCGTCGACCCCGACGCCCCGTCCCCCCCCTGGTGATGGTGATTGTGCTGGGCGGCGCCGGCGCCCGGTCCAGCGTCGTCGCTGCGGCCCTGGTCCAGCGCGAGCAGCGCCGCGGCCTCGCCCTCGTCGGCGACCGGGTCCTGCGGCTCCGGTCGGGCGTGTTGCGGGGAGCCTCCGCCGCCAAGGACCGCAGGCGCGCCCGCATCGTCGCCTGCGACGCAGGTGCAACGCGGACGCGGGGGGGTGTTAAACCGTGGGGGATCTGTGCGGCCCCGCGATGCGTCGCTCTGGGCCGGAGTCTGCCAGGCGGATCGAGAGCTGGCGGGCTGGCATCGCGAGCGCGTCGCTAGCGGGGCCGCGAGGCAGCGCGCTGCCGGAGTGCATGGCGGGCCGCGCGTGCGTGCCCGACACCGCGCGAACGGAGACGGGGCCGCGTTTCTGGGATGTGTGGAGCCCAGCGGTGTGCCTCGTGGCGCGGAACGCGAAGGAACGGCGCTCGTGGGCGCGCGGCGGCGCCGGGAGCAGCTGTTTCGCCGACATGCTGCGGGGCCGCTGGGTGCCGGGGCGCACCTGGGGGGGTGTTTTCCGTCCTGGCTGCCTGGGGCAGGGGCGACGGAGCAGGGCCGTCGCCTGCGGCGTCGCGCTGGACGAAAGGCACGAAGCCCGTCGGCGTGACCTTGTTGGACATCTGGCCTGGAGAGTGCGGTGCTGTTGCTGGGTTCAGGGCCAGGAGCGGCGCTGAGGCCGACGGCGCGCGCGCTTCGGGCTGGTTGGTTCTATTGAAAGGATCTGACGGCGAGAAAAGGCCGGGAAGATGCACACGGCGGCGTCGCGGGCTGCGGTTTGCTGGAACACTTGCAGCGGCGCACGCGTCGCGAGTGGGTCCGCGAGGGCCGGAACGCGAGCGTCCGGGATGTTCGTGGCCGGAGCGATCCCCGAGAAGCGTGATTCGAGCCTCGGGCTCTCAAGAGCGCAGCGGGGCGATGGAACTACAACAACAGAGGTGCACTGTCCGCGGCCTGTGCGGTGCGAAACGCGCAGCTCCGGCGCCTTTCGCGGCACACACGATGCGTTGTGCGTGCGAGTGCCCGCCGCAGGCCGGCGCGCGCTCCCTGGAGTGCTGGCGGGGGCCAACGGTCAGCTCAGCTGATGCGCTGCACGTCTGCCTGGCCGCACACACCGCGGCCCCGGGCGTAACCGAACAGAGACGCGGCCCAAAAGGCTCTCTGAAGATACATTGTGCACGCGGCGCCGTCGGTCGATCGTCCGGGTTCCGTACAGTCCGGGTTCCGCGCCTCAGAGAGCGTGTGTGCCCGCAGCGCTGAAAGCCCAGGAGGAGGTCCCACGTGACGTCGCTGTATTGCTGCAGTCGCGTCCCGCTGGCTCGCGGGATCCGCCACAGCACGAGCGTGCGCGCCAGTCGAGGCGTGGACTCCCGTTCCAGACTCCTTTTGGTGTCTCTTTTTGCAGCCTCGAATCGAGACCTCGCCTGCGACGGCGCAACGTCTGAGACCTCGCAAACGCACAGCGCTGCTCCTGCCGCGTCGCTCAAAGTCATCCTCGTCCCTCTTCTCGCGCGTCGTAGACAATCGCACATAATTACATGTCAAATCTAGAAATCTAGAAATCGTGTTTGGACCCCCCCGCCATCATGATACGACGAAGCTGTCCATCACCGGCGCGCGCCGGCGGCGCTTGCTGCGCCGGACGTCCGCTGCCTCAGGCGCAGCCGCCTCCACCGCCACGGTCCCGGGCGTGCCTGCCTTCCCGCCACCCACGGGCCGGGACAGCGGCGTGGCGCGCTCCGCCGCATCGGGCCGCTTCGCCGGCCGCGTCGCCGGAGGCGGGGGCGATTGCAATGGCGGAGGCGCCGGCAGGGGCGCTCGCACTGGCACCGGCGGGGGTTGAGGCGTCGGCTTGGACACCGGCGGCGGCGGCGCCGGTGCGATCCCGAACCCCTCCTCCAGCTCTTCGATCTCTCGCAGCCGGCTCCGGTTCCCCTCGGTCTGGACCCAGCGCGGCGTCTTGCGGACAAGCACGCCCGCGTCGCGGCCCCTTCCGACGCCCTCGGCCCACAGCAGCGGGCAGCGCGCCATCAGGGACCCCGCCCTGCGCCTCGCCGTGATGAGGCTCGGAGGATCGAGTTTCCCGCGCAGAATGACGCAGTCCTCGCTGTCTGCTTCTAGGAAGTTCTGGGGAATGTCGCCGTCGGCGCTCGTGGCGCCGCGCACGCCCCACCCGTCCGGCCGCGTCGCCGGGTCGCACGCACGGCCCTGCATTCGGCGCAGCAGCCGCGCCAGCGTCTCCGCCGCGCACCGCCGCAGCGCCGCCGCGGCACCGGGGGTTGCGTTGGCCAGCGGCGAGTCGCCGTGGGCGAGCCGGCGAAGGAGGTGGACGTGGGAGGGATCGGTGAGCGCCCTGGAGATGCGCTCGAGGAGCGAGGGTGCGTCGTGGCGCGCGAGCAGCGCGATCGCGTCCAATGATCGACGCACGGGATCCGCTTGCGCCCTCGAGGCAGACGGAAAGCTCCTTGCGCGATGGAAGGACGGGCTTGGCCTGTTCTTCTCGCGCGGAATCCTCGCCGCCGCGAGCTCCGTCTCGAGAGCCGCGACGAGCTGCACGCGCCACACCTCCACGGACGCGTCGTCGGGTTGCAGGGTGCCGAGAATGGCCGTGACGGCCGAGAGGTCCAGTCGGCGGAGGAGCGCCGCCTTCGCGAGGTCCTCGAGGCAGTACGCGAACCGCGCGAGCCGCGCCAGCGCCTCGAAAGCAGCGGCGTCAGACTCGTGCTTTGATATATACGCCACCCAGGGCCTTGGTGCTGCGGACACGGCCGGATTATCGAGGTCGAGACACCGCTGGAGCCATGCAGCGACCGCCTGGACCGTCCCGAAGCGCTCCAGCCGCGCAGCTGCCGTGGTGATGCCACAGATGACTGCCGGCGTTGGGTCCCTAGTTTGGAGCTCGATCACGGTCGCACAGGCCCGCGAGGCCTGCGGCACCCTGCGGTCGAGCAGTGCGCTGGCCAGGGCGAGGCAGTTGAGTGCACCTCTCTCGCAATCGCGCTGAGCGTGACCCCAGCAAAGGGGGTGTCTGCTTTTCTCGGCGCAGCTGCGGGCGATGAGCCCCCTCAGTGCGCCCTCGAGCGCGTCCCAGCCGAAGCGTTCCACTGCGTCCGCCACCGACGCGGGGTCCACGAGGTCGCGCGCCTGGCCCGACTGTGCCCAATCAATTGCCGCCAGCACACGCACGGTGGCCTCCGCGTCGCCCGCGAGGCACGCGCACTGCAGAGCGTCGTCCATGTACTTCCTGTCCCTCGTCGCGCGCTCGACGAGCACGCGCAGCATCGCACAGGCCTGCGAGTAGCGCTCCGGCGCGAGGGTGGCGACGTCGCCGTCGACTTGCGCGCGCACGTCCGCGAGCGCGTCGGCGAGCGCGAGGCGCCGCGCCTGGTCCACGCTGCACATGCGCGGGCGCAGCTGCAGCAGCCAGCGCGTGTACGTGTGCTCGATGTACACGATCTCGTCGGCGTCGTCGTCGTTCAAATTCTCCGCTCGTTGCTCGCGCCAGTTCAACGTGCCGATGCGCCCGCCGGTCGGAGGCAGCACCTCCCGCGCGGGGACGACGTTGCTGCTGCTGCGGCCACCGCCTCGCGGCCGTCCGTCGCGCAGAGAGCTCCAGGACTCCTCGCGTTCTACAATCAGTTCGCGGTCGCTCAAGTCCATGCCGTAGAGCTCGTTTTCGCCGACGATTTCGCGCTCGGATTCCCGGACGTAGTGGCCGTAGTGTTCCTCGAGGACTTCCTCGCCGTACAGATCCTCGTCTTCATACTTCGACAGCAGGTCTTCTTGACCCCCGCACATGCAATTCCAGGTCCCGAACCCGAGCTCCGCGCATTCCCAACAGCTCTCCCCCTCCCTGTCAATCCTGAAGCCCAGGGTCGTCGTCGCGCGCCCCACGGCCACCTCCAGCCCCTCGACGCCCATCAGCATCCGCGCCACGACAGCGTCCTTCCCACGCAGCGCGTCGGCACCGACGGGGGGGGTCTTGGAGCAGTACGCGTGCTCGAGCGGCACGACCAGGCGCTGCGGCACGTCCGCCGGCGGGTCCGCACGGAGCGCCACGTCGCTCCAGACCCGCGTGATGTCGCGCAGGACCCCCCCCCACGTCCCGGGGGTCTCCGGCGCTGACGTGGCATCGCCCGCGCACGCCGACGCCTCCGCGTCCACAGCAGCGTCTTCCCTCGGAGTCGCGTCCACCAGGTCGTACACGAGCAGCACGCGCTGGTCGGTCTCCACAGCCTCGAGGTGGTGCGTACATCCCGCAAGGAACGCACAGCAGCACGCGTCGGTCCCGTCGAAGTGCTCGCGTGGCCAAACACCGGTCCGCATCTTCCTCTTCCACCCCGCGTGCTTCACGACCAGCTCCCCCCCGTACGAGCGGTCCTCGGTGGGTAGAACAAGCACCATGGTGCCCAAAACCCCCCCCCTGTGGTCGCCGGGCTCCCCCAGGTCCCCCGCGGCGCCGGACAGATGCACCCGCCGCAGCACCGGCTCCACGTCGACCAGCAGGCCCAGCTCGTGTTGCGTCGCGCGGTTCGCGAGGTACTGAACATTGTCGCGGAAGGACTCCGACTGCGATACCAGATCGCCGCTGACGTACTCCGGCGCCCGCGGCTCGCTCCCCGATGGATCAGCGTCTCCGTCGCCCGCTGCTGTTGCGGTCGCGAAGCCCGACAGATGAGTCAGGGTAGAAAACGGCACCGGAACACCGATGTCGACGTATCCGATTCTGAGGCCCGGGAAGCCGGCGGGGCGGCCGTTGATGGTGCGGAGGGAGCTCCGCGGGCAGGACTCGTACGGGTCGAAGCCGAATTTGCACGAGAACGGCTCGCCGGTGCCGTTGCGCCTGGCAACGACGGCGCGGGCGAAGCGGGTCCAGATGGCGCTGCCGGGGAAGTCGCGGGCGTCGCCTTTCGAGGTCGCGCCTGCGCAGTGGTGGGAGAGGGGAAGCGAGCGGTGTTCGGGCCTGGGCGGGCGTGCGGGCAGGTGCGCCAGGTGGTGGCGGACGGGCACGCGTTCTGACGGACGAGTTCGCGTTTTGTCGTATTTTTTCGAATGTCGCATCGCTGACTGAAAGTCTGAAAGCGAGACAGGGTCCTAAGTTGGCTTCAACTGCGCAAGGCGCGGACAGGTGCAGTGCTCCACAGCTGGGCTCGCGACAGCCCCAATGAGATCATTTGTCGGACGCATCTATCGTCCAACGACGAGGGACATGTCATGTTCTGTGCGTGACCGCGCTGTTCCCCGCATCATGCACATGTCATGGTGCTAGAGCGCGGGGGAAAACAAACTAGCGCTCAGCTGTCCGGGCCGCCGCCCACGCACCTCCGCCTCCCGCGTTGGTCGCGTCGCGCAGGACGCCGGTCCTCATCGTGTGAGAGAAGTGATGAGCCGAGAGTCCGATGGTGCGGGCCGCGAAACCAGGTCGTTTGCGGCCATCTGGTGTCCGCGGAAGGCAAACGACGCGCGCGGGCAGCTGTCCCGCGCAGTACTTTACAGACAAGTCGCCGCCCCCTGCTGACGCGACACAAGAGCGCCCGAATATGTCAGCGACGTCTCCTGAGCGCCCCGATGTGGCGCCGAGCGGGCAGAATCTGGCACCACGTGACGGTCAGACGCGGCAGGGAGCGAGGTGGCATCGGTGCTGGGACGGATCGGCGCGACGCGAGACTGTCCTGCCTCGCGCGGAACGGCTCCGGCCACCCCGCTCACATCTTTCGTCATCCTTGCCCCTGAGTTGATACTTGCGCTTGCGAGGCAGACCCGCCCGCCCTGGCAGCGGCGCAGCTGCTCTGTTCCCACCTTCCCTGCCGCCTGGAACGCGCGCGGCACGGAGCCGCCCGCCGCCATCTCAACAGATGACACTTGTTGAGAACCAAACAGGGAAACGCGACTCAAAAGCGACTGACACGCAGCAAGACAGCGACGCACTTCTCTCCGCGCAGGTGCAGCCGTACGGACTCGGCGCGCGCGGATCTCACAGGTAGAACCCCATCATGCCTTCGAGAAGCGGGGTTCGAGGATCCCTCCACTTATACACCTCCCCCTGACACGAAGGCGTGCCTTCAGGGACGCTGAGCTTCGTGTCCCGCACGTCCCACGTGTGCAGCCGCGCGATCGCGCCGGCATCCAACACACCCCCCAGCGCTTCGCACCCTCGCACGAGCAGCTCCTCCACCGCCGTCGCGCCCTGTGGCAGGGCTCTCAGGCTGCTGCCGCTGGCGTGGAGGACCCGCAGCTTGCCGGCGCTCGAGCCCGGGAGCACGCACTCCTCGTCGAGCTGGTCGCACTTGACGATGTGCAGCACCTCGAGCGCCGCCATGTTTCCGGGCAGCTTTCGTATAGGCGACCTCTTCGCGCTCAAACCGCGCAGCGCCGTGGCGCTGGACTCCGGCAGGAAGCCCTCCCCAGCGAGCCGCTCGCAGCTGTCGACGCGCAGGTACTCCAGCGCCTCCATGTTGTCCGGGAGCCGGCGCATGGAGCACTGCGTAGCACGTAGAAAGCGCAGCCGGGTCCCGCTTGATTCGGGCAGCCATCCGTCCGGATCGAGCTGCTCGCAATGGCACACGCTGAGGATCTCGAGCGCCTCCATGTGTGCCGGGAGTCGCTCGATCGCCGTGCTGTCCGCGAGGAGCACCCGCAGCCGTCCCGCCGACGAGACCGGCAGCCACTCCGTGGGTGCGAGCTCCGGGCAGTAGCTCACGCTGAGCCACTCGAGGTCGGCCATGCCCTCGGGCAGGCCCCGGAGGGTGCTGTGGTCGGCGACGATGTTCCGGACGCGGGCGGCGCTCGACGGCGGAAGCAACGGCAAAGGCTCGTCCGAAGTGTCATCGAATACGCACTCGCGAATCATCAGAGACTCGAGGGCCTCCATGCCAGCGGGGAGCGAGTCGCAGCGGCCCTCGATGAGCAGCGTCTTGAGCTTCCGAACGCTCGACTCCGGCAAACGCATGGCGGCGTCACCCAGGTTTGATATCTGGAGGTGCTCGAGCGCCGTCAAGTCCTCCGGGAGCGCCCGAAGCACGGTGGCGAAGGCGTTGAGCACGCGCAGGCTGCCGCGGCAGCTGCGCGGCAGGAAGTCCTCGTCCAGCTCGGTGCCGCCTAATGGATCTAGCGCTCGCGCCATAGCACACAGGGAGATGTCTAGCTCCCGCAGCGCTGTCAGGCCGTCGGGGATCCGCGTGAGGTCGGTGTTGGCGACGCCGAGGACCTTGATGCTCGGCGCCACGCTCGCCGGCAGCCAGTTTTCGCCCCACCGCTGCGCGATTTTGCACCCATACAGGTAGAGGTGTTCTAGCTTGGTCATGTCCGGCGTGACGGGCAGCTTGCGCCACTCGCAGCTCGCGCGAAGCTGCACGATGCGCCCCGCGTCCTGCTCGTCCGCCCCGACCTCCCGCACTACGTGCCACACCGCGGATTGGTCCGGCGACGACAGCGGCAGCCAGCCGATGCGTGCAGTGGCGCGATTCTCGACCACGCGCCGCAGCTTCCGGTACAGCTCCTGGCTCACGTCGGCCTGGTACGTGGTCCACGTCACGCCCTCGCAGCCCTCGAGCACCGCCGCCATCATCGTCAAGCACGTCGCCGCCAGCGCAGTCCGCTCGCCGGGCGACAGCCTGCGCACGATCTCCCCGCGTGGCAGCTGGCGAACAACTTGCACGAACAGACACTCCGCCTCGTGCTGCGGGTCCTCGAGCTCTGATCCACGGCCCCTGCAAGTAGTGTCGCGCACGGCGATCGGGGGCAATTCACGCTGCAGCCCAGCCGCATCGCACGAGCCGCACTGTGCAGGACGTGCAGCGTGCCGCTCACCTCGAAGCAGGATGCCCCCGGTCGCTCGGCCGCCCGCGATCGTCCTCCTGCACAGACGCATCGCAGACAAATCCGGGGGTGTGGAGGGTGCGTGACGACGAAAACTGAAAAACACAGCTCCGGTGCGCTTCTACTGCGCTTTGTCGCGTCGCGTCGTGGCGGGCCGCGACCGCGCCCACGGGCTCTCACCTCCATGTCTCCGTGTGTCCTTTCCGGCGTTGCCGGGCCAGACGGTCCTCGCATGTCTCTCTCTCGCTGATTGGTCCGCTGCGGAATGTCCTAGACGGGACGTGCGTCGCTCTGTCGGGCCTGGAGGTGGTCGCTGAAGCCCCCTACGGAGATGTGCAAAGACTGGGGGGCACCTTATGGGGCTTGCGAACTGTGCCGTTCAAACACGATATGTCGTGTGACGTCTGGTGGCTGGCTATCTCACCGTCGTGTCCAGCGCCCCCAAGTCGCTGTTGCACGTCCTCTGCGGCCCCTGAGAAGCAACCCGAAGCAGCGGCGCCCTTGGCGCGTTACACGTGCCGGAGGCGCGTTCATGCGTCCTATCAGGGACCTTGTGGCGCACCTTGATACTGGGTTAACGCGCCGGGATGCTCTGAAACACGCCCTCGTCGCTGCAGCCACGCGGCGCGGGCGTCTCCCTGCCAGGCACTCAACCTTGTTCCGGCACCGCGGTGCGTGGCGGTTCGGTCCGTATGCGCACGCAGTATCGCGAAGCAGTCCACGGTGCGCCAAAGGCGGCCGTCATCGACGGCGTCAGGCCCGTTCGAGGACCCCGGGGAGTTGAGTAGCAGGGTTGGGGGGAGTGAGGAGCATGTGTCAGGGGCGTTTGGCAGCGTAGCCCCGGGTGAGCAGAGACCGATCCTGCGACTTACAGGGGCTGTGGTGCAGCGCGCCGGCGGGCTGCGGTGTGCAGCCGCACATGTGGGCGCGCATGCTACCACGGGACGCCAAGTGACGACCTGCGGTGGACGTGGCCTGCGGCCGCTTCGTCGCCCTGCGCTGGCCCGGCGGCTGGCTCCGTGGCTGCGCTTTCGGCGAGCGTAGAGGTTCATCCGGCGCTACCACCACCACCTTGGTATCCCGCCGAACAATGCCATACCGCCTGGCAGCCGCAGCCTGCTTCCCCGCACGTCCCACCCCTTCAGCCGCGCGGTCATGTGCGGGTCCATGTCATCGTCGAGCAGCTCGCACCCGCTCACGTCAAGCTCCTCGAGTGCCGCAAGGCCCCGGGGCAGCTTTCGCAGTGCACTGTAGCATGCGTGGAGCGCCCGCAGGTGCGCAGCGCTCGACGGCGGTAGGAAGTCCTCGTCCAGCTGCTCGCAATGGTCGATGCGCAGCTCCTCGAGCGCCCCCATGCCCGGCGGCAGCCTCACCAGATTGCTGGACCCAGCGCTCAACACGCGAATGTGTCCCGCGCTCGACGCTGGCAGGAAGTCCTCGTCCACCTGACATTCACGGACAAACAGCTGCTCCAGCGCCGGCATGTTCTCCGGGATGCGCGTGATCGAGCTGGAGGTCGCTCGAATCAACCGCAGCCTCTTGCGGGATGATGCAGGCAGCCAACCGTCCACGTGGAGATCATGGCAATACGACACGTCCAGCTCCTCCAGCGCCGACATATTGTCCGGCACACTCAGCAGCCTTGTGCGGAAGGCGTTCAAGCTGCGCAGTCTTCCCCGGCTGCTCTCCGGCAGCCAACCGTCCACGTCCAGGTTCTCGCAACCGCGCACTTCCAGCGTCTCAAGCGCCACCATGCCCGCGGGAAGCCTCTCCACCGGGGAAGCACTGAGTATCAGTCTGCACAGCCTCGACACACTCGAGCAGGGCAGGAAGGAGTCGGGGGCCAAGTTGCGGCAGGAGTCCAAGTGCAGCTCTTCGAGTGTCATCATGTCCTCCGGCACCTTTCGAACCGAGGTGCCGTACGCGTGGAGTACTCGCAGCCTCGCGCAGCTCGTCGCCGGCAGCCATTCGTCGGGGTCGAGTTGCCTGCAAGACCCCACGCTGAGCTTTTGCAGCTCAATCATGCCCGGCGGAACGCTCTGCACGTCGGAGGACAGCATGCGCAGCTCCCTGATCCCCGCCGCGACGTTCCTCGGAAGCCACTTCTTGCCACAACCGCGGATCGCGAGATGTTCACGCTTCACGCGGATGCCCAGGCTTCGCAGGCCCGTCATGTCCGGCGTGATCGACACGAAGCCCGCTGTGAAAGACTGCGGGCCGATGCGCTCGATGCAGCTCGCATCCAGCGCGTCCCCGCCCGCCCTCCGGTGGTACAGCATGCCAGTGCTGGGTTCAGGCCACCCCACGAGTCCCCTGCAGTGACGCGGCACCTTCCCCCGCAGCTTGCCGTGCACCTGCTGGCCCGTGTGTTTGCGTCTCGCGGTCCAAACCGCGTTCTCGCAGCCCTCCAGCACCGCCGCCATCGACGTCGACGACGCAGCCGCCAACGCGGCGCGGTCGCGGTGCGGGAGCTTGCCGACGATCACGCCGCAGGGCAGCTGACGGATGGTCCGCGCAATCACGCACTCGTCCTCCAGCCCGTCGTCACGCCCCCTGCACGTGATCTCACGCACAATGCAATGGCGTTGGACTGAACGCGGCTCGCGCCGTAGCCAGGCCGGGTCGGACGAGCAGCGCCATGCACAGACACGCCAGCACGGTGCTCACCTCGGCCCACCGCCAGCGCGCACCCCGTCGCTCGGTCGCCCGCCATCATCCTGCGCAGCGATGCGCACAACAGGGTCGCGGGATCAGAACAGAACGCGACGAGAGCCGCACGCAGCTCCGCTGTGCCCCCTGTCCCCACGGCTCGCCGGCCGCGGTCGCGCCACCGTGCGTGCCTCGCGGCGTGACGGGCAACGTTGGGCACAGCAATGGGCTCGCACCTGCGCGCCCGCGTCGGAGAGCTCCGGCGTCTCCGTGCGCGACGTGTTCGGCACCTCTGGCTGAGCTCCGCTCGTGGTTCTGCGCCAGCTCCGTGCCTTTGTTCAGACGGAGCTCGAACTTGTTGCCCCCCACCCACCCACAAAACAAGGGGGCTCGCAAACCGTGCCGCTCGAGGACCGTACACGGATCCACGCCACTTCTTCTCAGCTATCTCACCGTCGTGTCCAGCGCCCCCAAGTCGCTGTTGCACGTCCTCTGCGGCCCCTGAGAAGCAACCCGAGGCAGCGGCGCTTGGCGAGTGCTCGGCGCGTTACACGTGCCAGGTGCGTCGACGTGTACTACCAGGGTGCTTGTCGCGCACCTTGATGCCCAGATAACGCGCCGAGATGCTCTGAACCACGCCCCCCCGGCTCCAGCCACGCAGTCCGCGCGTCTTTTCGCTGGCGCTGCTTGCAACCCCGTTCCGCCGGGTCGCTCCAAGTCGCTCCGTGATCGACCGCAGGATCGCGCGACTGTCCACCACGCGCCTCCAAGCGAGCCAGCAAGCCCGCTCGAGGACGGTCCTGGACCCCGGGGCTCCTTTCCAGGGCCCGGAGGCGTGCTCGCACCCTGTGTCAGGTGATTGTGGCGGCAGCCGCAGCTCGGGGCGAGCAGCGACCGTCATGCGACGTCCGCGGACGCAGCGAGCACCGCGCCGTCGCGTCACAGGCCTGCTCCGACGCACGCACGCCCTCGTGATCACACGTCATCATCGCTGTGTGGATGTACAGGATTCGACGGTGCTCACGTGCCCATGCCGGTACAGGCTGCGTGCGGGCGGAGCTGGGTGTCTGGGCCTGTGCGTGCGCCACTCCGCGTGTTGAAGTGCCGGCGGCTGCGTGGGGTTGAGTCGCAAGGCAACATTTGTTGACACAATCGCCTACAGGACCGGTCCTGCGACTCACAGATGCTGTGGCGCAGCGCGCCGGCAAATGCCATCCGCGCAAAGGCGCGAGCTGCGGTGTGCAGCCGCGCAAGTGGACGCGCATGCATGCGACCGCTGGACGCCTAGTGACGACGGGGGAGGCCTCGCCTCGCCTGTGCTCGCGTCGATGTGCAGCGCCGCTCCGTCGATGGACATCGTGGCTGCGCTGCCTTGCGTCGCGATGAGCTGCTCACGATCTGAATCCTTCAGGCAGGCGCAGGTTGCTCCCCGACACCTCCCACGCCTTCAGCCGCGCAGCCGCATCCGCGTCCATGTCCTCGTCGAGCAGCTCGCACTCCCTCACGTCCAGCTCCTCCAGTGCCGCAAGACCCCGGGGCAGCTTTCGCAGTGCACTTCCCCATGCGAGTAGCTCCCGCAGCCTCGCCGCGCTCGACGGTGGCAGGAAGTCCTCGTCCAGGTGCTCGCAACGGTTGATGCGCAGCTCCTCGAGCGCCCGCATGCCGGGCGGCAGCCTCGCCAGAGAGCTGGCCGCAGCGCTCAACACGCGAATGTGTCCCGCGCTCGATGCAGGCAGGAAGTCCTCGACCAACGGACATTCGCACACAGACAGCTGCTCCAGCGCCGGCATGTTCTCCGGGATGCGCGTGATCGAGGTGCCGGACGCATCAATCACCCGCAGCCTCTTGCAGGATGATGCAGGCAGCCAACCGTCCACGGGGAGATTATGGCAATTCGACACGTCCAGCTCCTCCAGCGCCGGCATCTTGTCGGGCACACTCAGTAGGCTTGTGAAGCTCGCGTTCAAGCTGCGCAGTCTCGCCCTGCTGCTCTCCGGCAGCCAACCGTCCACGTCCAGCCTCTCGCACGCGACCACATTTAGCGTCTCAAGCGCCACCATGCCAGCGGGCAGCCTCTCCAACCTCGTGTAGCTGAGGTTCAGCTCGCGCAGCCTCGACACACTCGAGCAGGGCAGGAAGGAGTCGGGGGCCAAGTTGGGGCAGCCGTGCAATCGCAGCGTCTCCAGGGCCGTCATGCCATCGGGAACCTTCCGAACCGAGCTGCAGTGCGCGTGGAGTACTCGCAGCTCCGTGCAGCTCGTCGTCGGCAGCCACTCGTCGGGGTCAAGATGCCAGCAACTGCTCACGTCAAGATCAGCCAGCTCCGCCATCCCCGGCGGAACGCTCTGCACGTCGGAGTGGCCCATCTTCAGCTCCCTGATCCCCGCCGCGACGTGCTTCGGGAGCCAGCTCTCGCCACAAGCGAGGGTCGCGAGATGTTCACGCCTCACGCAGATGCCCAGGCGTCGCAGGCCCGTCATGTCCGGCGTGATCGACACGAAGCCCGCTACCATCTCAGGCAGCGGGCCGATGCGCACGATGCAGCTCGCATCCAGTGCGTCCCCGCCCGCGCGCCGGTGGTACACCATGCCAGTAACAGGCTTGGGCCACCCCACGAGCGCCGTGGCATGACGCGGCATCTTCCCCCGCAGCTTACCGTACACCTGCTGGCCCGTGCAATCGAGTCTCGCGATCCAGCGCGTGTTCTCGCACCCCTCCAGCACCGCCGCCATCATCGTCGAGCACGTCGCCGCCAGCGCAGCCCGCTCCCCGGGCGACAGCCTGCGGACGATCTCCCCGCATGGCAGCTGACGGACAGTCCGCGCAAGCACACACTCGTCCTCCAGCCCGACGTCACGCCCCCTGCACGTGATCTCACGCACAATGCAACGGCGTTGGACTGTTGAACGAGGCTCGGGCCGTAGCCAGGCCGGGTCGGACGAGCAGCGCCGTACACAGACGCGCAGCACGGTGCTCACCTCGACGCACCGCCAGCGCGCACCCCGTCGCTCGGTCGCCCGCCATCATCCTGCACAGCGATACACACAACAGGGTCGCGGGCATCAGTACAGCGCGCGACGAGAGCCGCACGCAGCTCCACTGTGCCCCACGGCTCGCCGGCCGCGGTCGCGCCACCGTGCGTGCTTCGCGGCGTGACGGGCAACGTTGGGGCACAGCAATGGGCTCGCACCTGCGCGCCCGCGTTGGAGTGCTCCGGCGTCTCCGCGCGCGACGTATTCGGCATCTCTGGCTGAGCTCCGCTCGTGGTTCTGCGCCAGCTCCGTGCCTTTGTTCGGATGGAGCTCGAACTTGCCCCCCAATCACCCGCACACAAGCGGGCTCGCACACCGTGCCGCTCGAGGACCGCTCACGGATCCACGCCACTGCTTCTCAGCTATCTCACCGTCGTGTCCAGCGCCCCCCAGTCGCTGTTGCACGTCCTCTGCCGCCCCTGAGAAGCAACCCGAAGCAGCGGCGCGCTTGGTGAGTGCTCGGCGCGTTACACGTGCCAGGTGCGTCGACGTGTACTACCAGGGTGTTCGTCGCGCACCTTGACTCCGCCACAGTCCGCTCAGATGCCCCGAACCACGTCGCGTCGCTCCAGCCACGCGCTCCACCCGCTTCACCCAGGCAAGAAGGGTAGGCGCTCAACCCCGTCCGGCACGCCGGGTCGCTTCGAGTCGCTCCGTGGTCGAGCGCAAGGTCGCCACACAGGACACGGCACGCCAGCAAGCCGGCCAACAAGCTCGGCCAGGCATCTCGTGGCAGGGCCCGGGGGAGCGAGTACCCCCCATGTGTCAGGTGATTGCGGCGGCAGCCGCAGCTCGGGGCGAGCAGCGACCGGTACATGGCGTCCGCGGAGGCAGCGAGCACCGCGGCGTTGCGGCACAGGCCTGCCCCGACGCACGCACGCCCTCGTGATCACACGTCATCATCACTGTGCGGATGTACGGGACTCGACGGTGCTCACGTGCCCATGCCGGTACAGACTGCGTGTGTGTGGACCTGGATGTCTGGGCCTACGCCGCTCCACTTGTTGAAGTGTCGGCGGCTGTGTGGGTTTGAATCGCAAGGCAACATTTGTACTTCGCTGACCTACAGGCACCCTCAACGCGAGGACGCTTGAGTCATTTGTTGACACAATCGCCTACAGGACCGGTCCTGCGACTTACAGATGCTGTGGCGCAGCGCGCCGGCGGCTGCTATCCGTGCAAAGCCGCCCTAACGCGCGCAGCCGCGCAAGTGGACATGCATGCGACCGCCGGACGCCACGTGATAACGCGCGGGGACGTGGCCTGCGGCCGCTTCGCCGCCCTGCGCTGGCCCGGCGGCTGGCTCCGTGGCTGCGCTGTCGGCGGGCGTAGAGGTTCCTCCGGCGCGTTCAATCTTAGAAGTCCCCGCCGCGGCATGCCATACCGGCTGGCAGGAGAAGCCTGCTGCCCCCCACGTCCCACTCCTTCAGCCGCCCGGCCACGCCCGCGTCCATAGTCTGATCGAGCAGCCTGCACTCCCTCACGTTCAGCTTCTCCAGTGCCGCAAGGCCCTGGGGCAGCTTTCGCAGTGCACTTTCCCATGCATAGAGCGCCCGCAGCTGCGCAGCGCTCGACGGCGGGAGGAAGTCCTCGTCCAGCCGCGCACACTGACCGACAAACAGCTCCTCGAGCGCCCGCATGCCCGGCGGAAGCCTCACCAGGGAGCTGCCTGCAGCGTTCAACACGCGAATGTGGCCCGCGCTCGACGCTGGCAGGAAGTCCTCGGCCAACTGACAGTATCGCACATCCAGCTGCTCCAGGGCCGGCATGTTCTCCGGGATCCGGGTGACCGAGCTGCACGGCGCTTCAATCACCCGCAGCCTGTCGCAGAATGACGTCGGCAGCCAGTCGTCGCCACCCAGCGCTTTGCAGCCACAGAGCCTCAGCTCCTCCAGCGCCGGCATGTTGTCGGGCACCCGCCGCAGCCTTGTGTGGGTGGCGTCCAAGCTGCGCAGTCCCGCCCGGCTGCTCTCCGGCAGCCAACCGTCCACGTCCAGCCTGTCGCACGCGACCACATTTAGCGTCTCAAGCGCCACCATGCCCGCGGGAAGCGTCGTCACCGCGCAGTCGTTGAGGTTCAGCTCGCGCAGCCTCGACACCCTCGAGCAGGGCAGGAAGGAGTCGGGAGCCAACTTGTGGCAGCCGGTCAATCGCAGCTCTTCGAGTGCCATCATGTTCTCCGGCAGCCTCCGAACCGAGCTGCGGAGCGCCTTGAGTACTCGCAGCTTCGCGCGGCTTGTCGCCGGCAGCCATTCGTCGGGGTCGAGTTGCCAGCAACTGCTCACGTCAAGATCAGCCAGCTCCACCATCCCCGGCGGAACGCTCTGCACGTCGGACTGGCGAATCTTCAGCTCCCTGATCCCCGCCGCGACGTGCTTCGGAAGCCAGTCCTCGCCACAAGCCAGGGTCGCGAGATGTTCACGCTCCACGCAGATGCCCAGGCTTCGCAGGCCCGTCATGTCCGGCGTGATCGACACGAAGCCCTCTCTCCACTCACGCAGCGGGCCGATGCGCTCGATGCAGCTCGCATCCAGTGCGTCCCCGCCCGCGCGCCGGTGGTACACCATGCCAGTGCTGGGTTCAGGCCACCCCACGAGCGCCGTGGCATGACGCGGCACCTGCCCCCGCAGCTTGCCGTGCACCTGCACGCCGACATCTTCGCGTGTCGCAGTCCAGCACGCTGTCTCGCACCCCTCCAGCACCGCTGCCATCGACGTCGACGACGCAGCGGCCAACGCGGCGCGGTCGTCGTGCGACAGCCTGTTGACGATCTCCCCGCAGGACAGCTGACGGACGGTCCGCGCAAGCACACACTCGTCCTCCAGCCCGACGTCACGCCCCCTGCAAGTGATGGTGCACACAGCAACACCAAAGATCTCGTGCACGGGGCCGTGGTGTTCCGGGTCGTGGCCGGGCCGCGCCGGACGAGCAGCAGGCAGACATAGTCGGCGCGCCACTCACCTCGGCCCACCGCCAGCGCGCACCCCGTCGCTCGGTCGCCCGCCATCATCCTGCGCAGCGGTACACAAAACGGGTCGCAGGGATCAGCGCCGTGCGCGACGAGCGCCCCACGCAGCTCCGCTATGGTCCCCGTTCCCACGGCTCGCTGACCGCGGTCGCGCCACCGTGCGTGCTTCGCGGCGTGACGAGCAACGTTGGGCACAGCAATGGGCTCGCACCTGCGCGCCCGCGTTGGAGGGCTCCGCGCGCGACGTGTTCGGCATCTCTGCCTGGTTCGCTCGCGGTTCTGCGCCAGCTCCGTGCCTAGCTCTACCAAACCTCGAGCCTGTCGTTGCCCTAACAGTGCGCAATCAAGGGGGCTGGCAGACCGTGCCGCTCGAGGACCGTCCACAGAGCCACGTGTCGCGGCTGCTTCTCAGCTGTCTCACCGTCGTGTCCAGCGCCCCCAAGTCGCTGTTGCACGTCCTCTGCGGCCCCTGAAGAGCAACACGAAGCAGCGGCGCGCTTGGTGAGTGCTCGGCGCGTTACACGTGCCAGGTGCGTCGACGTGTACTACCAGGGTGCTTGTCGCGCACCTTGACTCCGCCACAGTCCGCTCAGATGCCCCGCAACACGTCGCGTCGCTCCAGCCACGCGCTCCACCCGCTTCACTCAGGCAAGAAGGGTAGGCGCTCAACCCCG